ATCTGAGTAGTCAATCAGTATATTATGTTTGCTAATATTGACAGGGTACCCACAATCAAATGCATCTACTGCAAGAAGTAGTTCGTCACGGGCGGGCCGGAGTGTGTATTCATCCTGATTGCCTTTCTTCTCTATCAAAGGTCGTTGTGATATAAGCGCTGATAGCTCGTGGAACACATCGTCAAGGAAAATCCTTTGCGGGTCTTGGTAGGGAATTGCCCCCCATGGGTTAGGGCGTGGAGGTTCCCATGCATTATCCTGGTGTTCAATCAGCATGACAACTGCGGCCGTACACACGGATGCAAGTACTGACCTTAAAAGTGAACCCTAGGAATTCAAGCAGGCCTTGACAAGGCTTTCCATCAACACCGAAACTCGTCATAAATCGCTTATTAATAGCTGATATTGACTTGCCCTGTTGGTTGCTTTGGAGTGCATTCCAAACGTAGGTCCGAAGATTCATCAGGACGGTTATAGGTAGCGGGCGAGCCACCCCTTCCAACCGCTCGGGGTCTGCTGCAAGGGCCTCGTCTGTGCGCTTTTGTAGGACCACAGGATCCGTCAACAGCTGAACCATCTCACCAGAAAGGAGCGGAGAGGCGACCCCGACTGTTATCCTGAAGGGACAGCGCGGGTATGAACATTCGAAATGGAAGCTCTCCACCAGCTGACCTTTCGTCGTGACTTCCTCGTCAGTATTTCCTCCTTTATGTTTCCCATAGTAGTAAACCAGATGGTGTAGGTGATCGGAGAAGGGCTGGCTTGCTTGACCAGCAGGACTAGTTCCCACTTTAAGGTGTAGGTGGTATCGGCACTTCAAACATATCGCGGATATCTTCGTCGGCGTCCCAGAGTTGCTGTTATCCTGCCCTTGTGATGGCCTCACACTTTGGTTAGGCTTTGTGACATAGCTATGGCGACACGCTGATGGAGAAATGAAGTGAGGCGGTCCTTGGTAATAGTCGGGATAGACTGGCGGCACATCAGACAGGAGGTTACGGCCCGTATCTGGCGGATGAGCTGGGTCATAGTCGAATAAATCTTGTACAAAACGGGGCGCAGTCTTGCCTAAATCATATCATACAAGTATAAGCATTTTGTGATCTCCAGATTCGTTGAAACTACCAACCTGCGCTGCGAACGGACGACATGAGGGTATCCTCTCCTGGTTTTAGTGGGAGGACCGGCTCGTAGGTAGTAGAATAAATTTATAACGCTTCCATGTATTATGCAGTGAGATGCTCGTGTTGGGTTACCGGCCGACGGATAACTTTCTGTTATGTAGAACTATTCGATCACGGTGGGATGCTGCCGGAATAATGAGCGCGGGGAGCTCAACCCAAGCGCTAAGTATGTCTGCGGATGAATGACAGCAGCAAGGGTTCGCTCGGGATTCGATATTCGTGAGTATGTATCTCCAAAGCACTCGAAGTTCAAATAAAATAATAAAGATAGAAGGCCTGGGGCCTGTTCACGTCTGCTCACAATAACTGGCGACATCATCTGTAGCTTCAAGCAGGGCAGGTGGGCGGTGACGGGTGGCAGAAACTCCGGCTTCCTAGAACTCATCGTCACGCACCACAGCCGACCTCGTCCAAGTCCACTTTGAGCTCCAGCGTTCGCATTGTCACCAACAACCGCCATCATGGGCTCGTCCGCGGAAGACCACCATTATCACCCTCAAGACACCATCTCCCGGACGATGAAGACGACGGGGCTCACGGGCTCCGTCGGTCTCTTCGCATCCGCTGTTCAGAACACCCTCGCCCGGCAGAACGTGGGACCATGGGGAGTCTTCGTTCGGAGTGGTGGCACAATTGGTATTTTCGGTATGATCTGATTGATAATTAAGGGCTGTCTTTCTGAGTTTGTTTCTAACGTTTAACCAGCCGCTATGGGAGGTACCTATGAGTTTGTGAAGACTTCGTCCGCCAACCTACGAGAGACGGAGGACGTTTGGAACGTTGTCCTTGGTGGTTTCTTTTCCGGTGCAATCCTCGGTCTGCGAGGTAGGTTTGCATGATCTTGATGTAGGGTCTGTACTGATGACAGTTTAGCCCGCACATTCCCCGCCCTTCTTGGTCACGGTGCGGCGCTGGCCACCGCAATGGGTGCATTCGAGTACACCGGTGGATCATTGTTTGGCTACAAGAAGAACCGTGATGTTGATGAATTCGAGCGTCGGGAACAGCTGCGAACACAATGGAGGACCTCCGGTGAGCAGACGCTGGCCGAGCTGGGTGAGGGACGAGGTACGTTGGCTTGAGTGAACCCCCTTCCGTGTATCAAATACGGCCCCGCTAACTTCATTATTATCAGGAATTTACGGCCCCGGATACCAAGAGAGACGGCGAGAGCGGATTAAGGAGGCGTACGGAATTGACGTCCCTACCAGTGCTCCCGCGTCATAAAATCGGTTCACATCGGCGTCTCTTGTCCAGTCTCTGTAAAATTACTTTCAATATATCGAATGGCCTCGTTAAACAGACATACAATAAAGGTTTCTTTTGTTTATATTGCTTTTTTACTCACGGCCCTTGATCTTGGCGGTGTCCTACCAGCCAATTAGAGCGTAGCTTTATCAAATCATCAACGTGCATAAAAGGTGGCATAACTGGAGTATTTCAAATGCAATATCATTCCAGGTTTCGTGTTCCTGCATGGCTCGAGGTTGTTATACAACAAGAGAGACTTCAAGCCACTCGTCTAGAATGATTCGATCGGGCTAGGACGGATAATTGCCGCGTGGTTCGCATGTCAAAAACACCGACGTCCCGAACTCCAGGGGCCATGTTCGAGAATCATAACTTCATAAATCATAACACCATGCTAGGCTTGCTGGCAGACCCGTTCGAACTTCGGGAATGCCTCGATCAATGGTGGAGCTTGATAGACTAACAGCCTGTCATGCCATCGCCCCTATTATTATGTCTTTAAAAAGGGCGAGGGCTGAAATTATGGGTCTGTACTTTGACGCTTCCTCAGCCTTCTCCTATTTACGTACGGAGGAGATGGACCGATAGTAATCCGTCTTACAAAAGGGGCCCCTGGTAAACAGACTTAGGGGCCCGAATTTTCTGGAATGAACCGATCCTTCCGCCCCATGAAGGAGAAATGAGGACGGTACGGGCCTTAATTATCCTATAATTAGGTGTGGAGGTGCAGGAGCACAACGTGCTTTTCCACTGCAGATGGTGGACCTGCATTGTGATATCAGATTTGATGACCCCTTTCTCAGGAGTCAGTAGGTAATCCATGACAGAAGGACTTGAATTTGATATCAGTATTATGTGATGGACGTGATGGTGTTAGAAGGTTGAGATCTCATATTGAGGTAAGAAATAGGTCATGTAGTATTGGGTTAGCAAACAAGAACCTTACAGCGCCACTGGTATACACCAAGGCCGTCCATATAGCCAGTAATTGAAAGGTATGCTAGGAGAAGCTTTCCAGATAGAGAGGCCTCAAGAGTGGTCTACACCTTCGTAATTGTCGGTACTTTTTACCTTCTCCAACAACCCAACAACTTGGGGAAGACAGGCAGGGTCGATCGGCCGAACCTTTGGAACGAACCGCGATAATCATTAGTGATTGATGCACCGTGCATGACGTCGACGCCGGGAGGAACACTTCAATTCCCCTAAAAGGAAAGATCCGCTAGGATGGATGGATGGAGATGCTTCTCCTTTTTCCACCCGTTTGATGAGATTCGCCACTAGCGCTGCGGAAATGGGATGGGACTTCACGACCAAGAAGGAGATTGCTGTGGGCTGAAGATCCACTGCATTTCAAGGCGATTGGGCCTCCCTAATCCCATCGCCACAGGCATCAACCCTTTCCGATGCTGCGATCCCCAAAGTTGGGCTGACCAAGCCACGCTGGGTCGTAAGGGGCCGTTTGAATTCAATAATCCAGAGTTGTGAAGAGAATGATCCTGCTGCTTCTGTACCTGAGCAGCTCCTGAGCGGGAAATTAGAGTGGGCTTGTGTAGGCAGCGGCATTTCTCCTGATTTTGCCATCGAAGCATAGACATCGTTACCGCGATATACGCAATGATAGCTTGCTCTCTGCATGTGCCACATCTTTGGTAGCGAGGGTGTGTGCCTCGGGTACGGGCAGTAAACTCTGGATAACCTGATCATATTCACCCAGTGAACTTTGGGAAATATGAAGACACCACTGAGGAACCATCACTCAAACAAACTATCGGATCATGGCGAGTCAGGATCCACGATGTCAATGGGTCCGGAGAAGCCGCCCGTTCGTGGTGCTGGAACTCTGGGTGTAGTTGCAAGTGCTCGTCTTGGGCGTCATCATTGACCAAAGGTCGCATCGTCCAGAAGTCGACGTCATCCGAGGCCTTTCAGTTTCTTGTTCTGCTTCTTAACCCCTCCTTGGTCGCTGTCATTCAGCCCTGGAATTTGCTGGTACCTATCAACTCATTTCATCATCCATTATCAAGGAGCCCTGGAACTTTGGAAATCAACTGCAGTCTGCGCATCCATTCCTCCTTTCCCTGGCCCGGTGGGCCCCATACATAACCACATTCCGATCGCCCAGGCACTTTTATTGACCGATTCTCCTGATATTATTCATTCCGGTTCTCCTTACGACTAGTCTGCTATTATTATCGGCGAGTCGCTAGTTACCTGCTAGGGACGAAAAGCACCCCCGCAAACAGTCCGCTCCAGGCCTTTGCCAGCTATCGCCCATCGACCAATTTCCGCCGCCCCGTTCGCCTGGTAACCAAACCGCCCATCCCCAAAGAGTAAAAAGCGAAAGGGGACATTCTCTCCTATCGTGCTTCTGCGTCAATCAATTATTATCTTGCCTCTTTCTCTTTCTTTCAAATTGTCTGCCTGCTGCTCTTGCATCCGCCTCTTGTCACTGATTGGGTCCATTATTGATGTTGCCGCTCGCTTTGGTTTGCACCGCCCTGTTCGCCTCTTGACTGCCTCTACTCCCCCTCTTCTGTTTCGCCCTCTGAGCACGACCCCGCAATGGCAACAATACTGCGGTCGCAAACACCTGTACAGGACCCATTTGGTCCTGCATCACAGCCCCATGCTTCTCTGATGTCGAGTCGGGGCTATGGAGGACGATCAGGCTCCCGCCCTAACTCGATCGCCGCTCCTGGTTCCAATTATAATGTTGCTTCAGGTGCTGTCAATCCATCACCCCTCAATCACTACGGGCGATTTCATGAAGAGTTGGATGCAATGAGTATGCGTGGTTCTACAGCCGAGGGGCCTTCAGGAATACAACGGTCACAGTCTCAGATGTCACATTCCCGATCCGCAACACCAACCCGATCCGGCACTTTGAAGAAAAAGTCGTCCTTAAGTAAAAGAGGCAGCCTGCGTCGCAGTGGAAGCCGACGCAGTATGCGTGCTGGAAGTGTGAGAAGCCTGGCCCTAGGTGACAGAGAGAAATATAACGTGGATGGGGACGAAGATATGAACAGCGCCTTCTACATTCCCGTTCCGACCACTGGAAATCCGACAGAGGTCCTGGCAGAGCGATTCCAGGGTAAGTCAAGGTTCCGAAGTCATTTTCAAACCAATATCTCAATATTAACTTGAATATAGCTTGGCGCAAGGTTCTTAAGGATCTGATTATGTTTTTCAAAGAGCTCCAAAAGTCCTATGAAGCACGGGCGAAGCTGTATCTCTCCTCGACAAATATCCTGAACAATACGTCGCTTCCATCAACATTCCTCAAATCAGGCGGACTTGGAGATGCGACTGAAATTCTAACAGACTTCCACCGGCAAGCACACCTCGAAATGAACAAAGCGGCAGAGGTGGAGAATGAAGTTGTCAACCAGCTAATAGGGCTTCGAAATGATCTGCAAAAGAAAACCAAAGAGATCAAGGGGCTTTCGGGCGATTTCCGCAACTCTGTCGATAAGGAAGTCGACGTCACTCGGAAGTCTGTCCGACATCTTCAGGAGGCATTAGGGCTAGTGGACACAGACCCTGGTGCCACATCAGGCAAGGGCGATCCGTTCATAGTCCGCCTGAGCGTTGAGAAGCAGATTGAAAAGCAAATTGAGGAGGAAAACTACCTTCATCGAGTACGTTAACCGCATTTCGCCGTTTGGTATTCCTTTTTTGCTAACCCTGTTACCAGGCGTACTTGAATCTTGAGAACTCTGGCCGCGAGCTTGAGTCCATTGTGGTTGGCGAGATCCAGAAGGCTTACAACGCTTATGCTGGTATTCTGAAGCGCGAGGCGGATCATACGCTCGACACTGCTGACAAAATGCGCGTGGGGCCGGTCTCTATGCCACACGACCACGAATGGAACACGTTTGTCGCAAACACTGATGAAATGGTGGACCCCCGCGTTCGTATTCGAGATGTTGACAATATCTCGTATCCTGGCAAGGAGCACCCGGCCGCCGCTGAGGTTAGGTCGGGGATGCTGGAGCGTAAGAGCAAATATCTCAAGAGCTACGCTCCTGGATGGTTAGTTTGCTCTTGTTTTATATCCTTGGACCTTCTAATATTATTCCAGGTATGTTTTGTCACCGACTCATCTGCATGAGTTCAAGTCGGCGGACGGCGTCGCGTGGCAGACGCCAGTGATGTCATTATACCTTCCGGAACAGAAGCTCGGCTCTCATTCGCAGCCGGACTCGACGTCGCACAAGTTCATGCTGAAGGGACGACAGACGGGAACCATGCACCGCGGCCATTCGTGGGTGTTTAGGGCAGAGTCTTACGAGACAATGATGGCATGGTACGAGGATATTGAGAGGCTGATCTCCATGACAGGAGAGGCTCGGAATGCGTACGTTAGGCAACATGTACGTACCGTCAGCGGAGCCAGCTTTCGGAGCAGCAGTGATGGAGTAATGGATGAAGATGAAGCAGACCGAACCCCATACTCTGCCGGATCAGTCGTGATGAACCAAGAGCGCCCAACTTCTCAGCCCCGCGAGCCCGGTGGGAAGTTCCCTAGCGATGTGAATATCGATCGTCATCTGCACGCCCCGATGTCCCCTTCAAGCGGGGAGAGCTCTGGAGAGAGAGATGTGCTAGCTGCTGCAGGTTCGCTACCTGATGGTGGACACTTTACTGGCAGAGGCGACCGCTTCTACAATGACCGAGATTTTGATTCAATTCAAAATTCGAACCAGAGTAGGACCGCAAGCAGTGCGGGGGCGGCCCAGCGGTTCCCCATAGACGGCTACGACAATGAGCAGGGAAACTGGATGTCTTCAACCAACTCTTTCAATCACCACGGCCAACAACCGCCCACTACCATTGAAAATCGTGTCAATAATGAATACTCTCAAGAACAATCCACAAACCCAATATATGTTGCCGGACTCAGTTCAACTGCGACACGGGATCACGTCTCGTCACCTCGCCAGCGAAACCGCGGTGAAAGCTCATCAACGGCATTTACAAACTCAAACGTGACCGAGCACACACACAATACGGCGACTACTGTCCCAACATCCGTTGAAGAAGAGTCAGATGACGATGCCGAATTCAAGAAGAGGCCCCGCTCACTCCGCTCTGGCGTGTCATCGCTCCACGACAGCATGCGCAACTCAATCGAAGTTCCCAAGAGACCTGCTGCACACACCAAGAACAGCATTTCCACCATCGAATTGCACATTCCTGGGCATTACCCTCCTCAACAAACTGCAGTTTAATTCTGCGTGAAGAGTGGAGGACTAGGTAGATATGTGGAAAGGCGCGCAATGCTTTGACCGCATTCTACCCTTTTTTTTTTTTTTTTTTTCCTATGTGATAGTTTATCTTTGCACTAGCCTCCCACCTGTTTACACCATAAACAGTTGATCATCTTCCGCCACGTCTGGTATGACTTGAAAGAATGTCGAGTTATATTATCCTATCATACAGGCAATTCGAGTTATCACTAACAGCGATGGCACAGGTGAATGGGGAGCAAGTGCTTATGATTTTCCTTTGTTATTTACGCTCGATTTTCCTTCTTATCTCATGCCATGATTGCTCACCATTTTCACTTCTCCTGTATTATATTTATATTCCCCACTGTCGATATCCCCTTTGCTGCGCTAGGTTGGAATAGTTTCGTTTTTGTTTTCTTCTCTTTTCACCCGTTTTATCATAAGGCGCTGCAGGACAGAACACGATATCCCTGCCATTGGATTTACATAGATGACGAAGTTGAATATCATGCCGTCTATTGGATTAGTATCACTCGCTTCTAGACCACCTCGTACTCAATACTGCTGCTTAACACTTTAGTACGTAGAAAACGTCTACCCCGCCTTATGCAGGCATCATCTAGATCTCAATAAATACTACCGAAGATCGCCCGGGTAAAATAACACTATTAGCCACAACACCCGGCTCTTGGAAGCGTCAAGGGTCGAGCATCCCCTTCATCCAAGATTGGAAGTCGCACACGGTGTCACGACAGCTCCTGACCGTCCGGCCGGAGAACCCGATCCATTCAAACAAGCCGGCGGCTTAGTCAACTAGTCATTGGTGGAGGAATTCCGTGGCGGGGGACTGCGCTGCTTGCTCGTGCTATTGATGGCCCGAGATGCCCCGCAGTCCCACCAGTTGTCGGGACGGAAGGGGATGTGTGCGGATGGGCCGGAGGTTCGGAGGGAGCGCCACGGGGAAGGCTCCGTTGTCTTGCTGGTGATTACATTGTTGAACTAAAATCCAATCTTGCCTTGTAGGTATGTAGGCTAGGCATTCTTGTTTGTATGTTCTCTTTTATGGTAGGGGTTGCTACGTATGCGCTTGAGAATATGTACGTTGGGGAGGAATTGGTTATTGAAGGATCTTAATATTTCCGTCTATCAAGTCCGAAATCCTGGACATGCAAAAATGAAAAAAAATAGAGAAAAAGAAAAAAGGTAATAAAACCGTTATATACATATAATCATAAATGGGGGATTGAGTTTATTGACGCAGGAAGGTTAATGAGATGCCCCGTTTGCTCCAGTCTTATCTTGTTCTGTGGTCGGTGGAGCAAGACTTCTGGCGGGGGCGGGGTTGAGGACTGAAGCGGCAGGAATCAGAGGAGCAGAAGGGTTAAGTTCTAGACCGAAGCCAGGCTTGTCGAGGATAGAAACATCCAGGTAGCCCTTTGTAGGGATTGGTTCGTTGAGGAAGAGGTTGCCGAATACTGGCTCGACGGTGTGGCCATCTGGCGAGTTGGCGAGGTACTCTTGGAACGGGGTGTTGGGCTGCGAGACGACGAAGTGGTAGGAGTAAGGGCCGGAGGCGTGAGGGACGACAGGGATGTCATATGCGGCAGCGAGGGCAGAGACCTTGAGCAGTTCCGTGAGGCCGCCAAGCCACATGACATCGGGCTGAATGATGTCGATGTTGCGGCCCTCGACGAGCTTGCGGAAGCCGAAGCGGGAGTACTCGTGTTCGCCGGTGGTGAACTTGACGGTGGGATGAGCGCGCTTGAGCAGGGCCTGGCCGTCAAAGTCATCGGGAGTGAGACATTCCTCCCACCAGTCGATGTGCAGGCCCTCAGCTTCGGCGCGCTTGACTAATTCAATGGTGTAGGGGACATTCAGGGACATGTAACAGTCGACACGGAGGGGGAAGTTAGGCCCAACGCTCTCGCGCTGTTTGCGGAGGTATTCAATGTTCTTGACAAGTCCCTCGACTCCCTCGTCCGGCCCATGAGGAAGAGCAACCTTTGCGCCGACGAAGCCCGCTGCCTTTGCAGACCCAGGTTGAGGTCCTGTGCAGTAGAAGTCTAGACGGGAGCGCGTGGCTCCGCCGATGAGCTTGTATACCGGCTCATTGCGAATCTTTCCGACGAGATCCCAGAGAGCGAGATCGATCACGGAGATGACGGCGATGGGAAGACCTTTCCTGCCGTAGAACATAGATCCTCGGTACATCTTTTCGAAGAGCTCGTTGACATCGCGAGGGTCTTTTACATATGTTAGTTAGACTCAGTTCTCCCGGCATACAGGCAAGGATAGTTCGGCATACCTGCGCCAATCAGGAAACGTTCAAAGTGTTGGTGTGCGAGCCAGCAAGCAGGAGGGCCACCAAAGCCGGTGGCAAAGCCCTTGGACCCATCGGTTGTTTCAATTTCCACGCAGAAAGATCCCAGCACATTGATACCCCAGGATGTTCGTGATCCCCTATATTGTGCCCATCGCGTCATGGGAGTAGAGATGTCGCTATCGATCAGCCAGTGGCCGCCTTTGACCTAGTAAACGATGGTATAAGCATTGCACGGTAAACACATTGGACGCGAGATCATTTGAAGGAGTAGAATGGACGAAGCGTGAGAAAACATACATTGTGATAATCACCGCCGGATCCAACACCATCGATGAGGAATGTGCGAATCTCCTTGATGCGGGGAAATGTTGCTGTAGTAGAAGCCATGGTGATGATAACAGGCAGAGGAGACACTGCGCTAATCTATGGGAGAAGAGGGGATAAATAAGAAAGAAGAATGAAGGAAGCACGAAATGTCCCACGAGGGCAGCCGGGGATATTTGAGGGCCTTGGTCTCGCCGGCACAGAGGGGCATGTGGCAGGCTTCGGAGCAAGTCCTAGGCTCGGGGCAATGCTCCCCCGAGATCAGCGACGCGGAAAGCCAGCCTGTCGGCTAATATTGTGGTCTCGGTTCCTTGATTTTTTTCGACTCCCTTTCGACGGCAGATCAACGGCGGTGTTTCAGTTCCCCCAGAATCATCAGTAAGCACAGGGGGTGCCTCGCCGTGCTCAGTAAACAAATTGTACTTTCGCTGGAGATTTGCGGAGATTTGCCAAGCCTCGTTTTTGCGGGGGTTATGCACGACCAAGCCGTATTAGTAAGGATTATACCGCACTGCCTCAGGCACAACCCCGGAAGCTCCTCCACAGTGGCAGGCATGTGCCCAGTGCTCAGGACTCACTACTGGGCCGAAGTGCGCTTTCCCTCTTGGTCATTCTCCTTCTCTCCCCGGACTTCCCTCTCCTCTTCACCTTCAAACGCGAGAAAAAAAGAACTTGTCAGCTTGAGCTTGCGGGTCTTCCAATTATCATCCTTCGTCGAGCCCCGCCTCTTTATCTTCGTCGATCTGAACCCCTCTCCCGCTCATTATGCGCTTCCGCCATTGAAGGTGGATGGAGCTCGTTCCCCCAAAGCCCAACCTCGCTACACACCATGCCGAACACTGCTTCTGCGGCCCCGTCGCAGCAATCGCCTCCACCTACTTCAAATCCGGCTTTTGACCTGGATAAAGATCACAGTGCCGATGAGTCTTGGTCTGCCATTGACAGTGATACTGGTGCTGCGCAAAATGGATCATCGCGTGGCTTGAAACGCAGGCGGCCACTCACAGTATCGTTAGTACCTCTTTGCCCCAGCGGGATATCCGGCACGGGATATCTACAATGTAGTGTGTCTCCTGTTATGGCAGGATCGTCACTTATACCGCAGAAGTTTGCCTGAACAGCTGGATTGACAACCTTAGGTGCGAATTATGCAAGCAACGGAAGGTGAAGTGTGGTATGACCCTCAATATCCGTCACCTTGTCTTGTTGCCAGTGTTCGATATCTAACAACTTAGACCGGGCCCAACCAAGTTGTGGGTGGTGTACACGCAATGCCCAGGTGTGCGAGTACAAAGAAAGAAAGAAGCCTGGCCTTCGTGCAGGTTACGGGAAGGAGCTAGAACAACGCCTAGGTATGTACTCCCCAACCTGTCGCTATTATTCCAGAGTTGTGTTCTTGTTTTCTTACTCGGGAACCAACAGACAGGCTGGAGGACATCATCCAGACGCAAGCCCGTCTCATCGAAACACATATTCTCCAAAGTCAACCCAGGGGGTCGCATGATCTTCATCACCCCGGAGCTTTATCTTATAGTTCGCCATCGGAACCCTCTGCAGCACATGGACCGAGTCCACGGAATCCGTTCTACATGCAAGAACCGTCATCCGTACCCTCGGCTCCCCGCCCGCCCGAGCCCTCTATCACTAGTCCGACGGACGTCTCGGTGAAGAATTCTATTCAGAGCCACCTCACTGGCCCTCTTCCCTCTGTAACTTCCTTACCACAGATTACAAACACTACTTCGCAGAACGACTTCAATGATAACGAGTCGTCTTTGAAAGTGCCTGTCAGTTTGTTCGCTAATCAAGAACAGTCGTTTTCCGACCCTGAGCTTGACCTCCCCCCTTACGACCTTCTGTATGCATTAGTTGATCTCTACTTCGAGCACCTAAATACCTGGTGTCCAATCCTTCATCGAAGAACCACACTAGACACCTTCTTTGGACCTGCTCCTCTTGAAGAGGCTGACCGCATGGTGCTTTATGCTATTGTTGCAACCGCTCTTCGCTTCTCAAGCGACAGTCGACTCACTGAACAAAACCGAAAACGGTATCACGATTGTTCGAAGCAAAAAGTCTTGCTCTATGGTCTGGAGAACTCTTCAGTAAAGGCACTCCAGGCCCTAGTGATTCTCGCCCTTGATTTAGTCGGGTCATCGAATGGGCCACCTGGTTGGAAATTACTCGCATTGATAACAAGATCTGTGGTCCAATTAGGGCTAGCTGTCGAGGCGAAGTCAACTCTTATATCTCCGGTGTATCCGTCCATATATACACTACGCGCAGTTACGCTTCCCGAATCGGAATCGTGGATTGAAGATGAAGGCAGACGTCGACTCTTCTGGATGGTATACCTTCTCGACCGGTATTCAACTCTGGCAACGGCTTTCGACTTTGCTTTGGATGATAAAGACATCGATCGCAAACTTCCTTGCAAAGATGAGTACTTTATCAAGAATCAGCCAGTCGAAACGAGATGGTTCCAATCATCGAATGACCGCCCAGATAATCTCATTCGCTCTGAGAATGTCGGATCATTTGGGCTCTATGTGGAGATACTTGGTATTCTCTCGCGGATACATGTTTTCCTCAAGCGACCCGTTGATATTGGGGCACTATCTGATGTCGAAGAGTGGCAAGCAACCTACCGTAAACTGGATAGTGACTTAACCACCTGGGAATTCAATCTTCCTACTGAATATACCTACGAAAATGCCTCTCGAGCGTTCAGTGGCTCAAAACACAAAGGACACCATTGTGAATGGGTTCAATTACATTCCGTTTATCAAACGTAAGTCAACCTAGGATTAAATTATTCTGTTTAAGAGCTGCAGTTTCTGCTCTCTATGGCCAGCGTTAATAGCCCGATAGAGCAGTTATTCGGCTCCATTCTTCTGCAGCGTATCCCACCACCAGGTCCCCAATTTTTACGCCATCATACAGTGCTAGCCAACGGTGTTTGCTTGCGGTCGACAATATTCTTTCAGTTACTCGATTCGTGGTTAACAATAACATCTTGGACAAGCTTGGACCACCTTTTGCGTTTACACTATGGGTTTCTGCGCGTTTGCTGCTCGTCCATGGCTCTACGATCGCCCATACAGTCAGCCCCGATATAGTGTTCATCGTTGACACTCTTTTTCGTATGGGTAAATATTGGAAAGTTGCGGAGCGCTACAGCACAATATTACAGCGAGTGCTTGATGAGTATGGCGAATACCAACAAGCTGGCGCCGTTGATGGCGACAGATCCACGCCGTCTACTGTCAAGATACTCGCGGACATGCGTCGGTGCGCTTTCGACCTAGACTTTTTGATATCTCGGCAACCCCGTTCTTCACCAACTGCTAGCCAGCCTACAGCACAGCCAACTGGGCTACTGTCACGAAACCTAGCACCAAACGAACTGGAATATCTTGATGTCTTCGGCTTCTTTAATGTCCCACGAGTTCCTGCCGGCCGAACTCCTGATATCAACAATATTGACATGGCAGAGCCTGTCAATAACCCTATGTCGATAACTGGGCTAACTGGGGCCGGAAATTCGAATCAACTCCCAGTGGATAACACCTCCACCAACACGAACGAATTTAACATTACGAATTACTTGATTCCGACCCCCGAAACAGACTGGCTATTCCGCCCTGGGGGTTAACCACGGCCGGGGAAGAAGGTCAAATTGATCTCGAAGAGTCTTATACCTGTAGTCCAGAGCTTCACTATGCCGCTTTTAACAGCATGAATTAAAGTCGACCAGGCGAGAAAAGTGCTGTCCGTCAGATAAACACATGTGGTTAGATCTAATCACGATTGAAGAGCTGCAACACCGAAAGGTCAACCAGATCACGTTCCCGGACACATGGAACATACAAACGTCCTAGACCATGGAATGGCATTGGGAGCCAGGTTCGAGCCCAGTTATGGACCGGAAGAATACGATAAGCCTTGGTCGTGTTCTGCGTCCAACTTGGAACCCGGCAACGCATTCATGCTATTTGCCCCGTTCGTCATAAGATAGCCAAAGAAGATGCTTTGCATAACTAGTTCCTTGGTTACCATTGACCTAGTTAATTTTACAAGACTACGTCACCCTTATTGGTGCAAGGGCCAAAAGCAGTTCTTCTGCCATGCCAGTTATCAATAACCTACTATGAAAAACCTAGACCCCGTGAAATATCTTGCTTAAGATTGAGAAATCTAAAGGACCAGCCGTGTATAGAGACATAATAAGGAGTGGAAACAAAAGAACCCTTGAACGAATTTACGAACCCGTCTCTTTTGTGCCGTTAAGTTGCCAAGCCAACATACAAGTCGCAACGGGTTTCTCTCCCATCACAACTGCACGCATTGGATGGCTTTCTTAAGGAGCAAACCAGAGGATCCAGAAACACGGTGTAGATGAACAGAAAACGGAGGGGACTCGAACTTTCGAGCCTCCGCAGAAAGAGCAAGTAGGACACCACATGTATCCTAAGAGCACTAGGGAAAAGGGAGAAGGCAGCACTGGCAAGGAAGGTCGCTAAAACAAAAAATCGAAACGAAAAAGAAATAAAATCGCAGTTCAATGCCTGTTTGAACTAATCTTCATCACCTGGCTCAATCCTGACAAGGATCTCTTCAAGGAATCCTTCGAGGAAGGAGGGAATGCCAGCTCCCATACCAACGGGGGCGTCATTGTCCCAGCGATCAATCCTGGTGAGAACACTTCGCAGGTCGCTGGATAATGATTCTATCATTTCTTGAGCATGTTCTCTGCGAGACTGGAGCTCCAACGATGCTTTTAGGCTTTCGCCATCGTGGGCTACCGCTGAACGAGTTGCATGATCTAAACATCGGGAACGGCGGCGGATGGCTTCTCTTAAAGCAGGAACAATGACGCTGCTTAGGGCTGTTATATCGTGGGATTCCCGTGTTTGCCCTGTTACCTGTGTGTTTGAAGGGGCGGGTTTATTTAATTGATGATTACTCGGAGCGGTTTGATTGGATGGTGAACTGTGTAATGGCGGATGTGGATGATTTTGGGGTTGGAGTTGGGGTTGTGGCGGCGGGGATGTATGTTTCGGTGTTGGGGGAGGGCGTGGAGGTGAATGGGATCGCAGCTGCGGCTGTGGCTGAGAAAACAATGGAGGCTGCACGCGTGGTGATTCCATCCCAGCCCTAACATGCTGTTCTGTGGGTCTCCGAGAGGGAGACCCTGCCATAAGTCCATGGGAAGTTGGCGCCTCTATCGAGGACGACGCGCGCGATTGATGTGACAACGGTGATGAGAGAGGGGTCTCTCTTTCTACAACAGTCGACACTGGGGCTCCCGGCGAACGGTCCAGTTGGAGGAAGCTCAAGTCCTGCGCTAAAGATTGCTGCAGAGCTCGGTCGTATTCAGTGCCTGGGCTTTCCTTAAGATGCTGATGTGTTGGTTGGGGAAGATGTGAAGGTGTTTTGGGCAAGTTGTCAAAATGCGTCGACTTCGCTGGGGAAGGGGGCAATGGAACTTTTGTCGGCGATGACGGCTTGGGTGAAACCAAAGGCGTGCTGTTGGCTTGTGTAAACGAAGGAGGTGGAACGTTATTCGATTTGGGAACCTCCTTTCGGGTCAAATCAGCTTTGGGATCTCGGTCCCTTGTTCCCTGGTCACGAACATTAAGATCCGTCTTTTTCATCGGATTCAGAGCGTGTCCTCGGCCCACTGGGCGAACCGTGCCAAAATCCCAGAGATCATCCTCCTCCTCAGTTGTTGTTGAAACTGATGGAGGCTCATGATCCAAATATTCGTCCTCATCGGCCTTCTTATTCCCACTCACGGCCTGCCAGCGCTCATAGCGCTCGATCAGCTCTGTTAGGTAATTGGTCTTCTTCGCCCGCTTAATGAAAGGATGCTCGAGCAACTCTTTGGCTGTTGGTCGCTCTCGCGGGTCGCGCCGCAAACACAGCTCAACAAAATTCTTGAAGGGTTTGCTGTATTCACCTTGCAGCGTAGGGGGAGGATTCTTAGGAATCAGGAACAGGACTTTCATGGGATGGATGTCTGAGTATGGAGGTTCTCCGTTGGCCAACTCAATTGCGGTTATCCCGAGGGACCAAATATCAGCCTTGTAATCGTATCCTGACTGCTTGATTACCTCGGGGGCCATCCAAAAAGGGGTTCCCACAAAAGTGTTTTTCTTTGTCATGGTAGCTGACAGTTGGCTGGAAACTCCGAAGTCTGCCAGCTTCACTTGGCCGGCCGATGACAGAAGAACGTTAGCAGCTGCCGAAAATACGCCGTTAGTTTTTTTTTTTTTTTGCCTTCATTGAGGATGGTTAAAGTGGCTGAAGCAAACGCACCTTTGACATCGCGATGTAGCTTTTTGTCGCTGTGTAGATAATCCAACCCCTTGAGGAGTTCACGGATAATGATGACAATATATTCCTCTGGAATAGGCCCCGGACGCATTAAATCAGAGCAGCTACCCCCAGAGCAGAATTCCATGACAATCCAAAGACTGGAACCCTTCAAGTATGATCCATGATATCTTGTCACGTACTGCGAGTTGAGTTCTGACAGGATAGCGATTTCCTGGATGATATCCTCAACTTCATCCTCGGCGTTTTCGACATCGATTATCTTGATCGCGACTGACTTTCCGTTACGTTTATCGACACTGTAGTATGCCGTTCGTATTAAGATTGTAATTCTGAGGAGGGGAGGGCCAGGTGTCATACCCTTTGTACACCCGTCCGAAGCTTCCACCACCTAAGCTAAAGTTAGGAACATTGTCAAACAGTATGGTTACTATTGTTGACACATACCAATGCAATTCTGCTTCATGTAAAGCGTCTCTGGATCCACTAGGCCTTCCATTTCGACCCTTCGAGTATTCGTAAATCCTCTACTAGACTTCTGTAACGCAGCACCAGGTTAGCAACAAGAGGCCCAATGCAATTCCAGCATAGTACATATAGAGCCATACTGGGAAACCGTATTATATAATGATCATCGGCTCCGATAAGGAATGGTCGTAGTGGTGCCACCTTACCTATCAAGGGCGTATTCTTCGCGATGGAAGGGAAGGGCAAAGCGCAACAGGAACAGATCTCGGAAATTGATAAACAAGGAAATCCAGAAAATGAAGGAAGCTATCGAGATAAGTTACAGAAGTGTTGCGATGGCAGTTCCACTTCTATTGTTGTGGCGTCTCGACGTCAACAAAAGCGGGCAGTGAGCGGCTGAGTCTTACCGTATAGAAAGCAAGACATGCCAATCCTTCCTTGCTTAAGCCGAGGGTCAAGTCATGAGGAGCAAATAAGGTATTGGGAATAAAGGGGGCCAAATTGAAAGATTCCTTGCATCATAATCCACCAGGGAGTTAATGACGAGGACCGTGACAACAGCAACGACAACAGCAACAAAACAATAATAATGCCATGACGGACGATGATTGGGGCCAGCGCGGGGGTCTATTCTGCCAGGCGGTAAGAGTGGATTCTAAAGGCGGTGTGCACAGCAATTATCAATATCACAAATCCTATTTCTGCTTTACTCCATAACCTTTATCCAGTGAACAGGGAACCGTTGTCAAAAAACCACTGTTCTCGCACATCAAATGAAAATGATAACTATCTGGATCCCCAAGCATTTCCTTCCTAAATTCCCGACTCCAGCCCATCGATGACCATTGGTTTCTCCGATGCCGTGGAACTCTTGTCGAAATAATCCCGCGGCGGAGATGTGCGGCCAGAGTCGATAAAAAGGTCGGAGTGGTGACCCGAGCAGGCATGAAAATCGGGCTGCCTGACGACAGAGGTGTGGAGGTGGTCGGGGCTCTCTCTGAACGGGGGCGAAGAAGAAGTTCCTCTGGCTTAGCTGGGAACGGGGAAGACATCTCCTTTCCGACTGGCTTGACTGGGCTTTCCACACCGTCCCCTTCTGAAGATTGAGGCATGTTCTCAACAGCAGACTTGACCAAGTCGGAAATAGATGCACCGCCCATGATCTTCAGTGTGGGAACATCCACATCAAGTTCCTTGAGGAACCACGCACGAATATCAACCGCGACTCGAGAGTCGACACTTTGGTCGACTAGGCCCACCATTTCATCCAGCTTCTGCTCCTCGGTCATTCGCAACAAGGGTTTAAAATGCAGAGCCAATGTGTCGCGGATGATGGTATAGGCTGCATCAGGACCGCTGGCGCTCTGTAGCTGCACTCGAACCCGCTCACCAGCCTTTACCGTTTGTGCTTCAGAGCCAGATTCTTCTCGCAGAATGAAACGGTTGAACTTGATGTCACGACAGTGTGCCTCTTTCACATAGAGTCCGGCAGGAATATAGTTCACGCCCATGGAAACCTGTGCCCTGCCATCGGATGATGGCCCCGGACGACCAGAAAGGATCAATTAAGACAAAGCCCTGACAAGAATTCGGATTATCGGACAGTGAAGCAGATTCGGAGTATTCGTGTACTCGTCGAATCGGCCTAGGAAATTCACGGGAGCCACTGGAGCCAAGACTGATAATCATCTCCGGACGATGGATGCGAATGGCGAAACAATGCATCTACGATATTGACCAAGATTTCCCTTATGCAACCGAAAGTTGTCAAGGCACCTAGTGTAGACACGGTGTAGTATTGAGGCCCTCTCTCGAGTTGGCTTTATGCCACTACTGTGAGCTAATTCATGATTCCAAGCTGCCTAAACATCTGAGTTGAGAATTCCGTATGTGTTCAGTGACCAGGTTTAGTGCGTGTAGTACGCTGCAATTTTGTCGTCTATTTAGTCAAAATTAGCAGTAGACATACATCTTTCCCCCTAGTACATCTGTCAAGATGGCCCATCGACATCCGTACAGCGTAGCGTCAACCGTGGTATGTCCCTCCGGGATTATCCCAGTTCATGAACATCCAGTCATGGAGGGGGGCAGTGCTATGGGCATTGTAGCTCATATTTTGATCCTCTAGTACCGGTGGAAAAATAGCTCCCAGAATTTCTGGCATGATGAACTGGTCAGCTGATAATCGTCAGTTGGGTATGATAACAAAGGCGTGAGACCCACGGTCATGGAAACCCATGTTGCCCGGTATAGGGTTATCTGACACCAAACCAAAGTCACCGCTGGAGTCAGGTATAGTCAGGCTACCGCCCGCATCTGCATTGAGGTTGGGCTCGCTTCTCCCATCACCCCCCATCCTCGAAAGCACAATACCAACAGTGTCTGCGGCTCGCTTTGCTTCTTTCGAAGTTGAGCTTCTACGCATCCAGATCCCTCTGGCACGTTGAAGCCCACGTAGAATTTCATCTTTCCTCTCCATAGTTCGCCCATTATGCAATAAGGAGCATAGGATCATTGCTGCAGTAAGAAACTGATGATTCATTAGCGAGGTGACTCGCCATCGCATCTCGTGCAGTTGACCTCCAGCGCAAGTTTCCTCGTCAAGCACATTCTGAAGCTCGAGAGTGCCCATCGACGCATCAATGCACGCTTGTCGCGAGTAATCGAAGCCGTCCTGCTTGCCCGATGGAGACTGCATACACAAGAATCGCTGATGTAGCATGATCTGACCCTTGTACAGCATATGTCTGATAAACAAACGAGCTATAATGACCTGTGGCGAGTCGGTCACACTCGCCGCCATCGATTTCCACTTCAGGGGTGCCGGGATGTTGGCAGCAGTATCATGAAGGATACGATCCACCTGCATAACCTCTTTATAGGAGCAAGGCTTGACCCTGCTTGTGAGATCTGCAATGATACCGAGGGCCTTCAACATTCGTCTGCGAGCGATGATCCCTAGAGCTGTTGTCAGCTCGGTTTCTAGTCGTGGAGGTGGCAGTTCCCTAGTGTCTTCGTCAAAATCAGTATCATTTAAATTCCTTGGCTCGGCAGTATCACACTTCCAATCCACGATCATCCGCGGCATCCCCATTTGGTTCGAAATCATGACATCACTCATGAGTACAGTTGCCCAGACTCGCCGCCGCATCTCAGCCTGGAAAGGTAAGATTCCAGGGAAGTGGCTAGGATCACGGTGGTAACCCATGCGCATCGCAAGATTAACTTCCACGGCAAGGAGATACCACATATCTCTATTCGCATCCGTACAAACGCAGAATTCCGCATAGATATAATTGATGACGGTTTCAAGTACATATGGACCCGGTTTCGTATATTCGCCCATGATCAAGCATTGGACGGTCTTTTCGCGGTAGAGATCAACCTGCAGAGATAGTAGCTCATTATCGCGGTTATCAGGCTGATTTGATGCCAGACAAGCAAGACATATCATGCTGAAGAGCAGCCCGACCCATATTATTGGGACAGCCGAGGGGTCAGCCCAGAAGGCCTCGTACTAGGGCCTGTCAGTACTGGATCCTCAACGCGTAGGATGATAGGATCAAGTTCGAGTACTTGCCTCTCGCAAGAAAGCGGGTGCATGGACAGCAGCTGGATGTCACCGAAGTATATGAGCCATTAATAGACAACAGATAGACAACGTCGAAAGGACTTACCGGCTGAGACGAGATCCAGATAGTTGAAGTAGCGCGATATATAACGATCGACTGCGTATCTTGGAGGGAGCGCAGACAGAATATCTTCTCGAGATGTTGGGCGGCATCCATACAAGAGAAACGCACCATCTCGGCCCGGGGCATTTGAGTCACCATTATTATCCTCGGGATCATCCGCGATCTGACCTGGACTCTCTGCTAGCCGCAATTGTTCTTCTCGATCCACATGGTCTTTGAGATCGGCTATGCCTTCTAAAATGGCAACCCAGTGGTCCCCTCCAATGTAGCGGAGCTCTGACGCACTGATTTTCATACTTCCACACTCTGAACGCTCATCTATCGGAGTATCCTCCGGCATCGTATCTGTCGGAGTTGGCACCAATTGTCGTACATTGGTGTTGGTATGCATGTTAGCAACCGCTGCCGAGTTCGACATGACAGACATGACAAGTCGTTCCAGTTGGACTAAACGATCATGTGTGTTTGATGGCGCTGTCGGAGCTGTCCTTGATGGGGCGGCGACAGTTGAACTATTCTCTGAATATGTACATGTTTGACCGCGTATAGAACATAAAGAGCATGGCCTCTTGCGATCGCACCGTGATCTAAACAAGGTTCAGTGCCACATTCTGTACAAAGGGTGTGGTAGAGTGCTTACTTTCGACGCCTGCACGGATTACACGACAGCTGAGGCTTTTCCCTGCGCCGACTGGGGTTGAAAACCGGCTGCGACGGAGTGGCAGCGTCACTTTTCTGTGCGGACTGGGAAGCATCCATGGGGCGTCAAATTAGGGGTAGACTGGAGAAGGAATGAATTCACGTCTAGATGATTGATTCTTTGAGGAGAAACGGAGATGGTGTTCGTGATGCCCGGTTTTCCTGCCTGAGGCATTCTTCCGTCTTAGCGCAGCCTTCTCGTGATATTTCTCTTTTAGGCAAATACGAAAGCTTGACGACGTTTACCACTTTGGCGAAAGTCTTTTCTCTCCGCTTCCCTTCAGACACTACCTAGGTACAATGAGAACATACTCCGTAGGGGGCTTGTTCGTACAGAGTATTGTGGGCCCCGCTGGGCGGGTCCATGGATCTCCTGAGATCGTCCGATCCGACGACCCTCCGATCCTCCGCCCCTATACTATGGGGTTGGCAAAGCATCCGCGGAGGAGACCGCGGAGGAGACATCCACATTTCCGATCCTCCTATCTTGCAGATGACTCTAACCGCCTATTGTCCTATCTCCGGTCACTTTCATCTATTAAACGCATCGATGGCCATTCTTAGCTGGCGAAGGACTGATACCTTGCTTGGCTTCGTTCGTATTCATTCTCTCGGCTATCTACGTCTGTGACATCAGCAGTATGACACCAAAACAACTGGAAAAGGGCAGCATGAAAGACAGTGCTCTTCCAGTGACTGAAATCGTCGACTGGGATGGGGATGATGACCCAGCCAACCCTCGCAACTGGCCAGAATCTAAGAGGTGGGCGCATGTAGTCATCATCTCCATCCTGGCTCTTATCACGTAGGCTTCGGTTGATGCAACTCAGTGGCTGCGTACTAGCTAATCTCTCTCCAGGAACATGGCGCCCACAATGTGTGCCCCGGGAATCAAGGAAATCGAGACTGACTTAAACATCACCTCCAGTGTTGCCAGTACCCTTGCCGTCACACTTTATGTGCTGGGTATTGCTATTGGACCCATGTTCATGTCACCCCTTAGCGAAATCTACGGACGTGTGCCCATTTACCACGCGGCAAATGTCATCTTTATGGCCTTTATCCTTGGCAATGCACTCAGCCAGAGTCTAGCGCAGTTTCTTATCTTCCGGTTTCTGTCCGGCTGCGCTGGCGGTACCCCGATGGCTCTTGGCGGAGGGACAATTGCGGACATTACAACTATTCAGAAACGAGCTGTGGCAATGGCTTTATTTAGTATGGGTCCTCTGGCAGGACCAGTGAGTCACTGATTGCTCCACGCCTCCAATTCCTCTCAAGCATTGGCTAAGATGTCGCCTAGGTTCTCGGCCCAGTCATTGGGGGCTTTGTCGCGGCGGGGCCGGGCTGGCGTTGGACGTTCTGGCTGCTCGCGATCCTAGGAGGAGTGGCCGGAGTCACAGCACTGGTCATCATGCGCGAAACCCACCCCAAGATCATTTTGGAGCGCAAAGCTGCCCGCCTGCGTGCTACTACTGGCCAACTGAATTTACATTCCAAGCTTGCAAATACTTCGCTCTCACCAGAACAGGTCCTTGTTCAGGTCCTGATCCGACCAACTATGCTCCTTTTCCAATCGCCCATCCTATTAGTCATATCCCTATATGTTGCATTGGTGTTTGGAGTGATGTACCTCCTCTTTACAACCTTTCCTAGCGTGTTCGAGGGTCAATATAGTTTCAGCACGTCTATATCCGGACTTGTCTACTTAGGCCTGGGTGTTGCATTAGTCGCTAGCATGCTCCTGTTCAATGTTCTGAATGGGCGGGTACAAGCAGCACGCATGAAAGCTGATGGGGTACAGCAGGCGCGACCAGAATACCGACTGCTGCTAATGATTTGGTTCAGTCCTTTTGTCGGACTTGGCTTGATCCTCTACGGCTGGACAGCATACTACAGGGCTCATTGGATCGTGCCTATCATTGGCACAGTCTTCATGGGGTTTGGGGCCTTTTTTGTGATTGTAGGTCTCTCGACGCCCCCCACCAATCGCGCTAATGCTGATGAGCTGATTATCTAGATGCCCTCACAACTGTACCTAGTCGATGTTTTTGGGTCCCAAGCAGCTGCCTCCGCTCTGGGCGCTAATAATCTTCTACGTTATATTTCTAGTACCTTCTTGCCACTCGCGGGGCCCGCCATGTACCATAGCCTGAATTACGGGTGGGGGAACACATTGCTAGGGCTGCTTGCACTTGCATTTGTTCCAGGGCCGCTTCTGTTCTATCGGTATGGCGAGTACCTACGCGCCAAGTCCTCCGTGAAACTGCGGGAGCCAAGTTGAAAGGAGCCAAGTTGAAAGGCTCGTGGATGACCATGAATCTGGTCAATGTGCTGTACTCGGTTTTAGATACCTAATGTAGCTAGAGATTTAATACTCCTCACCCAGGTCTTTATTAAGTGGCTTCTAAATGATTCAGCATTATCCAGCCCAGGGTACGTATAATACTTGGTCTATGGCGATCCCCCCGGCGGGGGGGGGTCGTGTACCATGGAACCTATAAAAGAGCACATCTCTCGGCTACAGAGTTTCAAAATGGTTGGCTTTCCACACGAAGGTGAACTAGGCCTGAAATGCATTAAATGGGGGTTCATTATCCATGGCAAATCGTCTCACGTTTGTAGTTACAAGAAGATCAGCCGACACATCCATTGCTAGGCGAGATACCACCTAGCCTAGTAGCGCCTTAATCCTCAATATACCCTATCATGACAGTTCCGTTCTTAAGGCCGGCATCTCCCACGCTCTCATCTAGAACATCGATCAAATTGCGACCCATAGAATTGAGTTCGAACTCAACCCCAGCTTTGTCCGGCAAGGCAGGTTCAGCTTTCAACCATTCATAGATCCTTCTAACCGGATCGTCCAACGCAAACCGCCGAATCACCCTTCCAGTAGGATGACGGAATTGAATGCGTGTCGTTGTAGCGGGGTCGGCAGGGGGCTCGACATGCGGCAGGTTGCCCGGAATAGACGAAAATGCAGACTTCGCCGGCCCGTCCTCATCTGCCTTATCCATATCAACATCCTCATCATCCACCGCTTTACCCTTGCCCTTAACGTCGCCAGAGCTCCGGGTTAGGTCATCCGGGTCTTCCAGTTTCTTTGACTGCGCAGCCTCCGCCCCGAGACTGTTCTTCATTGCCAGTTCCATCATCTCTTCTTCTGTCATAGCATCGATGCTCTTCTCCTTTGTTTCTGGTTTCCGTTTCGCCACAGGGTTTCGGACATTGTGATTCAAGCTGTAGCGGTCAAGGAACTCGTGTAATTGCATCAGAAAGTCTGCAGCTTTCACCACTGGGGGGCCTGACCACGCCTTCATTTGCTCACCAGTGCGAGGATCAATAATGGCGATGTGTGGATAGTTATCAGAAACATCACTAGCCTGGAAGTAGTATTGGATATACGGTCCAGCACGAGGGTCGTCCTTGGTGTACTGCAGAAATATGAAATGTTCTTGTATGGTCTCCTTGACGCTAGCGTTTTTCCACAAGTCCCTATTCAGAAGCTGGCAATCAAAGATGGATGGGTCCTGAATGTTCACTAGAATCCACTTCTCGTGCTCCCGGCCTTCTTCACGAGCGAGATCCCAAGGCAACCTTGACATAATTTCGAAAGGGGGTCGGTACATCTCCGCTAGCAGATTTGATTTAGAGGAAGCTTCGGAGGCGCCACCTGTTGCTTCCGCCAGCCTTTCACGGTGTGCCTCCTCTTGCTCATCGTCGCCGGTCCATATTGATGACGTATCTTGTTGGTTGAAAATGCCAGGGCGGTCTAAGGTAAGCGCTTATCAGCAAGACGACTTAAATACATAATGGAAGTGAGATACTAACTGCCTCGTCGTTGACGTGTACGAAGCTGGCTAAGTATGTTCTCGTGCATATCTCCGCCGAAATCCGCCTCTGGTCCGACAAGAGTCTCAGTGGTGCGGGCCATCGGTGCACGCACTTCATCAGGTTCAGGGGCAGTTTGCCCGCCGTACATCTCTTCCTGGAGGCGACGTGCCATGGCCGCATCATCCTCGAACGCCCCACCCCGGTTAGCAGTTTGGGCGTCGTCGTCGTCAGAGTCGATGTGCACTACTCCGGAAGCATCTTCGTAGCCAGAGCGAGAGGGTATATTCGAGGTAGATGTCGTGGGAACGGGTTCGCGCGTAAGTGGTGCTCCGTCATTTTCAAAGTAAAGCTGCATCGCTTGTTCAATATTGAACTCTGTTAGCTGCAGATACTGGGTCGCCAGCTCCGGAGTCGACCCGGTGATTTCGGAGAACTGAGCCACGACGTCGCCGTCCATGGCGAGTGATGTGTCCTGGAAAGCGCCTCTAGATGTATTTGATATGGTAAAACTGCAGCCGCTTCGCAACCTTGTAGTGTGTTGCTGAACGAAATCGATCTGCAAAGTTGAAAGTAAGAGTGATGCAAACAGATGCAAACCCCACCAAGCTTCTCAGAAGGTTGGCGAATAACAGCAAAATATTCTACCGTCTAGAAGAAGAAATACGGAAATAAAGCGAGAGGCGAGCTGAATACTCACGCCTGAGTAGCAGATGCAAAATATATGTCAAACGAACTCGCGGATAATGAGATGTTTCAAACCTTTGCTGGCAAGCACTAGTTAGGCTACCTACCTGAGTGACGCAGTTACATTGTTAATGCCACTCGGCATATAGATAATCCGCCGAGAGGCAGATGATTACTAACAATGCAACCAACTAGTCACGTGGTTTTGGCTGGGACGCGTCCCGGCGCGCGAAGACGCGACTCCCGACAGGACCAATTATGCCTTGTTCGGAAAGCCGCTCGAGCTGAGATACCCCGGGACTTGCATCTACATCCACCTTTCTCTACCCCATCACGAATCTACCGAAGCTTTCCTGTAAACCCTTAGACTCCCCTGTACTGGGAAAGTGCGACTCTACTTATATCGGGGGGATTTCTGGTTGTTATTTCCTTTTTTATTGTCATGGCCGCAACGGTATTGGGGAAGCGCCAGCGGAGTGCCATTGGGACAGAAGGTACGGCTGCTTGCTTTGGCTACGGCTCCCTCCCACGGTTTTATCCGGTTTGCTAACATGGCCATTGGTTTATAGCTGCCTTACCGCTACGCAGCAACAGCAGGCGCCGAACACAACCACCCCCAATCCATCGAGAGAACAGCCAAGTCCCGGCACCGTCGACACGCCAACTTCGATCTCGCACAAAGCACAGCGATGACTTCCAGTCAGAAAATGGCGCTACTACAAAAGATTGTGTAGGTGAGATTGGCCGAGCAAAGAAAATCGATATCCCGAAAGAGCAAGCGCCATCCCCTGCAAAAGAAAATTCCCTGCCAGCTATCTCAGAGTCGCCAAATGGTAGGTGCCATACGGTAGCTCAAGATGGAACTCAGATAGCTTGTGCAAACGAAAACCTGAAACCTGTGGAAGTCAAAACCCCTTCAAAAGCTAGATATCGAAACGCCCTTGAATCACCACCAGTCACACCAAAGCATCGAGTACAAGTTGGAGGCAAAAACCTCACACCCCGTACACCTCGCCAGATAGGAACTCCAACAACGGTTCAGACCATCTACACACAAGCCCGTCAGCTATTTGCGCGAGGTGCAAGCTCTGGGCGGATCATTGGCCGTGATGCAGAGAGAGGAAAGCTTGCCACGTTCATCGAGGATGGCATGCAATCACGCAGTGGTGGATGTATGTATGTCAGTGGGCCCCCGGGTACCGGTAAGAGTGCTCTTGTTAAGGAAGTACTCGAGGGGCTTAACCTCAAAACTGTGAGGGTCGCACAGATTAATTGTGCGAGTATGAGAACCGCACGGGACGTCTACAGCAAGCTTATCGAGGACCTCTGTGATGACGGCGAGGTTTTCAAGAAGAGCGAAGCTGATAGATTGAAAAGCATGTTTGTACCGGACAAGAAACAAGCCACCAAGCATGACATGTTTTTGGTCATGCTGGATGAGATTGATCATCTCCTCACCGCGGATGCTGGAATTCTTCAATCTTTGTTTGAGTGGTCATTACAGCGGGAGTCAAAGGTGATGCTTATTGGTATTGCCAATGCACTCGACCTGACTGACCGTTCGCTACCTCAATTGAAAGCGAAAAATCTTAAGCCTCTTCTGCTCCCTTTCCTGCCTTACAACGCCGGCCAAATTGCAAGCGTGGTAATCAGTCGCCTTCGATCGTTGCTTCCAGAAGGACAAACAGAGGACCCGAATTTCATTCCCTTTGTCCATCCTGCAGCCATCCAGCTCTGTGCAAAGAAGGTTGCTTCGCAAACTGGAGATCTACGGAAGGCATTTGAACTTATCAAACGGGCAATCGACCTGGTTGAGCAGGAGACGATGCAAAAACTCGAGAAGGGAGTTCCAAATAGTCCGTCAAGGACTATTTTGGTGGAGAACAACAACCTCTCGTCATCTCCCAAACAACTACTACCAAAGTCAGGCTCCGTGCTCCCTTACACAATCCTCGCGGCACCTCGAGCTAGTCTGCCACATATCGCCAAAATCACGTCCTCGGTCTTTGGACAGGGAACCACACAGAGGCTAAAGTGCCTGAATCTTCAGCAAAAAGCTGCCATTTGTGCCTTGGTGGCACTCGACCGAAAACGACGCGAGTGCGACATCCCAGGAACCCCGTCAAAATCAAAGCATTCCGCCCCAACAGTGAAACAAATATTTGATGCGTACTGCACCCTATGCAGGGCAGACAATATTCTACACCCGTTAACAGCGACAGAGTTCAAAGACGTTCTTGGGAGCCTAGAGACTTTAGGGCTTGTGGGTGAATACCAAAGTCGAGGTAGAGGCGGTACGGTCTCTGGTGGTACAGATATCCGACGTACACCTTCAAAGTCTGGTGGAACATCATTGAGCAAGGCATTGGATGAACAAAGCCTTGTTTGCTTCGTATCGCAGAAGGAGATCGAAAGCCAGATCACTGGCCCGGGCGAGGGTATCCTTAGGAGGCTATTTTCAGGTGAAGGTCTCTAATAAATGTATTTTGTATGAGTTTTTGGGGCATTGGTGGTGTTTTAGCGATTGTTGGATATTCATAACTCGTTCTCTTCAGTGCATAGGCTTGGAGTATTGTACACTTATACTTATAGACAGCAGCATTTATCACCATGAATGCATGATAATTATACTGTTACGTGAAAAGGGAAAACGGTTGACGGACCGGCTCTGTATGCAGTTCATATACAGGCTCTTTAAAAGAAAAGTTTGGGTGCTATACAACTCGAGAAGCGTAAAAGTAAACTAATAAGAACAGCAGAATGAAATAGACATACAGGGGGGTATGCAAGATGTAACAATATGGTGTGTACCAGGAAAATGAAGTTGTCAAACTCTCAAACTCAAGCAGAAAATGGCTATGTGTTGAAATGCTTCCAGGCGGATATCGAACGACGAAAATCAGTCGTCCATTGGCTTATCCTCTAGCGTGACGCCCTTCGGTTCGCTCTCAACGATACTGCTCCGCTTGCTGTCTGATCCGGACTCGCCAGAGATAGTAGGGAAGCTAGAGCGGCTTCCGAGACCCGGTTTACGGGAATAGATACCGCTAGAACGTGACACAGAGCCACGGTTCGAGTTGGATTCCTCCGTGAGAGGAGTAGGCGTCGGCGTTGGGGAGCCATCAGATCGGCTTTCAGGTGGCGGACTGGTGGCCGTGTCCGGGGAATGGCTTGGATCCGTGGAGATCGGGGAATCGGTGGTGGGGGTGCCATTTGCGGTGGTTTCTGTGGCGTGGATGTTCACGTTCGAGAGCTCGTCTGCGCCAGTGGGGGATTCACCACTAGGAACGTCTAAGCTGTTTCGGGCTGTTGTGGTTTTCCTCTCCCCGGAGACGTTGATCGGGAAGCGGGTTCCTTCTGGTCCGCTGGAACGATCACGTCGGTGCTTGCGAGGAGGAGCTGGGCTGTGGGCACGGCTACGGTCCATGATGGCCCGGTTTCGGGCTTCCATGGCGGCTCGGCGATTGCTCTCATCTGTACTGATCGCGCGAGGACGGGGTGCAGCTGTCCCAACGAGACCGCTCGACTGGCGTTTCAGTTCGCCAAAAATCGTGTCCTTGTGGGCAAAGAGATCGCGGATTAGGCGGTAGCTGTGGCGCTCGTCCATTGTCAGACTGCTCTCGCTACGGGGGCGAAGGACGCAAGGGGATAGCGATTGGGCAAGGCCAGAAACATAGGTTTCATCGGCGGATGTCAAGTCTATCAAACGCGTAAAGTGGGTCATAATAGCATCAAGCGTGGCAATATTGTTGAGACGGAGTTGGCCAAGAGTGCTTTGAAGGACCTTGATGCGTCCTTCTTCGGTGGTCTCGTTTGCAGTCGTGGAATAAATGGTCTTAATAATTTCATAAACTTGGGAAGAAACAAGGGAGTCTTGCTTGCGATTAGCTTCCCTTGTATCTTAGTTTTGGATGGGCAGTTTCTTACCTGGCAATTCGAGAAGGTATAATTTGAGCGTGCTTGCAACAACAGGAATCTCATACTTCTGAAGTACTTCAAAGTAATCACCCTTTCTGTTGTTCAAGGCGTGGCGGAGGTGGTGTGTCGCTCCCAACGGAACATCATAAAGCCAAATTGCACGCCGCGATTCGTCGCCCTCAAGTTCAGGGTAGCCTATATCATTTATTAACTTCATTTTTCGTTTTGTAGAAAGACAGCTGTGGGCTTACAGTTATCAAGGTAAGTTAAGAGCGTCGTGACAATGATTGGCACCCTTTTACGGTCCGCTCTTGCCCTAGCCTCAAGATCGACACCGAAGATCTGGTCTGGAATGTCATGATTAGCTCTAGGCCTATTAATAGAGGGGCCTGAGCATAGTTACCTTCGACGGAGCCATAATAATTTTCGTAGGCTTGTACCTTGGGTACGAAACCACCAGTTCTGTAGTTCTCGAGAAGGTACCGCAGATCTCCCAGGGGTTGAATGGTCTCTTGGTACAGCATCATGTGGTCCACGGTGCTCTGCAAGTTAGGAATAACATTGCTGACAGCTCCAGAAAAGTCAAGGACCACTGCCTTGATGGCCTTGAGACGGTCCAGCTCGCACTGCTCCATGAATCTGAGGTTCGCAACAATTTCCTCCTCAAGTTTGCATCGGATGAGGTCAAGTTTGCGCACAGCGGCCTTGTAGCGCTCATCAGCCTCGCGAGATTCTCTACGTAGTTTCTCCGCCGGCGTCTCGTTCGGGTGTGGGTTATTCAGAGGGTTCCAGCCTGACAGCATCTCGGAAACTGACGCAATAGGGGAATCGATGCCATCTTCGCTAGTTGCGACGGAGGTCACACGATTCAGAGCACCCCTTTTCTCCGGAATACCAGAGATTTGGAAACTCTTGGGGCGCCATTGGTAACGCAACTTGGAGCTGTTGGCAAAGGTGCTGCCCATATTTCCCACTAACCGAAGGAACCCGGTGTCGACAAGATCCTGCCCGATTCTTTCAGCATAGCTGAGGCTAGTCGCGTTCAAGTACTTTTGAGTATATTCCACGATGTCTGCGCCAGTCGATGTGTTTTGGTACGTGCCAATAATAGGTACCTTAATCTCACCCATACTGACGGTCTCCATCATGTGCACTAAGAGCTTCTTCAAATCATCTGGTGAATAAAGTTTGTCACCAAGCTCTACCGGCTCGTCTTCTTCGGGTTCCGTGTCTGGGAGGATGATCTTGGGCGCTGCTTTGGGTTTCGGACTGGTCTCTGGCGCCTGAAAAGCGAGCTTGTTCTCTTCTTCCAGATCCTCGAGCACACGGCATTTGTTGAAATAGTGGCTCCGCAACTTCTTTACCAGATCAACCTGCTTGGTGTGCTCTTTAATCCGAGATTGAAGGTCATCGTGCGAATTCTCAATCCGAGCCTCATGTTGATCGCACCAGCGTCTAAACGGCGAAACGACCAATTCCCGAATGTTCGAGGCAATCTTCTGGTGATTCCTGGCCGCTTCAACCATCTCGGTTCGGGTTCCCTCATACGCCTATACACGTTTCCTCGGCGTCAGCATATATGAAGTGATGGGAATGACCTCGGAACGCGACTCACCTTCCTCACACTCGCTCCGTCATCTTTCGAAAATCCTGTTATCATTCTATCCACACTTGGCGCAATATCCCCAAGCTTCTGACTATACAATTCCTCGGCATCGGCACGCATTGACGCAATCGTAAGTATCTGCTTGTTTTCTACGACTCCCTGCTGAAGCTTTCCATACAGGACCCCGAGACCTGTGGCGTAGTCTGGGGTCCAGAAGGAGTCTGCGAACCCGGGCATTGTTTCTGGGTTCGGAACACACGTTTGTAGATGATTAGAATGGTATAGTTCCCTTCGCACAGCGGGATGGGGAAGCTGGAATGGAGCCGGTCGTCTGTCCACGGAACGCGCAAGCGGAGATGATCTCGTCGGTCGTCGGTCCGGGGAAGATGGGTAGCGAGAGAGGGTTGATGGCGCTTCGCTTCAAAACAAGTAGCACAAGAGCAAAAACTAAAGGAGAGTCTTGAGTCTCGTTTAAAGCACCAGTGCCAATTCGAGTCGTATAACGGCGTGGACGTGGTCGAAGCAGTCGCTGAGCAGACTGTATGCGTGGGCGCCTAATAGCTGAGCAAAGGAGAGAATGCGTGAATTGGGAAGCAAAACAGAGAGCAGAGCAAATCGTCAAAGCAAAAACAAAAGAAGATGGGCGTCGTCCTGCGGTAAACCGGTTATGATATTGACTGGATGAAGGAGCAAATAGAGGAGGAAGAAGACTCCCATCAGGCCTCCCACAGTGCTGGACCAGCAGTTCCTGGGCTGCGAATCTCCATTCGTAATTTACGGGATCTAAACCTGACCGTTGCCGCCTCAGCCTCACGTGTTCTTTGTCTCGGACTATTTTTGGTGTTCCCGTGAAATATTACCGTAAATTCCTAAACCACCACCGGCAGTGGCTTCAGCTGGGATAAGACATCCACTTGTTACTCCAGTGATTACTAGCCACTATTAGCGCCTATACAAGGAGGATCCTGTTCCGCGTCTAGCTTGGAATCGACAATCCCATTATTATCGACACCTTGCAGCTACGGAATTATACAATTGTTTTTGAAGCCCTGGATTTAGATGGATGTTAAAGTCTTGTAAATGTGGGTATCTCATGATCGTCGTTACTTCTATCGAAACTAAGCTGCAGGGCATGGAGAACACGCATGCTGAAAAGTAGACTCCGAAGTTAGCAGAAAAATTTGTAAAGCTTCTTCCACGCGGGCCATGCTGCCTGCTGCGCTCGTTCTTCTTTAATGAGCCACTGGACGTTTAATTCTCGCCGACCCGTGCGCAAATCCATGTCTTTCGAGCGGAGGATCTTAGTTTTGAATCGTAGCTTATAGGGGATGTAGAAGAGAAGGACAACCGGTGCCGCGAGGTACTTCGAAAAGAAGTTGCTGACCAGCATGGATGTCGACATGGATTCATGGTGAATCGGTGAGAAGCCGACCCAAAACTGGGCTATCAGAATCAGGCAATTAAAGGTGAGGCCTATCCATGAGCCCATTATCCCCGGCTGCGAGCGAAAAGCCAGATCGTTCAAGTTGTGTCCTTGTACTCTCCACGCGCGGCGAAAGCGTATGTGTGCTAGACAAATTGAACCCCAAGTGAAGATAGATGAAAGGCCAGAAATCGCTATCATCCATTCAAAGGCGGCCTCTTGTTGATCACTTGCAGCTAAGAACCCTAGCAGGCCAAGGCCGGAAGCAATACCGATGGCCCACAAAGGGCGGCCCTTCCGGTCAATATAAGCTAAGAACCGAGGGGCTTGCTGCTGCTCTGCAAGCGCTGCAAGCGTCCGCGAGGAGCCATACACAGCTGAGTTTCCGACAGAAAGAACAGCAATCATAATCACAACATTCATCACAGAGTCTAGGACTTCGACCCCGGCATTTTTGATAGAAATCACGAAGGGAGATGCCTTGGCATCGACAGAAGAGGTTCCGTTTATGAGCCGGGGGTTGTCGTAGGGAATTAGAAGACCGACCAGGGTCAGCGAAACAATGTAGAAAAGCGTGATGCGCCAGAAAACCTGTTTGACAGCAGTGGGTAAAGATTTCCTAGGGTTGGCGGTTTCGGCTGCGGCAAGGCCAACTAACTCAGTCCCTGCAAATGCAAATCCAGCATTCACGAAGACATCACACAAGCCCTTAAAACCATGATTAAACGCACCGGGATCGTGCCAATATCTGCCGCCCAAATAGCTCCCCCCTGGGCCTCCGGCACAATTCAATATGATTCCCAGTATACTATACCAAGTCAGTCATACATGAGCATAACCAGGGTTGAAGGATTCAGGGTTACCCACACGAAAGCAATCACAGCTATGACCTTGATGGAAGAGAATACAAACTCTGCTTCGCCATAGCCTTTGACGCCAAAAAGATTAATGGAGACAATTGCTGCCCAAAACAGCGAGACCCATACGGCGTTCGATATATCTGACTCCCAATAGTCAACAGTGATGGATGCAGCGACAATTTCTAAAGGCAAAATAGCAAGCCATTGTAGAGCATAATTCCAACCCATTGCAAATCCCCACGCAGGATCAATAAACCGAGTCGAGTAGTGCGCGAACGAACCAGCTACCGGGAAAATAACGGCCATCTCCCCCAGAGCTTGTACAGTGCAGTAGATCATGCATCCAGTTAGTGCATACGAGATAAGAAGCGAAGCCGGACCACCGGTAGCAAGGACCCTTCCGGAACCGACAAAAAGGCCAGTGCCTAGAAGAGTGGACATCATCAGCACCATCGCCACGTTTCCATCACATGCAGCATGACGGCATCATATTAAACCAGAGAAGGGTGCACATACCGATGGAGCCCCCAATCGCAATCATTTGTAGATGACGACCCCTGAGGCTACGATGCAACGGAGAACTAGCAGCGCTCTCTGCGGCACTTTCGATGTCATAGTTTTTGCCCTCTAGGAAGGGCGCAACGGCGGTAACATGGGCATTTGGGTCTCTCCGAAAGCTCCCCCATACTCGCTGTCCTAGGCTACTCCGTCTTGTTGCAGTTTCGCCATAGGCCGGCGCAGAATCAGCTGAAACCGAGCGCTCAGCTTTGGCCTTTAATAAGTCGTTATCCATTGAGGTACTCTGTTACAAAGCGGGGTCCGTCTCCAATGTCGAGTTGTCGGAATAACCACGCAGGTTTCGGACGTGGAGGCAGAGAAAGGCGAGTAGACGGCCGGCAAAATGCCGGTGCACAGGGATAACAAGTGGTTGCGCCCGGTTGAAGCAAGAGCTTCCAGCAGGCAAGTCTTATCGTATTGTATGCGCTCGTGTTTAGCCCAAGAGTATACAGAGAACTCGTCGAGCATTCATGCAACTGCGGATGCCGAGAGCGAGAGGGTCCCGGTGATGGAAAAGGATGTCGAAGATGCCATCAAGGATGTTGTTACCAGTGGGAGACAGGGTCTCATTCCCCAGAGATAGTGAAATTAAAGGTGACTGGGCGACGGTCAGCGCAACCCCAGCCCGAGTTTGAGTGGCCATGCCCCCTCACCCACTCAGAGTCACAGCGCTAAGCTCAATGGCGCTAGACCCTTTTCAGGCCCGAGGTCGTGTGCTTCAGTCCAACATCAGCCAATAACGTAGAGTGGTCTGTAAGTAAACTGATAACGATCATACATGGGTGTTATTAGAGTGGGTGTCAAGATACCGATGAATAGAGATTCTTGAGACCCTAGGTCCGTTGATGACTACACCCAGCCAAATTAGGCCACGAGGGACACTAGGAGTATTTGACGCCAAACCTAGGAGCACAAATGTGCACAACGAACTGCAAGAAGAAGACAAGTTTCTATTATTTGAAGGATATTACATGTATATCGTCACTGGTCATTGGCAAATGTTGTCATCGCATCAAAGTAAACTGTCGAACCTCAATCAAGAGCTACCAACAGGCCCTTCACCACCAGGAATTAACTGGAGACCACAGTCAGACTCTCTTTCATTTTTTTCGCGAACAGAAATACTTACCATGCAAATATTGTTCCCGTTGAGAAGGATTTTCGGCAGCTTGACCTGGGAGCCAGTGTAGTCACTACTCCAATGTTAGTTCGTGAATATGCGCCTATAGTTTTAGGAATGGCACGTTGAAACACATCTCGCCATTCAGTCGAGTATAGAAGTCCTTACAATTCGGTCACGTCTTCCAGCACCATATCTACACAGAATCAGAACTGGAGCCTTCAATTATGGGTTAAGGCTGCCACTTACTAACGTAGTCATCGAACCCGAGCAATGTGCCGGAGAATTCTGTTTGAATGTCAGAAATACTTCCTTGAATATTAAAAATACTCAAACCTTTGTCGTTTTTCATGATGATCCATATCCGGGATCCGACACACTTGTCAATCAACTCTAACATTTCAGTTAGCGTATCTCCAAATGTGGTGGGTAGGTGGCTTGGTACCTAAAGGAAGAAGCTGGGACGCCATTCTTAATTACACACGGGTGTTCTCAGAGGAAAAATCTTCTGTGCAAGGCAAGGCTTCCGGAGTTCGCTTTGACGCGATGCGGCGATAATTGTAGTTGGTGGATCTTGAGACTTGGATGGACGAGTCCCCAATGACGGACTTGGCATGGAGGGCCGGATGTTTATCCGTTCCGTGTGATCTATGGCAAAATACCCAGCCGCCTCCAACAAAGCATTCAGTTGTGTCTACCAACTTCGTGTATTTTGGCCCACGGTTATTTATTCGCTTGGGTGGAATAGCATGGTTGGCTTCGGTCCGGGGACATATATCAATGGGCCTCTATCGCTCATTAGAGCTCTTGACCATCAAGAACTCTGCAACGCCGCTAGCTAACGCCATAAGCCCGAGGTTTCTCTCCCATATATTCGCCTCATAAATGTGACTGGTAGCTAACCTTCTTCAGAATTGTTGCTAATGTGACTCGAAATTCTACTACGGCTAAACATGGCCAATTTTTGGGTCGCCGCTGGCAATCCAGCTTGACATGTGTGTCTAGCCAACTAGTTACAGACAGTCACGGCCATACGCGTTCAAAGGGTTACGGAACTCCTTCACCTCTGACTTGGAGATGCATTAGATCAAGTTTACGGGGCAATCGAACTTACAACTCTCAGTCTGGTCGCAGAACGCAAGGTACCACAGCACAAGACGGTGGCTCTACCAATAAAATACTGCCAGACAACGGGGCTGCTGGGGCTAAAATTTCACAGCGCCAGGGGCACATCAGGCTGCCTGTTTCAGGACACACTGTCCTGGATATTGATGTGAATTCCCAGCAGATATCGCACTTATCTCAGGGTATAACGCCCCCGTCGCCGAAATACTGGGACCATAGATTGTTGAAAAACCAAGATGGAGAAACTGTGCCCATACATTACTGCTACTCCCTCAAACACACAGAGAGCGTAGCACAACTATTCCTTGATGAAACAGTGCTGGGATTTGACCTTGAATGGCAACCTCAGGCCTCCAAGTACAGTACACTCCAAGAGAATGTTTCGCTCATTCAGCTCGCCAGTCGTGATCGAATCGCACTTTTCCACGTCTCTCGGTTCAAACCAGCATGTAATCTCGAGGACCTCGTATCTCCAACGCTCAAAAAGATTCTGGAGAACCCAGGTATCACAAAGACCGGCGTAGCGATATCAAATGATTCTACTCGTCTTCGGAAATATCTGGGGATTGAGGTCCGCGGCAGATTCGAGCTCAGCCACCTTTATAAACTCATCAAATACAACGACTCCGACCCAAGTTTGATCAACAAACGTCTCATCAGCCTTAACCAGCAGGTTGAAGAACACCTCGGGCTTCCATTAAAGAAAGACTCGGACGTGCGGTGCAGCAACTGGAATCGCGCGCTTACACACAACCAGGTCTTTTGTAAGAGCCCTCCCACCCCCCAACACAATAAATTAATTATACCCGAAAGCAAATCTAAACTAGATCTATCATTTAGATGCCGCTGCCGACGCATATGCCGGCTTCCATCTGTTCCATATTATGGATGCAAAGCGAAAAGCGCTTGATCCTGTACCACCTCTACCAGCACATGCTGAACTGAACCGCCCGATACGAGTTGCGCACGCCCGGAAGACGGGTGTGCAATTGGAACCTGCTGGTGCTCGTAACACTGGGCCTATGAGTGGGGTAGAATCTTTTTAGAAGGCGTTCACAGACCATTTAATTTTGGAAACATACTGCTGGCGGTATGTCACCGATAATTCTTGTACATACTTACTATCTAGTGGCGTGTTATGGGTTTTCGGCACGGAACATGGCGCCCAACCTTAGAAACGTCTTTAGCACGTACAATTGGATTGTGCCACGGCTGAGATCCGTTATGGAGCCCCGGCTATTGTAAATATGCATCTTATAAAATAATTATCAGACGGGATCAATAGTGCGCATAATATATTAAATGCTCAATAAACAGTCGGGTATATATCTAAAGCTCGTGTGATCAATATGCATACCGCCGCTCAATATCTTAAGCTGCAGGGAAGATGAGATCATGATGCAAATGTTTGTACAGTTATCAAAGCTTTCCGCCCTCTAGGGTGCAATCACTCAGCCTCGCAGTGGGAGTACTTTCGATGCAAGGACCTCTTGTCGGCAAAGGGGACATTCAGGCTTCTCGCGAACCCAATCGCAAACGCATGTCCAGCAAAACACATGCCCGCATGTTGTAACACTTGGGTCCTTGAAGGACTCAAGGCAAAGCGTGCATTTGCTTTGCTGCCCCTGAGGAATCCACGGGATAGCATCCGGTTCTTCCGATAGATCATATCTAGCGCTGGAAGCAGGGAGAAGAGGAAGAGATGACGGCTGCTCGATCGAACGGACCAAGGTATCTTCTTTCCCGGTACCTCCAGCGGCTTCAGATTGCACATCCTGGTCCTCTTGCTGCAAGCTGTCGCTAACTTTTTTCACGTGGAGAATACTCTGGACTGCGATTTGCAGAACTAGTAAGACTCCCAACACCTCGTAACCAACACGTTGTTCATTCTCCTCTAATTTCTTGGTGAAAACGTAACGGAGCCCCCAGAAACGTTTTGACAAGTGGTAATAGGATCCTGTAAAATAGAACGTCGCAATGCTCAGGGCGTATATTGGCGACAAGGACGTGATTGAATCTAAATGTTCCAAGATGTATTTCTGGATGCGTAACTTCGTGAAGAAAGATGGCTTTGGCTTGTTCTTTGAGGAGTTTATGGGCTCTTTTCCCTGTTGTGCCTTCATTTGTTGCCGAGCAATGCTGCGCTCCAGTTTGGCGCGCAGGCGCTGTCGAAAGCCGGGGAGGATACGCTGAAGCGTCCAGGGTACCATTATACTACTCAGAACGTATCCCAGCCGCCTGGCAATTGATGGCAACTGCAGTGTATCATCTTCCAATTGAACAAGGTCGCAATACTCTTCCCCTAGCGTCCGGTTCCCTGTCAATGTCGTGAGGGAGAAGTACAGAAGCTCGGTTAGGTGTTTGATGGCCTCTGAATAAGTATGCGCATATCGGGCGCCACGAAGCGTTCGGATGATGGATTGGGCCTGGTTGGCTAGGCCGGCCGTGAGGAACGCATCTTTTTCGTGGGAGCGAATAATGTCCGGTGAGGTTGCGAAAGGATAGAAATGGGCCGAGGGTCTCGTGGGAGGGGCCGGAGTCGAAAGTGAAAGGTCCTGGTCCGCCATTTCTGGGGATAAAGAGTAGTCGAGAGAAGATAGAGCGAGGGGGGGCAAGAGAAGAGGCGGTTATGAAGGCATACACTCTTGCACTGGAAGACAAGTCATGTTCAGGTCGCGGAACATGAGCCTGGAGATGCTTCCCCGGAGTCCGAGCGGCCAAACAGAGGAAATGCCTCGGTAATTATCACGTGATGCAGACCACGTGACCAACTTGGTTCTAAATGCGGAACACAAGGCCTAGACCCCTCCTAAGCCTAATGCGGCAAGCGCCTACCCCGAGCGTCACGGGTCGGAAGAGTCGCTCGGCCGCTTTCGAGAGCATCCCTGAGCTTCTTGGAGTCTGTGTGCAGCCCAGACCTTCAATATTCAATTATTTTCAAAGGTCAGACTCACCCCTAGTCGTTCGTTTGCGTGTTGAGTGCCCTTGGCCCTTTCTCTTCTCTTCTTTTTCTCTTCTTCTTTTCCTTCTCCGAGAGAACACTTGTATACCATTCTTCCTCTTACTTTCGTATTCGTTCCCCTCTACAAGTGCTAGGAGTCCGGGCATCACTCCTTTCAATGGAATAATGGGTCCTGATCAGCGTGCTCAGCTGGATGGGTTCAGTCTATTCCTACCTTTTCCCTCTCGCGTTGCCGTCATTTTGCTAGCAGGTGAGCCGCCGCTTTTACATGGGGTTGAGGACACTCGATTAATACTTCGAAGGATTCTGGGGCTGGGGTGCCAATGTTCACCGTCTCCAGCAACACAATATTGTACATTGACCCCTCCGATCCTCAAAACATGTTCGAGGGCTTGGAAAAGCAGTGACTGACTGTCCTAGGACCTTCTCGCCTTAATCCGGTATCGCACTTCTCAGTCGTCAAACCAACGACTACCCCACGTCTCAGCCTATCGCTTTGCCGGCCTCTTGACCTTTCCTCTTATATTGTCGCTCCTCATCTTTTGGCCAGTTACCCATGGCTCCAGAGAATGGGTTGAAACCGTTGATTACATTCCGCAAGCATATCTCTTCATCCTCTTCATCATCCTCCTCCTTCCCCTCAATCGACTGTCACGGTCTGGACGGCGTAGGTTCCTCGCGACACTTCGGCGGATCAGTATCGGTGGGCTTGCAGAACCTCAAGATGGCAAATTCGGCGACATTTTGCTGGCTGATGCCCTTACAAGTTATGCGAAAGTTATCGCAGATCTCGTGGTTACATTTTGCATGTTTTTCAGCTCGGATACATCAAGCACATCAAAGCCAGACCGACACTGCGGCTCAGACTACGTGGTTCCTCTAGTCATTGCGCTACCAAGTATGATCCGTCTAAGACAATGTCTGATCGAATACGTTCGCGTACGCCGAACAAGTATGAAGAACGGAAGCAGTGGAGGGCAGCATTTGGCCAACGCTTTGAAATATGCTTCTGCATTCCCAGTTATTGCGCTTGCTGCTACGCTAAGGAACTACAGTCCTTTCCTCTTCTATGGAATAAGCGAAGTGACGCTCTCCAGGCTCCTGTAAGTTTGCGTAGCCCGGGATTCAACCCGACATTTAAGCTAATGACAATTGCCGACAGGTATTTTTTTACCCTTATCAACTCTTCATATTCGTTCTATTGGGATATTACAAAGGATTGGGACTTGACATTGTTCTCGGAAGCACGAAACGATAACGAATATCCATTCGGACTACGCCGCTTCCGCCATTTCACGGATCAACAGTACTATATGGCCATTGCTATTGATTTCGCTATCCGATTTTCATGGATGTGGAAATTTTTCCCAGGCCTTTCCTGGGTCGGCGATACAGAATTCGGACTGTTCTTGTTAATGTTCCTCGAGGTTGCCCGCCGATGGATGTGGGTTTTTCTTCGAGCAGAAGCTGAGTGGAGTAAGTTTCTTCGTGTGCTCACACTACGTCTCTGTATACTAATAGGGTTCCCCTTCACTTTACAGTCAGGAACAGTCGTGGACCAGCCCCGCATGACATTCTACTCGGAGAATACAACGGCAAGCTGGACGCAGATTGAACGGATTATCCATTGTGCAAACAAATTTTCACATCCCTCCGCTTTATATAGACGACATGACTTTGTATTCACCTGTCAAGACACTTTACACTGCAAATAATGCCCCCTCTTTCCTTCGTCTTTTTCATCGTTCCAGTTTTCTATCGCGCTTGAGCGTGTTGCCTTTCTTTGTGCACCGTTTGATTGGGAAATCTACAGATCAATTTTTTCCTGTCATAGCTAGTCAACCAGACTCCAAGTTGGCTGTTTTGTATTCTTTGCACCCTTTTTTCCCCTATTGTATCATATGGGCAAGAGCGTTAGCGGAGCTGATTCTCGGACATAATCCCCCCTTTCTTTGTATTTTTCTCTCCACTTTACACAGTGACACGCGAAATGGACAGCGGGGCTCTATGAGTCTAATAAATGAGGACACGCGGAATACTCTGGAGTTTTTCTTTTTTGGAGTATATTGGCTGTATTGTAATTCAAACTGTAGTAGCATCTAGTACTTAACGTGGTATGATGATGTATAAAATTGGCTGAAGGACAACCAATTGTACATAGCGAGGCAAACAAGGTGTTAAAAAAGTTTTAATTAGATCAGATCAATTCGAGAAGCATGTAAGTACCTAGCTACTTAGTAGTAGATGACATATAGGACAGCACAGCCGATATGAAGTCAGAATAAATACAAAAACAGGCTCACTGAACTCCATCCAAACAACCCAGACAAACAAGGTACACAACGCGGGGAAAGCAGGATCAACAATGGGCTTTCGTTCCACGTACACACAAAGAGATGTGGTTTAATATAGCTAATTATGTCTCCCAGAAGGACGGGGAGGGTTATGATGAGACTCGAAGAGGTCTTCTAGATATGCACTAGGTGTTCTCCCCGGTGGTGGCGGGGAAGAGAGGTTCACACTGCTTGTTGACCCCGCGGCGGCGTAGGATTGTCGCATATTGCTATTGCTGTAATTGGGTGGGTCGTGCATTCCTGGCTGAGCCCCTGGGGTAGCTGGCGGGGTAGGGCCGGAACCCGTACGAGTATATCCACGAATTTGTGGCGGGAGACTATCGGAGGAGAAGCCCGCATTCTGGGCAAGGCCAGCAGCGGTATTGCCCGCAGAATAGTAACCAGCTGGGAGGTAACTTGAGCCGCGGTTTGCGCTGTTCTGCATTCCTGCCGTCGGGGAGAAGAAAAGTCCACTGCCGGAGGTTGGAATCTTGGAGTTCCGCACCGAGTCCCTGTAGGAGCTCTGACGGTTCCCACCCATTTTCTCGAGGGAGACGGCGTTGTGGTGGCTGTGACTGTGGCTGCGAGTGTGGGATCGTTTCGAGCGCTTCTTCTTGCCGCGAAGCAGACCTTTGCTCTCGGATGAGTGCATTATGGCTGCTCGGCGGACAGAGCGGTTCACAGACCACGCCACGATGCCCCGCCATGCCAGGACAGAGAGACCCATTGCGCCTAGGACGGCTCCGACGGCGATGAAGACAGTCCCTTCTGGTGCCGAGGACTTTTGCATGTACGGCGCATCTTCTGTTGGAGGGACGGTCATGACAGGAAAGCTATCTGTTGACGTGCTTGATGTGCTTGATGATGTCTCGCTTGACGATGTCTCGCTGTTGTCATTCTCGTTGCTGTTGTCGCTGTTATTGTTATTTCCATCGTCATCGTTCGATGGATCTGAATTATCTTGGGCAGCGGCTAATTGTGCAATCAAAACAATGGCAAGAAATAAGAAGAGCAGCAATCGTGGCCGACCCTTCGTTGATCGGCCGGTGTGAAGAAGCATTGTCAGTATAGGGATGTTTATGCGAGTCGGCGATCAATGTTGGTGAGATTCTCTGTCTCAAGCACGAAGGACCCCGTTTAGCACATGAGTTCCACCACACTGCGAAATGTCTCGGTTCGGTATGAATGTGAAAATGGTATAGAACGCTCCTTGAGGCACGAGGTTCGACACTCGACTCCGCAAAATATTGATAAACAGATAATAAATATGGGGGGCGGTCAGCAAGTAAGGGCGTGGATCGGATCTCGATTATTCTCCACCCGGTGGCAGGTCAACAAAAGGCGGCTGGGTTCTTGAAGTGCTATCGTGCTCCGCGCAGTGAAATAAAATGGCAAGCTATGAACAGGACTCTAACAGAAACGTCATAATCAAGCAGAGGCAGGGTTCAAAACGAGCGACGCAGAATAATGTAGGGTCAAAGAGCGGCCATGCAAAGATCAGCGCAGAAAGCCCATCATGTGCCTGGAACACGGGCCATCACGTGATGCGCCTATTCATAGAAGACGAAGGACGCTCTGACACGATGCGAAACACTTCCAAGTATGGATAGATTCCGCTAGCAATATAATACACATAACCCATAATTAACACCAAAAGCCTGTGGATTTATGATATACGTTGAAAACAAAACAAGAATGCCAAAAGTCTCTCAGGGCTAACGCTACGTAAATGCGGCTACTGCTGCTTCTTCTGCACGGTAGAAGAAGTGTCCTTCTCAAAGGCTGCATAGGAGACCTGCAGGCTCATCAGGGCGCTCAGACCAATGTACAGGATGACAATAAAAACGAAACCGGCGATAAGCCCCATGAAGATACCTATGAGCAGTTAGAATAGCATATTCCAGACCGAAAAAGACAACAATGTACGGACCTGGTGTGAAGTATTGGTACTCATCGAAAAGAGAGTTCTTCGTCGTGTCGTCACGGCGAGAATGCATAGAGTAGTCCCGCTTCAGATCCGCACGTACGGGATCTTGGTAGAGATCGTCCGTGGATTCGTAAACAGGGGCATCGCCTTCCTCAAATTCCCTTGGGGTTGTAGTGTAGAGTATGGTATATTTCTCAGATGGAAGACGGTTGACAATATCAGAAAGCAGCCCATCTAGACATAACCGTCAGTATCCTCTTCAAGCGTGTTGTTACCGCCCCACGTACCGTGATCAGAAAGCTGCTGTACTCGCTCGGATCCAAGAGAAAGCGAAGGGAACTCGACCACAATCACCCGAGGCTCTTTGCCGAAGTCGGTTGAATACGATCCAGCTGCATGAATGTTAGCGAATTGCTTCCAGCGGAACATCAGTATTACAAACATGAAGCATCAATAACCGTCGTCTGAGCACCGCACTTATCTTCAAGGATATCACGGATGTGTTTCGCTTCCAAAATACCAGCGACCTCGTTGATACTCATGGTTGATCGAATCGCCTTGTCCTTGCCTGTCATCTTCGCTCCTAAGCGGGGCGCGGTTTTGGCAGTAGTGAAGTCGATGCTGTGCACCCCTGGTTGAGAAGCGATAACATAGTACTCGGAGGGGCAGGTGCTGAGTTTCGTAGAGAGATCATTAAGCAAAGTGGTTGCTGATTTCAGTTGGACTGAAGTAGATAGGAGTCTGTGTAAGTGGCAGCTTGTGAGCTCATGTCCGCAATCAGCAGCTCCGGGGGCCAACTTACTCGGATGTTGATGCAAGAAAAAAGGGTGAAGTGTCTCGGAATGCGCTAGCTGTCGCTGCTCCTAGAGCCAGCAACGAAAATTGACTTAAACGCATTGTGTAGGCGGAGCTTAGTTGGGCAACGAGGAGTATCTGGAATGATGTTTGAGCCAGGCTGGTGGATTGGACAAGCTCGGAGGGCGGTCAATTGGCGTCAGTTCCGGTGGACGCAGGATTTCCAACATCCACTTTTTTTTTCTAGATCGAAACCACGACAAATATCGCCTCTCCTTACATACCTCCTTATTCCCGCAATTCCACTCAGACTTACGGGCATTTGCGACCATGGGTCCACAATTAAAAGGAGCACATTCAAGGAAGCGAAAGTTAGCTACTCGCGTGGAAGAAATCAACTTCGATGACACTGCCCGCCATGATTTCTTGACAGGCTTTCGCAAACGAAAACAACAACGCATAAAGCATGCGCAGGAGGTCGCAGAGGAAAAGGCGCGAGAAGCGAAAAGGCAGGAACGAAGAAGGGTGAGTCTATCCATAGTATTGTCTTCCGGATCGGCGCTTATCTCTCGATCTTGATATTTAGATGCGTGAAGAGCGAGCCGCAGATTTTGAACGCGCACTAGAAGAGCACAAGAAGCAATTGAGGAAACTGAACGAGGAAAATGAAAGTGGCGACGACGCCGAAAATTCTTCAAGCGATGCTGAGGAAGACGAATGGGACGGAATCGAGGAGCCCCCGGCGATAGACTACGAGGCCGAATATATCGACGAGGATAAATATACTACGGTAACAGTGGAGGAAATGGACCCGTCGAACCAGAGCAACTTTCGGACGAATGACGATGGCTCAGACGAACGGCCGACGGAGCGACCAGAACCTTCTGGTGAAGATGCCAAGTTGAAGGAACAACCCAAAAAGAAAAAGCAGACAGACGACAAGTTGAAGAAGAAAAAGAAGAAGTTCCGATACGAAACAAAGGAGGAACGGAAGGTCACGAGGATGAAGCAGCGGATGTCTAACCATAGGAAGGCGCAAGCGCGAAGAGAAAAGTGATGAGAAGATGCGTGGTATATGGTTCTACGACAATATAATCGCACCAAGGGCATGCACGTTGACAGCATCGATACCCGAAACAATTGCCTCGCATAACATCTCTTCAGTAATTGGCGTATCCATGGGAGCTGAAATCAGGCAATAATTAGCACGCCATGAGGTCGACTCTAGAGCGTGGTGGATGAAAAGGATAAAGAGGGGAGACAACGCTGGCCAAAGAATGTTATGAGATCTGCCTTCTGCGGGCCAACGATATTATAAAATGATGGGCTGTTGAGCGAAATAGTAACAACAAAACAACTGGGAAACCGGTTGAATACACTCCTTCCATCTCACACTTATTTCCAGCCTTATCCTTAAACACTGTTCAAGGAGACCTCGAGTTCGTGAAGTTCCTTCTTCAGTTCTTCGTGCTTCTTTGCCATATCCTCATATTTGCTCTCCCACTCGTCGCGGGATGATTCGGCAGCCTGCACCTTGCGTTCGTAGTGACCAGCCTTGACGTCTGTTTGGCGGAGCCTGTGGGGGAGTGCGATAGTTAGTCTTCACCGCTCCCTAAGAAAAAAAAAGGGGAGGGGGAACAATAAAACATACTTCTCGTTTGTCTCGCGCAGATTCCGGTCAGCCTCCTCAGCCTCCTCCTCGAGGAGTTGCACACGCCTCTGGAGGGCCTCGTTCTGCGTATCATGCTGGGCACTTTGACTGGCGGCGTCCTTAGCCTCCTTCGCCGATGACTCCAGCTTCTCCACCTCGCCCTCGAGGAGCTGGTTGCGGTGGGTGAGAGATGTGATTTCTTGTTCCTTTTCCAGGTTCTCCTGCTCCAAAGTCTTCACTCTGGCCTTGAGTTCCTCATTTTTCTCGTGGGCCTCGTCAGCCTCCAGGCGGAGGGCGGACATTTTCTAAACAAAACCAGTCAGCCATCATACGCATCTCAGTTTGGGTTATTGGAGGCCTGTTCTCCGCCTCCGATTTGGGCCAGATAGGACGAAGCAAGGGGAAAATAAAGCGGTGGTGGTGGTGCAGGTGCAGGAGTTCAACATAGCTTTCGAGCTACCCCGCCGCAAGCAGGGGGGAGAGGGGGGAGAAACAAACCTCCTTGATTCTATCCATGGTGAAGGGCTGGCAGCGGATAAATATGTAAAGACGAAGGGAAGACGAATGTGCTCGAGTTCGACGGAAGGCTTTCGCTCAGCGATAAACCGGACAAGGATGTTGAGTGTATGATCGGTGGGGAAGAAGTTCAGGAGAAGAGCGAAGGGACACTTGATAGACACACACTGACCAGTCGGCGGTCAGCAGCAGCCTGAAGTTTGAGGCCACAACACACTAGTTCTTTTTGGGTGAGCCTTCCCGCGGATCATCACGCTGTCTCCACGGGCAACCACGGTGCAAAAGAAAACACTTGGAGGCACTCGGCATCTAGAACCTCACCACCGCCATTGACCTCGTCACCGCACGCTATACCTTACCAGACAACTATTCGCCCTTGGATGATCAGTATCGTCCTAAATCCGCCACAATGCTGGCTCTCCGAGACCAGGAAAACCTCGTCCACACGCACCAAACCGTTGCCGCGTCGAAGCCGTTGAATCAAAGCACCAAGCAACTGCAACCAAAGACCCCGGGAAATCGAGTTCCAAAGACGCCCTTTAAAGTGCCACTGAAGGATGAGAATGACCCGCTAGCTTTTGGAAAGAAGACTGTGAAGACCATCGGCAAGCAAAATGAGAACGCCAAACTTTCCGTCAAAGATGCTTTCGTCACTCCTATGGGTATGCACCAGCCTTTCCATGTTGCGGGAAACATTTTGGGACACAGGGATTGGGAATCTAATCATAATATAGGTGACACACGCCAGCGAGCGCCCTTGGGTATGAAAACGACCAACGCCAAAGCGAGAGGCCTACAAACCCCGGCAGCACCCGCTGGAACTATAAAGCCAGAAAGGACGACCAAGAAAGGCTCTACACAACGTGTGAAAAAGTTCTCCCCGTTTGTTGAGCAGCCACAGCCCGAGGTCCATATCCAGCCCCCTCAGGATGATGTTCCTGATATCGAGTACATGCCACCCAAGCCAAAAGGTGAGATTGTTGTCCGGTCCCGACCATAGCCAGCATCAAGTATCTAACGCAATGTAGAGCTTCCGGATTATCCTGACGATATCACATATGATACCTCGTTTCCTCAATTCCAGCCCAAAAACCTGGCACTTGGGTTGGAAAGTGTTTATGGAGACAAGGAGGTTGGAAAGGATGGCCTCACGAAACAGCAGCGCAAATTCCAAGAGGACTCGAGGGCGTACGACAAGATGATTGATGAAACTATTTTGAAACAGGTCGAGAGCGTCGGTTTTACTGAGGCTGATGAAGACAACCAGCTAGCCCCCCAGGCCCCAGTGTCAGAGATTCCTCCGCGCCGCATTCATGCACGACAACCCCGAGCCGCTGCAGGGAAATCAAGCTATTCTGCCGGTGTTCCTACAGTCCGTGCTAGGGAAGCGGCCAAAGCTCTCTGTAGCAATGAACGCTCTGTCCCACGAACCAGGGCCGCTCCTATCATGAAGCCCAAGGCCAGGATTACCTCGTCACTGTTTCCTTCCAAGAAGCCTAAGGCCGTTCCCAGCAACCCTTCTCCCATGCGCCACACTGCGGCTGTAGCAGACTCCCGGACAACTGTGGGCTATACCAAGGGTCGAGAAATGTCATCTCGTTTAAACGGCAAGGCTAAGAGTCCTTCAGCTAAGCAGCCAGCAAGCAGAGCTCTCTCCCCTGAGGTCTATACTCAGCCTCACGAGCCTGCTCTTGCTAATACGCAAAGCGAACAGCTGATGGAAGAAGCTTTCCCCACGTACGAAGAAGACGAGGAAACCCAGAACTTCCAGCTAACATTATAAGCTGAGAGTGTCATCGGCTTGAGTGGTACTCGAACTGGCTGCACCCATATTTATTGAAAATGCGTTTGGTTTCCTAATTATGCGATCCATCTCCTATCTGTTAATGGAGCGCGGTGGTCGGCGTGAACCGGGGGTGGTTTCAACGAATTCTTAAAGGGCTACTGTTATGGGAGGGGCGTTAATTACATTTGCTTATTTTCGGTCTGGGCTACAGGAGGGTGAATATTATTTCATATCATTTAATACGCTGCTATCAATGAAGCTCGAGGCCTTTTTGCCTATCTACATGTGTTTCTACAACAGTAACTATGCAAAGTTCGGATAAGTAATAAGGTACGGTTGGGCCCACATCCTGGGGTACCTTGGAACAGACCGAAACTGTAAACTCACTAAATCAAAGGACACTGACACCTAGTCGGAGCTCAGTGGGAAAGTGCACATATAAATAGGGCATTCAGGCACCAGCCTAGTAAGACAAATTTAGCCAGGTTCGAACACGTCAAAAGCTGCAGGAAGCTTGTGACTCGTGGTGATCCTCGGGATGATCGGTGCCCACACGTAATTTCTATCCAGAGGACCAGAACACCACCGACTTCTTCCCTCAACTTCCCCTGTGTCAATTTCCCCCATTGACATTGCCTTCCCTCCCCTCTCCCACCCTTCCCTCTCTTCTCGGTTAATTCGTCTCGACCGCCATGACGAATATCCATCCCGAGTCGCCGGAGGACTTCGAGTTCATCGAAACTCCCGCCGCCTCCGCTACAACGCCCGCAGACGACTGCGGCGTGCGGACTACTTCGGTGAGCTCTACCACTACTGGGATTCATTGCTTGATAGGAGCTCTGGAGAGTGAACCTCTCTGCAAACCAAGCTCAGAAACCATGATCTACCGATACTAACGGCTTTGTCGCTTCTACCATCTTAGTATCCGGCCATCAAAAATGCACCCGTACCAGCCGATTCTCCTGGCAGTGATAGCTTTTCCAACACCTTACTCTTCCTCCTACTCTTCCTGATCCCATGGTATTCCGCCCGTCAGATTGGTGGGGGCTTTTACACCACCATCTTCTTCGCAATCTTCACCACCGTTCCGATTTTGATGGCTTTCTGGTCTGTGGCCTCTACTATCTCCCCACGCAAGAACGAAAAAGCAAAGTATGCCGGCCGCCCTGTGGAGTACTACTTGAACTTCCACAACGAGCATGACCGAGCTACATACCGCGGAAAGGCCAAGGTCCCCATGGAGGTCTTCTACGAGAAGTACTTTGCGGGTGAGGTTGACTTCAAGATGGATGCTCTGGAAGCCCTAGAATTCAGGCATGACTGGGCCAACTTCCGCTTTACAATGGGCCTCTTCAAGCACTTCCTTTTCGGTTTCATCCCAGAATTACTGGTTCACTCTCGTTCTCAGGGTAATTATGTCCGATTCGTCTTCCAATTTAGTATTGGTGTTTTAACTGGCTTTCTAGATGAGGAACAGGTCCGTGACCACTACGACCGCGGCGATGACTTCTATGCTTGGTTCCTAGGCCCTCGCATGATCTACACTTCCGGTATTATCGGGGACGTGAACAAGGAGGAAACGCTCGAGCAGCTTCAGGACAACAAACTTGCCGTGGTCTGTGAGAAGATTGGACTTAAGCAGGGTGATACTGTTCTCGACCTTGGCTGTGGCTGGGGTACCCTGGCCAAGTATGCCTCCGTCCACTACGGTGCCGACGTCACTGGAATCACTCTTGGCCGTAACCAGACCGCTTGGGGTAACAATGGTCTCCGCAACTCCGGCATTGAGGAAAGCCAGAGCCGTATCTTGTGTCTAGATTACCGTGATGCCCCCCGTGTGGATGGTGGATACAAGAAGATCACATGTCTAGAGATGGCGGAGCACGTCGGTGTGCGCCACTTCACCTCGTTCTTGTCTCAGGTCTACGACATGCTAGATGACGACGGCGTCTTCTTCCTGCAGATCGCTGGTCTCCGCAAAGCCTGGCAATACGAGGATCTAATTTGGGGTCTTTTCATGAACAAGTACATCTTCCCCGGCGCTGACGCCAGCACCCCCCTCGGGTTCGTCGTCGACAGACTCGAGGCCGCCGGATTTGAGATCAAGGGTATTGATACCATTGGTGTCCACTACTCCGCTACCCTCTGGCGCTGGTACCGGAACTGGCTGGGTAACCACGAAAAGGTCGAAGCTAAGTACGGTAAAAAGTGGTACAGAGTAAGCTTTTAATCTTCTCTTTCAATCTAGGCCTTATCTTAAGTGAGCACAATAACTAACGAGCTACTTGCAGATCTGGGAATACTTCCTTGCCTACTCTACCATCACATCCCGCCAGGGCGGTGCTACCTGCTGGCAGATCACGCTAGTTAAGAACATCAACTCCACTCACCGTGTTGAAGGCATCAACAACCAATATGGCTTGACCGGCGCTCGGGAAGCTTCCTCCGCCAATGTTGGCAACGGCTCTGTGCCTAGCGCCCACATCACTCTCAAGGCTTAGATACCCTAAGAAGGGATATTAAGTTCAAAGTAGGAGAATAACATCACTGTCGGTGCATATCAGGTTCAGGATCAAGACACAGCCCCGGCACCTGCGCGGGCCGAAGTCCAAAAGGGACATGAAACAGCAGGACGAGGAGAAACGGAAACATTGAGATATATCAGTTTCCTGTGACAGCGCAGAAAGAGGATAGCAGGTGATCTGGGATGATGGAAACGAGATTTCCCCTTGGTTTCTTTCGTTTATATTCATTATTGTACAATGGTTTCCGATCTAAGTATATAGCTTGTGTCGGAAGGAGCAGGGGGACTCGTGGAAAGTATCTATCTCAAATTGCATGGTATATATTAATGGTAAATAGAAACTAGTGGATCATAATAAATTCATTAAATGGCTATCGTATATATCGTAAAGGTGACATTCAACTCGAGTAGTAAGGTATATGATTATATGTGAACAGCCCAATCAAGACCCTTTCTATATCTTACTCTTCATCGACTCACAGCATGACTCCGGGTGAAGTGTGGATTTATTAAAGTTCTGAGTCGACTGGGGTACATCCAGAGCTGGATTCTTTGTGAAGAAGCCGTCGGGTTTGAGCATGACACTTACGCGCTCCATGGGCATGACTGGAAAGTCTTCAATGCGAGGGTTATGGGTTAGACCGAAGGCTAAAAAGGTGTCAAGTTAGTCTCCGAATGCAATATTTTGACAAGATATATGATGAGACTTACTGTGCCATAAGACAACATCTTCGTTTTCTGTGTCGTCTTTTCGCTGAACCCAGGTCTCCACTCCCTGAGCTCGTTTGCTTTGGTTTGTGAACTCTCCTGCAGCGTATAGTTCATTGTCTTGATACTTGGTGACCCAAATTGGCTTTGAAGCAAATTCTGCCCGTTGGTAGCCCATTGCCTTCTTAGGCATGATTAACATCTGACTGGGTGCGGCTTGGAGCTTGTAAGACACGGGCTTGTATGTAATGGGATTAACGACGTTATCGTTGCGGATTTTGAACACGCGATGCCGATTGATATCGGTTTCGGCGGTGTTGGATTTATCAATAACCGTTTCTTCTGTCGTATATCCAACTAGGTATGGGTTCTTTTCGTCCTCTGGAAGCGGTACACTGTCCTGGTAATAGACAGTATTTCTGAATCCATCGATAGCAGGATCAATTCGCAATGAAAACATGTGTTGATGGAAAGGGGCCATGACACCCGGGCCAACATTGGTGCCCCATTTGACAGTTTCTCCGTTTTCGTTGTCAAAGGGAACCGTGGATAGGATCCCTGTTGCTCGGATTTCAAGTTCAATATTTGCCGCCTGGTCAAGAATGTATGCGAAAATATACTCATAGTTGGCCACGGTACAAATCATCTGAATAACAAGCTGACGATTGCGGACAACAGTGGCTGCGCCTGACCTATAATTCGTATGTTTGTGTTGGAGCCCATTATCCTGTTCATGCATGCAAATAATATTTTTCAAAAGGACTGGCTGGCCCTTTGAATCTGACCGGTAACCGTCAAAATATTTAATATGACCCAGGCAGTCACAGCCTAGGGTGAGCTGATTGGCGTTTAGACCGAATCCAACATCCCCAACATCAAATGCCTGTTTTCTGTGATACGGAGCTCTGGGGTCTGTTCCAATCTTATCAGCAACTTCGTTATTTGGGCGATGGATTGAGCAAAAACTCACCACCATACGGCACGGTCATTTCAGATACAGAAAGTCGATACAAGACATTGCGGTTGTCATAGGTGAGGTTATAAAGCACCATGCCATCACGGTTATTGAAACCCACTCGGAAACACCACTTCTGCCAGTGGACCTTATTTCCCTCTACAGAGAAGGATGGTCCTTCAGGCTGTTGGACAATATAAGGTTTCAGATCAGTGCGAAGAGGTTCATCCAACAGGTCATGTGCATATTGAATGGCTTTGACAGGCTTCCAAGGCTGAGTCTCTGCTGTCCGAGTATCGTCTCCTCCGGGGAGGTAGTCCATGCGGACTAACTCTCGGGTATGACCGTTAAAAACAGGAGAGAATTTGCATGGCATGGCATAGTGATTGTTTTCGGGATGATCCACAGAAACGATATACATAAAACACTGGAAGAGTCGGCGTGTTTCGTTGGCATTGTCACTGCCATACATCCAAGGATCGTTGCATACAGTAACTCCGGGTGGGAGTTTTAATTTCTCGATCTCCGCCAGCACGGCTGGATGTCCGTTGCAAAGATTCTCGATGTCGGTAATTTCATCAACATCGATAGGGATCTATGTCTCATGAGTAATTACAATTACAGTATGAGGTAAAAGAGTGGTAGAATTGTTTACCTGGACTCCAGGCGGTAGCTCCTTTACAGAGACAACAGATGCATTGTCCACATTGAGCAGAGCCTTGCAGCACGCCCCCGTATCCAGACGGTGAAAGTAAGAGTAGATTAGACGGGCAGGCTTCTGAGGTAAAGGCTTCCCTAGCCGTTCTGCTTCAATATAAGGGATGACATCTTTTTTAATGGGCTCCTGGAGGTCGATTCGATTGATTCGAAGCTTAACTCCGGGAAACGCAGACTGCAGAATGCGGTGGCCCAGACGGATCTCTTGGGGTGTAAGAGGGTCGAAGGGGTGAGGGCTGATGGACTTCACCAGAGCCGGGCCTTGCGATGTGAGTGACATAGCCAACTGTATTTAGGTGAGAAGGATGGTGGAGGAGAGATATAGTAAAGATCGGGATGGAGAATGGCCGGCCCTTAAGCGAGTACACGAGAGAGTGAAAGATGGGATGAGACTGGGGCCCAGAAGAGTTTGAAGGGGAGAGACAGTGCTTTAAAACATGGTAATCCTTCCCATAGATGATGGAGATATGGAGAGACGAGATGCAGCAATAGACCCAGCTCTGGGTGTACCTGCCTTTCTGGGAAGGTCAGAGCAAATGCCCGCCGGAGGTGGGTCGCCTCTTCTGAAGGGAACAGCTGGAGGCACATCACGGGGTCAGTCTGCATTCGATCTCTGAGTAGACCGCAGTTCATTGGAACTTCTGATGAGCTCTCGGAGAGGCGGTAGTTTCTGCTGTAATCGGATTATATCCACTACTGATCATCACCACCTCGTGCTTACTTGGTATGGCTGTGTTACTGATAAGGCGAAGCTTGGGCTGGCATATCTCAGGACAGTCATCTATTTTTTTGCCAGAATCGATTGACTCGCCTTAGCCCAGTCTGAAAATAACATTTCTAGAATAATCGATTCCATACCTACCGTCTTAACTGTATTTTTCTATCGCAATCTCTTTATTTGGTCTCGCTTTTCTAGATTGTGGTGGCCCCAGTTATACGCTTTTAATGCGTGGTTCCAGGTCTGTTCACGTGCTTTATAGACACCAGTTCGACATCTCTTCATTAACCCTAAAGATTAGAGTCATACATCTTCAGTAAGTCAAGGCCATGCTGTAATATTTATGTACTTTAAAATGCATTTAACCGACTTTTGAGGTCCCATCAGCTTGTTCATATTACTCAGCGGTGGCAACCAGACGGACCTTCGCAATCTGAATCACGGCGCATCTTTTACCAAATACGGTTTAGTCTATCCAATTGTCCCCTCATTATGCTCCAAAAAGCAGAGAAATCCTCATACAATTCTCTGGAGAAGACTTTATGCTGCGTTATCTGCCAATCTGGTCATAATGAGCCTCTCTGTTTGAGGCTCGACGCCTTAGTTTATGTGGTAGTCGCCTACTGACCTATCAGCTTGTTTCCAAACTAGATCATTGGCCGGGGTAATGGTTCGCTTTGCGACGACCCCAGATACTTCCCAGAATGACGATGGCCAGCACTCTGGAAAAAAGAGATATAGAAAGGGAGGGGGGAAATGGACCCGATCGGGATGCTTGACCTGCAAGAAGCGAAGAAAGCGCTGCGATGAGGGTAAACCAAGGTACTATTCTTGTCCCATCACACTTCGCTGTCTAGAGAAAAACACTCATTGACTGCTGATGTAGCTGCCACAACTGTAACAGACTGGGACTAACCTGTGAGGGCTATGGTTCCATGTGGGCAGCGCCTCTTGGGCCCGCCGCTCATGTCTTCAAGCACACAGAGCCGGCCAAGCGCCGTAGACTCAGTTTATCGCCTGCTCCATCAACTGTCTCGATTGCATCGTCAGGACACGCATCGTCGGTGGCAGAGAGTAGTTCTGCTGCCGTCTCTTCCTCGCCACTCACCGATCAAGATGATCTTGACGAGCCAGACAACTGCAGTTTAGTCTCGGGCTCCAGCAATAACCATCAGCTAGTGGTGGCTTCTCCCAGTCCATCCAGACTCATTAGCCATCTTTCCAATCTCGACTCACACTACCTCCAGTACCACATGGAGATGGGATCAAAGCTACTGGCTAATCTCGAAACCGATGACAATCCTCTGCGATCCTTGCTGGTCCCTCGAGCTTTATCATCGCCACTCCTCATGAACGCGCTATGCGCGGTATCTGCAGCACACTTCTCTAATCGCTCATTCAACAGCGGATCTGCAGAACATGAAGGAACCAACTACTACATTGACACAATGCGAGGGCTTCGAACAACCCTTACGAAGAGCCAAAAGGGCTCGTTCCCAGATGATGGCATCCTCGCTGTTGCTCTCCTCTGCAAGTACGAGATCGTCCGAGGCAGCGTAAAGCAATGGGCGGTGCATTTAGATGCGCTGCAGACACTAGTTACCTCTCGGGGAGGGTTGGCTCAGCTCAATGAAGAAACTGCTGAGTTTGTACGAGGACTGTACGGCATTTCCCCCTTGACATATGCCGACGGATTCAAAACTAATAAATACACTTGTTATAGTTTCATATACGCAATCAATGTAGCCACGATCACCACCCAGAGAGTGATAAAACCGTCTATCCTGGGGTTCGATAATGTGAGCACTCGCAAACTCGACATCTATATCGGATATACCGAGGAAATCATCAAAACATGCTCTCGAATATCCGACCTTCCACATCTCCACTCCGACCCTCTAGCCCTAGCACTCGAGGTCAACGCAATGTATGTCTGAATCACTACCACCCAGTTAACTGAAGGCATGGGAAATCTATCTAACCCTTACTGCAGTGACACCGTATTACGTACTTGGGCGTCCACAAAGACCACTTATATCATCCCCAAGGGCATGTCAGAAGCGAGCCTGTCTCGCCTACGCATCGTGGCAGATTGCTTCCGCGACGCCGCATACATCTACCTCCATTCAACGCTAGAACGAATGGCAACGACGCCGGCACCACCTTCGCCTTCGCCCTCGCCATCATCTGCATTTAGATCACCAAATCCAGAATGGTCAACCCTAATCTCATTCCCCAAGCAGCTCGCCATCGAGAACCTCGTGAATAGAGTTAGGGAGCAACCCATCGAAAATAATTGCGAGTTTTCGGCGCTCACGTTCCCGCTCTTCATAGCTGGATGTGAAACTACTGCGCTAGACGACAGAGAGCTGATTCTGCAGACGTTGACTACGCTGGAGGTCAGTTTTGGGATTGGGAATGTGAAGAGGGCGAAGGAGTTGTTGGGGATTCTTTGGGGTGGTGATGGTGATGAGAGTGGGAGAAAGCACTGGGTTGATGTGCTGGAGGGGTTGGGGTGGGATTTGATCCTCGCGTAGGCTGTGCTTGATAAATAGCCCAACGCATTCTCCGTATTATGATGTTTACGTCTTACTGCATGTACTTATACTACCTTGATGATACCACATGGAATAATAATGGCTTGCCTGCCACGTTTTTAGTATGACAAGAAAGAATAAAGTAATAAAACACCGTTCTCATTTCGTGGGTATCAGATTAACTCAATCCCATGTTCACCTCATCACCTAACCCCATCTCCCTTTCTGCTCTTTCCGTTCCCCCAGCAGCCCTCGATCCCCACCGATCCAAGCGATCTTGAGCATCCGAAAGCTCCTTATCACGCATACTCAAACTGTCACTAGCGATTGTGCTACTGCCATGGGGGCTACCATGGACAGAAGTACCCTCGGAGAGCCCTGACATTCTTCGAGACTTCGATATGCTCACGGGCCTCGAAGCATTTTTCAAAGACGAGCTATTATAACTAGTGGCAGAGGTTATTTTTCCAGTATCTTCGGAGTAATTATTATTATTCGAGGAGGTTGGTGGAGGTGTGGCAGAGGAGGAACTGCCATTTTTGTCGCTTACACTCTTTGACGACCCCCCAAACCAACGTCGTCGCCGTGCTTTGGGGGATGATATGGACGGGGCGAGACTCACGGAATCGGCGTCGGCCGTAGAAACATCGGGGTTGCCGCGTTCATTCTTTTCCTTTTCGATTTGCTGCGCCAGGGCTTGCGTTAAGGCTGAGGGTGCGTCTAGGGATTTGCCGTCGGATGCCACTTCCACGAGTTCGGCGTCCCTACACCATTTCCTGCGGCGTGTATAGCGGTCCCACCCGTCTTGACCACGGCGCCCATCATGCCACTGCAAGAAAACAGTCAGTTAGAAGAACGATAAAAGCCAAGATAAGATATGCACGCGATCATGAAGCAGAAACACACCTTATTATCAGAGTAAATCCAACCACCCCCATCGGCACGTTTGGAATCGGATGCATCATCGTCGGCTCCGTCAATGTGCCATTCGCCGCCTTCGACCCATCGCCATTTTGCGTTTCCGCTTTGCACTCCTGGAAGATGGAATTCATTCTTCGGAGGCACTGGGTTTAGATGCTCATCCGTCCAGGCAGCCCGCTCTGACGGGAACAAGGAGTATGTCCAACCAATGCCTAACCAACGACGTTGGTTTTCGTAAATAATAAAAGTAAAACGCACACCGGACGAATCTCCGCGGCGTCTAGTAGCAACATTGGCGGCGTGACCGTGACTCTGCAGGACATGAGACTTGTCTTTATCCAACTCAAATGACAGGCCCGTAATCATAGCGCATATCCGGCGAATGGTGAGAGATCTCCAAAGAATGACGCGGCAGACCCTCGCGGTCCGCGAATGATATGTAAGGATAATTGTACCTACCACCATTATAACACGGCGAGTAGTGATGAGGTGTAGGGGAGGAAGAGTTAGGGCAATCCATAGTGGAGTGACAAAAAGAATTCGGACGAATAAAGCCGTAAGAGCCGGCCGCGTGGTCGCTGATGTAGCCGTCCTTTGAGTTGACAAGAAATCCGTGAGTTCCACGAGTGGTTCGAGGAGGATATTGCACCGAGTGGTGAATGTCCTCATAGCCTCGACAATCTCGTCAAGACTTTCATGACGTTGCGCAGAGCCTTCTGAGGCAGCGGATTGGCTGTGCTTCTCCGTTGAAAATGCCCGGGTTGATAATGGAGAGTAGCGCCTCCAGTACATCCCGAGAATCAGCCCGACCACTACCAAGAGCGGTCCGGCCCGAAGAATAATTGCATCACCGTATAAGACCACCGCCCAGAAACTTGCCACGAGTAGGAAGCTATAGTAGGAGTCGTCCGTAGTCCATGTCAACAGGCCAATAAGCTTATTTAGTGGTAAAATAAACGGGTGTGAATAGGCAAGTGCCCGTGTGACAGGCGGAGGAGTGGCCACGAGAAGAGGAGACTTGCGGTGCACAATGATGCTAGAGCGCTGTCTTGAGGTCAGAGACGAGCCAGAGATGGTACTAGGCGAGAAAGCGGCGACCGTCGGAGGCTGAGAATCAGCATGGCCGCTAATGTGGGTTGACGGGGCCATGGAATCTATCCACGGTATATCTTCTACCGAGTCATTAATATCGGCATCCTCGAAAAGGTCATATACACCAGGGCGCTTAGTGGAGGACATATGAATAAACGAAGGGTGCCTATTTCATCCGTCAGGCTTATTAGGTACATACCGAGTGCTGCCATCCAATAAAGACGTCACAAGCAACCAACAAGGTCATTGCGGGCAGTGAAGGGGGAAGGAAGAAGGGAGGAATGGGAAAAGGAGAAATACTCGTAAGATAAGCCCCAGACAAGCACGACGGCGAGGAGGCAGAAGAGTGGGTTGCGGGGGCAAGCAGAAGATCGCGACACAAGACCCGCGGTGCAGGTGAAGCTTTGCTGCAGTTCTGGACATGTGATCTCTCTGTGATGCCGAGTCGAGGAAGCCGGGCCAGAGTTTCCCTTCAATATACAGTATAATCATCAGTCAAAGTCATGATACATTTTCTGATGAGTACAAATAATCCATATTGCATCTCTGGGCCATAATATGTGCCACTTAAACCTATATTCCTCCCCCGCGAGGCCTACTAGGCAGTATGTACATCGTTGCCCGTAGTTCGTGCTCGGTCTTGGCGGAATCGCAAAGTCGCTCTCCGAATTTTTCCCTCCGGCTTCACCTCCGTCTCCCCATTGCCATCCAACACCTCGAGACCACCAACCCCCATAATCTACCCTCCGATTGCCCTTAGCTGGGTCAAGTCTTTTACTTTATCAAAATGGTACGTTGACACCACTCAATCCGCCCCTGACACAGATTCCATCCCCTTTCTCGCGTTGTTCCGAAATCGCCATACTAACTTCCGACTCACCAACCAGGCCCACCGCATCGTTACCCAAGTCGTTGTAACCGGCGCGCGTGTCTTCGGTCGCGCTTTTGCTGAAGCCTACAAGCAAGCCTCCGCCGCATCCAAACACCAAGGCGCAAACGGCAAGTCTGGGAACTCCTTCGCCTCCTCTGGCATCACCCTAGACGAGGCATGCAAGATCCTCAACGTGAAGCCCCCACAAGGCGGCGAAGCAAACCTTGAGCAAGTGATGGAGCGTTTCAAGAAACTGTTCGACATGAATGATCCGCAGAAGGGCGGCAGTTTCTATCTGCAGAGTAAGATTCTGCGTGCGCGCGAGCGGTTAGAAATGGAGGTCCGTCAGGCCGAGAGACACGCTGCGCAGGAAAAGGAACTGCGTGAAGGGTGGAAGCCAAAGGTTTACAAGGATCGGTGATTTTCCCCTTTCTTTCTTACCTTCGACCTGGTGGATGGTTTTCGCGCGGGTTGCAGGGAATAATCTCCACCCTCGATGTTTTTCCCTTTAATTTTTTCTCCTCTCGAGATCTTTTGCGGCATAGCACGGCGTTTTCTTTTGGTATTTCGAGCATCTGGATCGGAGAAAATTAGACTTCCCCAACAACTCAAAACGCTCGCCTTCCGGGAGGGTTTCTCATGCGGCGTATTCACCCTTGACCTCCGCTTACCGGTTAAGAAACGAATAATGCCATAAAGTCAGTCCTCGATTCCTTCGATTCTAGCTATCCATCGGCTACACCCTACGTTCACTCGCTGCACGATATTCGACATCGATATTCCTCTGTACATTATCTCGCAAGCGAGCCTCCAAACGGAAAAGAAGCCAAGGATTGTCTTTTGAGTCGAAGGATGGACCGGCGAGCGACTGTTGATATATTACCACTTTCTTCCTTCGATACACTATTCTCCGCTCTCACGCTGTCATTATATGTACTATAAATACCTACATGCGGTGAATATTTGCTGCAGTATCTAGATATCTACCTGGATGATGGTGTCCAGTGCAAGCTAGTGCGAAGGCGAATTCTAACCGCATAAATGTATATTTATTCACCGATGTCACAACCGTCCTCTCCCCTAATAGACACGCACCCTCTCTAATTTGGTATAAGCTGGGTTATAAGCTGGATAGCACATCTTAGCCAAGGCCCCATTCGCCAAAGTCAAGGCAACCTTTTCACGTTCCTCTCCAAGCAATCGCATCTAGCGCTCCCTCGGTGAGAAGGTGAAAAGACAGAGACACGGAGCCTCCATGGGACTGTAGCAATTCGATTTGTCATCTAGCTCACTCATAATATTGGATGTTGTCTCAAAGACCTGTTCGACCAACACGAACGCCATGGATTGAGCCTGCGTTGTTATATTCAAGTACTCACCTGTGAATAGGTCAGTAATTAATGGGAACACCAAGGCGTCCAAAGGTAAAGTTCGTGACTGAGCGGGTAGAAAACAGACCAGCACAAAAAAGAGCCAACACTTTGAGACTGCCCAGGCCCAGAACTGACATGAGCCGAGCCCAGTGCTACCCCTGAAGTAGTAAGGTAGACAAAATGGCAAGATTGATACCATCCTAAACCCCTCATGATGCACACAAGCAGGATAGCCATGCGAAATCCCAACGCCACAACGAAAGGGTATCTAATGCTAATATATAATACATAGATCGACAACGTAAGGAAAGAGAAAACATCACAGCATGCCGTATTTTCATAAGTCAAGAGTGCTAGTTCTAGCCAGCAACGGGTATTCCTTTCTCGCGCATGATAAGGTCCTTGTCCATTTCAGACTGCGTCTTGTAACCGCCGAGCTTGATTGCCTCCTCATTACTGATGGAAGTTGGGACTTTCGGTATATCAGGACGTAACCGCTTCAAACGAGAAGCTCGGTCTTTTGATGCTAGCTTCTTTTTCTGAAGCTTTGTCAACTTTTCTTTGGATTCTTTGGATTCCTTGGCCTTTGAGTCTTTAGCCTTTTTACCGCCAGCCGGCGGTTTCGCCGGGAGAGGACGAGAAGGTTTCGATGAGGGAGGTGGTGGGGGTGGAGCCGCATTTGTTGGTGGTGGAGGGCTATAAGGTGGCGGAGGGGGAGGCGACGGAGACCGTCGGTATTGAGCAAATCTGGGGTCCGTCTCGAACACCTCACGCAACTGCCAACGGAGTTCTGTGTATTCATCAAAATTTGCTGCAATTATTGTACCCAAGATGCTTTCAGTAATCTCTCCAGTCGTGGCTGCGGACACCATACGGTCCTTGAGTAGTCGGAATGCCTCTGCAAATGACTTGAAAATCAACCCAATTTCACGAGTGCCGCCAGATATATCATTATCCGGGTTGTTCGGGTCCTCAATAGAAAGACGAGGACCGTTGTTTGCCTTGTACACCCCATAGACTCTCTATACCTTTAGTCAGCGACTGCAGAGATGCAGGAAAGTGAATTGATAACTGACCTTATTGAAGTATCCAGGGGGGTTCATACGAATCCCCACGGTTTCGTAGTCAAAGTTGCTTCCATAGAACTGGAAGAAATCCATGAGGACGCTCCCTAAGTTTGGCGACAGATTGCTGTGGGGCATATGTTGAAGAAGACTGGTGACGAGACAAGTGATAGAAAAGCCTCCCAGACCACCAGTAGGAACCTCGTTGAGGCCCCTAAGAAGAAGAAATTGTTTAATCACTGACACGATAACAGGCATTGCGGGATATTCTTGTCTCCACACCTGGAACGTTCTGTTCGCAATAAGCCCACTGTCGTTATCAAACGAAAGATCCACCTTGAGCCCGGTCAACTTATCCACGAATTTCAAAATTGGAACACGCGCATGAGCGATGGTTTCAACAGAGCCAGGAACAGCTATATCCTGGTTCTTAACGAAAGCAGAGAAAGCATAGATCTGCCCTTTTCTCTCACCGAACGTCTTGACGCCGGTGCGCCTGAAATTGGTAGAGAGAAGGACAAGGTCTATGTCGGCATTGGGCAGATACAGCCCGGACGCGAACGAACCAAAGGCATGAACTTCCACTCCGTAATAGCGGCTTTGAAACGTAGCCTGTAGTCTCGCCACCAAGTCCTCTCGCACGACTTGCTCGTACTGCACAGGCTTTACCCAATGGTAAAAGCTCAAAATCTCGTCATGAAGCCTGAGTGCGTTAGATAGCCCATCCCAAAAGAGCTGCAAGCGCAGAACATACCTTGATCCTAGATGCAGGGTCGGTGGCATAAGATTTAACCAAGGAGTCCCAGTCTCAGAAGGCCGCAATTTCCATTCATCTATAATGGAGCCGTCTTTGTAGTACCTACTCGCCAACTTTCCGCCAGGCTTACCTGGCCCCTTTATCTCATCATCATAGGTCCTCTTCCGATTCCCAAGAGCTGGGTCGTTTCCTTGAAGATGGCGCTTTGGGCCCGTTGGCGCGTTCTCCGGTGGATTACTCGTTTCATTCTCATCCACCAACCCAGCTAGAGAAATGAAGTCCTCGTTCGAAACCACAGCATCTGTCTTCGCGGGCTTCTCGCTAGCCGCGAGTCGAGCCTTTCGAATAAGTTTCACCACGTCCACCTTTTTATTCTGGGTCTCATCCGGAGGAGGTAGTGCCGTGTAAGGATCCGGGTTCGACCACTTCGGCTTCGACTCGGCGGCGGTATCCGGTACAGGCGTGTTGTTGCTTTCGACTGCGCGTTTCTTGCGTGGGCGGGACTCTCCGTCTTCGTCTTCGTTCTCGTCCGACGACACGTCCATCTCGGCTTCCTCGCTATCGCTAAGGTTCTCGATTCGCGCAAACTTCATCCCCGGTTTCGCATGTTCTGATTCAGGACCGACCAGCAGCTCTGGTGTCGTCTCTCTCCGCGATCTCAAGAGTGGCCTTTCTGACGTCCCGGGGCGCTGATAGCGAAAAGTGAATTCATGCTTGGGCTGATGCGACGACCGCTGGTTACCACCTCGAAACTCGTAAGCCGGCGGCGGCATTATGGACCGGGTATGCCAGATGTTCTGATGTATAAGTATTAACGGGGGAAATTGAAAACATAAAAAGAGAGATTTATAGAGAGATTTCGGGCAAAAAAAAGAAGAAGGCCTTGAGTCGAGATATGCTGAGTGCGTGATTGCCGGTTTTTTACTTTCTTTTTTGCGGCAGAAATTTGGCTTTGAGGAAGGCGGTGAATGTTATGGTGAAGACAAAGCATACAACATCCCTGTTCTTTCACCTGAGGTTACACAAGCTCAATTGGCTATTGGAGTGGTGATTGGTTTATTTATATCTCAGGATTATTTGTACTGCCTCCCGCCTTTAAACCAGCTTCCAACTGCTGGATGAGCGAATTGTCCACTGCCATCTCGGCAAAGCTGGTTCGGCTTGTAACCCAGTCCAGCCATTCTTCAGCCCTGGAGCCACTGTCTGCATGGAGAAGGCCGACACTTACATCAAGCAGCAGTGGTCTCTTCTCGCAGTGCCAGAAAACCGATGCTCCACAGCGGCTACAGAACTCCCGATAGACTCCAGGTGAACTATTATATCGCCTCATTGTGCCGGTGCCGAAAGTTAGCTCTGTTTTGTCCGTCGTCAATATGTTTGATTTGGGAATGAATGCCCAGGTCTGGATAGGAAAACCACTGGCCTGGCGACATGTTGGGCAGGCGCAGGTTCCCGCCATATACTTGGTTTTGCCGGCACATAGCCACCACTTCACATCCTCGTCGTTTTCAGCCGAAACCGAGGAATGGTATGGAACAATCAAGTCGGGCCATGGCGACCATGGTTCCTCAGAAGCCGAATCCGGGCGGGTAATATAGAGCTCTATACCACCACAGTGGCATTGAGCGAGAAGTTGAGCCGGGTCTCGGCTTGGTATTTTTTTCTTTATTTTGTCTGTAGCGTCTTGACTTTTTGCCGGGCACTCGACCCAACATGGCGCGTCAGCTCTAGCAATGACACCAGGAAGAAAGGGAGATAGGCCACCGTCCTGCGTGTCGTTGACTTTCCAGTGGAATACGCCCTTGGTTTGTGGCGGGCTATCTAGCAGTCCCGATGCGACAAGAAAGCGGCCCGTGTGTCTAGAATGAGCAAAAACATGCGAACCGCAGGTCCCGCAAAAGAAGCGTGTAAGTGAGTCTGCCTGGTGATACTCGGCGAGATCTTTAAGTTGTGGCTTTTCTTGCAGGGGGTAGTAAGATGTGAAGATTTGTCCGGAAACGGTCTGGCATGCTGTGCAGTGGCAGAGGTTCAGCGTGCTGCTAGTAGTAGATGGATCGAGCTGCACCTGCTGTGTCACCCTAGCGCATAGGCAGGAGATTGAGTGCATCATGTCGTCTATATCTTTGATGCTCCAGATAGAAGCCGTGCACGTACGTAGCTTTCTGTCAGAAGTTTGTAGAGGCTTACAGGCTTCGTTAGTGACGTCGCCTAGTCCCAACAAGGATGCACATACTGGACTCGGCCCTTCGAAATCAACGCCAACTACATCGCATAAAAAAACACCTTGGGCAAAATAGCAGCTCCAGTTGGCTTCAGGAAGTAAAAGATCCGCCCTCTTGCAGAAATGTGCTCACATTAATATTCACGTTCGTGTCGGGATGTTGCAACGGGGCCAGCGGCCGTCCTATAAATACCCGGTACACGACCCCGCCCCGGTCCCTCCCTCTTCTCTCTTCCCTCCTCCTACGCCCGACTTGAATTCCACGAACCTCACAAAAGCAAACCCAAGCTCAGACTCTTAAGAAACTTTTCTTAAAAACACCACTACATCTCAAAATGTGTATGTTGTTTTCCCCTTTCGTTCCCAGTGTATTTCATCTAGCGGGGTCAATGGCGGGGTATCATTCCCATCCATTCCCATCCCTGTCAGGCAAATTTGCCCAGGGATGTTGCACGAATGATAATACTAGCCCAAGACGTCTGTAGAGACGAATATGAAGCTAACGCTGGATCGTACAGCTCACGGTTGCTCCTGCGGTGCTTCTTGCCAGTGCCCTGCCGGCCAGTGCAACTGCCCTGTAAGCCGCACCCTTGCTTTGTTACCTGTTACATACTGTCAAACTTGTCGCCTTGCTAATAGACGTCGCATAACAGAAGAACTAAAGGTCTCGAACATGTGTTGATGAGCGGAAGCGGACCGGAGAGATGTCGTTGCTGAATTATGGAATGGGTGGTTGTCGTTGTGCCCCGGAATATGTTTCGTAGCGCGAGAGCACCGATAGTGATAAATTCTACCATCAGATCCCGATTCTAGCATTCGTTCTGGGCATTTTATGTTTTTAAAGCAGTAGTCCTCAAGTTACTCATGAGTACCTCCTTGGAAAGACCCCCTTCCCCCTCTTGCTCCAGATGTCAATCAGCAACCGCGTTCCCCGCCATCTTTTAGCAATAATCAGATGTCATCCGGCGATACGACCGATCCTTGCATCGTGCGGCTGTCGCGCGTTCTACGAGACCTGTGGGCACTGCGCCATTATTGCTAATGCAGGAAATACTGACATCGACCCATCCCACCCCACCATGATCAGGGCGACCAGTCCCAGGCAAGGAATTTTTGCGTCCTTCTTCGCCCTTCTTAGTAACGCATATTACTTTTCAATAGTGACGTTTTTCATCGGACTTCCAACTCAGATTACGTGGTGTAGGCAACTTACACTCTTGCTCGAACGCGAAAGAGGGGGGCAGGACTGGGTGCCTGAGCTTAAGCTCCAGGTGACTGACTGCCAGGAGGTCATCAAGAAGGCAACCTCACCAATGGGCGTTTGGTTCTTGATGCTGTGGGAGATAAGATACTGGAGGGCTAGTGCATATCAGGCAATACTAAGACGCTTGCGACTTGCTCCTCTGCTCGAACGTGCAACAACCACTCCTCAGACACCGGGCGAAGACCCAACAAGGTGATGAAAAGTCGTAAATAATGGGGTAATAAGCCCTGAGAGGCCTTTCTCATTGCTAGCCTCACTTTTCTCTATGGAACTATGATAGGATCTGTATGTTGAACGTGGCATGACATCGATCGACCACACGTCTGTATACTGTAAAGCTCAGCTGCAGGCCGGTTCTTGGAGAGGAAATAGAGAGGACACTTGCGCCTATCAAGAAAAGCAGGTTAAGACTTCTCCATCCGATTTCTGCTTTGATTACCGCATCGCACGGATCCCAACGTATTATATCATGCACGTCAACCATCCAACCCCCACACCCTGTTCCTCTCAAGTACGTAGTAACGCCGTATCCGTCCCCTCCCACCATCAACCTCCAGTAACTAAACACCGTCATTCGCCCTCCACAAAAAAGAAAAAGCAAAACCAAGCGCTGAGTTTCAGAAACTCAGCATGACTCCGATCACCGTAGCAGGGGCCCTCAAGAAGAAAACAAATCGGAAGACGACTGGGGACTGCCACTGCCAGCTTATTGGAGGATGTCCGCCAGTACGCCCACACCCACGCCTTGACAGACTGTGCTGTGCTGGGCTTTGCTCCACTAGTATGGTTTATCCAGTCAATCATCGCCGCATAAGCTGCGTAACTGATACAAGAGCTTCTGAATGGGGGAGACGAAGAGGGGAAGTATGGATGAATGATGTAGTATTTGTAGTAAAGAAGCCAGAAGAAGCTATATAAAGGTCTGCCTTCCCTCACACCCTTGTCTCTCTTCTCTTTCTTATCCATCCATCCATCACAACTATTCAATCCAAACAAGCATCTACTTCGTCCGGTTCAAACACCACAGACCCAAACCAGTCAACATGTCTCCCTGCAACTGCAACTGCTGCTCCGGCGACTGCAACTCTTGCTCCTGCAGCAGCTGCACCGTATGTCACCTCCCTCTCGTCTCATCTTGACCCTACTCCAGTATCTTGGGAAACTAACCGGATTCCTCCCTCTAGCACTAAATCCCCTAAACCCTTCGAGCGAGCATCCCTCTTGTCAATAAACACCTCGAGGTCGATACTCAACACCCGTCGGTAACGATGGCGTGAACGAACTTGCGCATCTGGGTCGGTTGAGGGTATTGTTTTGCTTTGTTCGTGTTTTTGAGATCATAAAGTGAATTATACATATCTAAACATATACGCTTTATATATTGAGAGCTCATTCAACTCTTCCTATATCTGTAGCTAGTAAAGTTGTGGCCTGGTCAGGATGGCATGCCCGAGTAGTACCCGATATATCTTCCTAACCATCCACTTTAGTAGAAGGATTTGTAGACTCCCACCATGTCGAGTTCCTCGCCCACAAGGCCAACCCCCCTCGAGTTACTCATCACTACTACCGTACTCCTCGTCAGTAGTTTCTTCCTCATCCTCATCCTCCTTTTCCCTTTCTTCCATACTAGATATGAGGGCCTCTCTGATATCGGCGCCGAGTAGCATACCGATATCTTGGCCTGCTTGTTTGTCCTGTTCTCCGTCTGGCTCGAATGTATTTGTTTCGAGCAGCGATGGTGGCAGCTCCGTACCCGAGAAGCAGCGTGCCAGGGTAACAAGCGTGGGCCTATGTAGATAACGGGCCATAGTCGGCCAGAAGTTATGTCTGTTGAGTTTTTCTCTTACTACATCGTTGCCATTGATCCTGGCGTAGATATACGAAATGACGAAGCGGAAGAAAAGGTAACGGCAGGCGGGTCGGTTGTCACCGAGGAAGGTCAGTTCCTTTTTGTCAATATCCTGTAAGTTCGATTGTTAGCAGCTGATTTGGTTGATAGAGCCTGCTGGGGAAGAACTGACCTCAAGCCCGCTCCAGGATCCCATCATCGGGCTCTGTGGTAGGGTTACTGCGGTGCTTTTTCACCTGGAGTTCCTCCGTTAAGTCGTCTTCAATCAGCCTCCTCTGACATTGCAAAACCTTGAGGTTCTGGGACAGGCTTTTGGAGGAACTCAGAAATGGCTGTATTTCGGTAGAAAACTCCTCGTCGCTGATCAACTGTTTTGCCTTTGCCTCGTCTAATCCGTCACGAAAGCAACGGATCCAGTCGAGCTCGGCTTCCATGGCGGCCATTTTCGTGTCCAAGAAGCCTGATACTGGGGAGCTAGCGGACATCTGAGGCAGAGGGGATGCAGCGCTAACAGAACAGTGTTTCTGTTGGGTAGTAAGGGTATCAAGCCCCTTTTCAGGCATCGGAAAATGCGTGAGATGGTCCATGTCCGGCAGTGGGGTTTGGACTTGACTCTTGAGTGACGAGAGATGGGAGGTGGTAAGATACGGCTTCAAATACTATGTTTGTGTTATTGACTCACTGTTAAGCTTCAGGGAACTACAATCCTCTCACCCACGAACCATGGTTCGTTGCAGATTCATTAAACGTTATAGTTAATACGCTCAACCAGGATCAAGTGCTCTGAGAATCCAACGCTGTATGCAATTCAACTAAGTCGTACCTGGTAGAGGTAATGTCCCTGTACATAAACACCTATATCCATCACAGCTCATCCTTGGCCCTTGGAGCCACGTTTCCGGGCTCTTCCCCGCCGGCGCAAACAGCCGGTGTCGTAGCTCTCATCGAATACACACATTTCTCATCCTCGGCGACCTTCAGGATCTCATCGTTCTCACCGCACTCCAGGATAACGGTTGTCGATCGAGCCGGTCCATTCCAGCAGCCTTGGCCCTTGGTGTATTCTAGAGTCGTCCTGGGAACCTGGATGATTTCGCCGGTTTCGTTCAGCTCATCGATGTTGACGGTTGAGATGCGGTCGAACTTGCCCATCCGCGCGGTGGATCCGCCCTTCTTGGGAATTTGCTTCGTCTGGTCGAGGAAACAGTGCTCATAAGTGTACTCGCCAGCATCCTTCTGGACGCAGACGCCTTTGAGGGCACGGAAGATGGAGGCGACACCGTAGTCAGTTTCAAGGTCCTTCTCGTGTCCCTTGAGTTGGTTCTTCAGGTCACTGATATCCTTCTCTGCAGCCTTGACAGCGTCGCGGGCCTGTGTCACTGCTTTGGACTCAGATTCAGTTTCTTGATCCTTGGGAGGCAGGATGCCGCTCTCTTCGAGGACAGCCGTAACGAGGTCGACTTTGCTTTCTATGAATGAAACAAGAGACGGGGGTAAGTAGGCGGCGAGTTTGTAAACTAGGTATCCGGTTAGCTTTATGCCACATGATGAAGAGGTTGAACATACTAGCACTAGGTTCATCATCACCCTCGTTCTCCCACTTCTCCCAGTTTATTCCCGATTGTTCATTGTCCGCTTGAGATATCGTATCCCAATCACTATCGCGTTCACTGTTTAGAATAGTCTCCACAGTTCCTCGGGCAGCGTAGTCCTCCCAGCCGCGCACAGCGCGCTTGACTCCCTCATCGTTAAAGTTCGGGTTGTACTCGACCTTGAACTTGGACAAAATATCCTCAAGCTCCTGAACACGAGACCGAATTTCATCCCTCTCTTTACGTACGTCGACCAACGCATTCCGGAGTTCTTCCACACGGCCCTTGGCGAGTTGAGTAAGGACGTTCACCTTGCCCGCTTTCTTCCCCCTCACAACCTTACTCTCTTCCTTCTTCTTGACTTCCTCGAGGTCAGCTTCCAGACTCTTCAGCTTAATCTCGTTGCTCTCAATCTCGATCTTGAGCGCAGCGATCTGATCCTCGACTTCCTTCTGCTGCCTGCCCGCATCCACAAGTATATCCCGCTTCTTCTTCAGAGCCGCCGTCATAGATTTCTGTCTATTTTCCTCCTTCTTGCGCCATTCCTTGCCAATCTCCTTGCACTTGTCCTCACATTTCGTGCCTCCAACTCGAGCCCACTCGTCGCTTCCATCACAGCAAAGTTCGTAGTCGCAGATACCGTCATTGACCCGCTGGAAGGGCAGATAAGATGGCTTATGACCCTTATTCTTACAGTAGAATCCCGGAAGCGCCGCCTTGAGCTCATCGTTGGAATGGCCGGGAAGGTGGGCGACATTCAATGGAGCGTTGCCGGACAGGTGGGCACACGCTGCTGTCCCAGGTTCGTCACTGCCATCCGGACAATCGCAGAAATCATCGTTCACAGCGGAAAATGGAATTTGGACCGCGGGGTGGGAGATGCACGAGAAGGTGGTGGTGTCTTTGTAGAACTTGGCAACTGTCGGAGACGAGCGATGTTAGTCTAGAACTCAACGTTGTTATTGTCCATCATTGAAGCCTCGAAGCTCCAATAACGAAATGCAGGTGTACATCTGTCTCATAAACAGTACTCACATTCTGGCCCGACTCCGCGGGGTCGAGCAGGATCATCCCCAGCAGCAGCAACCAGCGTCGAGGACGCTGCGAAGCTCACCAGAATGAGCGATTTCCGAGAAAGAATCATCGTTACCACATCGAGTTTTCCCCCAATGTCAGGTAACAGCAAGTGCCAGAGGTGCACGATACTCCTCCACTAGCGATGGGAATGCGGAGGTGCTCAACACGGACAGTCCTTGGGGTTCTGGCCAGCTGTTGACAACCTTGGAGAAGCCGATCTGGGGAACTATGCGCTTAGTCATCGTCCCGCGGCGGCGTGTGGCAAAGAGCAACCATGAGAACTTGAAGTCGACAACTATTTTCAACTACACCAGCTGCGAGTTAATCTCTGCCAATATGGGTAATGATGGTGGCAGGTAAGTGCTTGTTTTCAGCAGCAATGTTTGCAGCTCTAATTAGCGTACGCTCTTAGTATCCCAACCCGCCGCGAGCTCGTCCGCGAGGCCGCCCGCAACCCCAGTACGGCGCAGCTAAAAGAAACCCAGCGTGAGCTCCTAGAGCATTTATGGGCGACCTGTCCGTTGTCGCATAAGCAACTTCTACGACCTATTGTATCCGACTGCGCGGGAAACATGTACAACAAGGATGCGGTCCTAAAATTCCTTCTTCCTGGCGACGAGGTGGAGGGCATCAGCTCGAAGGCTGATTGCGAGGAGATGCTGGCCGGTCGAGTTAAAGGTCTGCGGGATGTCGTCGAGTTGAAGTTTGAGATTGACACAGAGGGCGATGGACACCCGAGTGCGAAGCTTGACAAGAGGGAGAGCTGGCTCTGTCCCGTTACCGCGAAGCAATTGGGGCCGAACGTCAAGTCGGTTTATCTTGTGCCATGCGGTCACGTTTTCTCAGATGAGGCGGTCCGTCAGTTAAAGGAGGATAAATGCCTCCAGGTAAGGAATTCTACACGCCTCTAGAGACCCGGCTAACGTCTTCAGTGCAATGAACCTTACACCGAGGACAACGTCATTCCCATCCTTCCCACGAAGGTTGAGGACAAGCAGAAGCTTATCGCGAGATCCCAGCGACTAGCCGACCAGGGTCTCACGCACTCATTGAAAAAGGCCCCTGGGTCGAAAAAGCGTAAGAACAAGGCCAACGGCGATTCAGCCACTGCCTCTGAGACCAAGACTTCCAACGGGGATGCTTCATCAAAGACCACGGTCACAAAGGACACACCATCAGCCCCAAGCCGGAGCAATACATCTACCCCTACATCATCAGCGCCAAATGGGATCAAAAATGCGTCGACGGCAATGTTGACTGCGCGAGTTCTGGAAGAAGAGAATGAAAAAAAGAAGCGGCGCAAGCTGATGGGTGCGAACGACAATATCAGCAGTCTTTTCAAGAAAGACTCCAAAGATACACAATACAAAAATACTGATTTCATGACGAGAGGATTCTCGCTACCTGCAGCTTCGAAGAAATGATGTTTTCAATGTCTTTTTCACGGCGTTAGGTCTGGAATTTTGGAGTACGAAATCAGTTATTAAACGGGTGGGTTACTTTCTTCAATTCAGCTTTTGTTTTTCTTTTCTGAGAGTGCAAAGACACATGTGCACTTTTGAGATGTTCCCTTTCTATTTCCATCTTCAGCTTAGCATGGCGTCGACTCTTCCTCAGTAGAGCTAGGACATCTTTACAACCACAAGCAGATGGACGACTTATTTTCAAGTAATGATAAGACAGCTAGCTAGACCAAGACCTCGGGCCATGAGCCGTTTGAGGACAAGCTGTGCACCATCTGGCCAGGTAGCAGGTACGAAGTACCTCCCTAGACGAAAGTCGAAAGGAATGACAAGCTCTAAAAACACCGTTACTCCTTGTTGCACGGACACGGGACTATTCCCTGTCAGTTCTCAAACCAACGATAGCCTGTCTGGCTAGGATGCTCTATGAACAGATCAGAGGCATAATGGTTTTGTGCCCTAGTTTCTTCCCCACCACACGGGCATGGCATGCATCGAGGGCAGCTTTGCATTGTAGGTGGACGCAAAATATGGTATCGCAACGGGGATATAATGCATGACTACCTTGCATAAAATGTACTATGATGTAGATGATACTAGTCTTTCCGTGTGACTGTCTGCTCCACCACCCCCGCTCGTTAGATCTTCGCGGTGCATAATATCGCGATGCATAATAATAATGCCTTTGACCTAGGTGTTGCCCAACTATTTAGGAGCGGCCATGCCCTCCGGTGGAGTGCACGCAACCGTTGTCTCAGGTTTCGTCTAATCATTCGTTTCGCTTCTGTCACCATGATTTCAAGGCTCATACTGTTGACCGTTGTGACCTTTTGCCTCTACATCTCCATTGTTGCCACATGGTACCTTCTCCTTCACCCACTGCGGCGGGTTCCAGGCCCTAAGCTATGGATACTCTTTCCGATCCTTAGATACATTTCAGGCATCCACGGCAATTTTGACAAGGACTTACGTCGGTTCCATATTAGATATGGTCCAGCTGTCCGGTTCGACCGAAACGAAGTGTCCTTTATCACCGCAGATGCATGGAGGGAAATCTACGGCCATGGACATCGCCAGCTCCCCAAGGCCCAGGCCTCAACTGCCAACAAATTCGACATAATCTCATCGGACGACTATAACCATTCTCGCTACCGCAAGTCACTTTCTCATGCCTTCTCTGCCCGGGGTCTTCAGGCCCAGGAGCCTCTCCTCAATAGTTACGTTGACAAGCTGGTTACGCGCTTGAAGGCAGTCGCTGAATCAAGGCTACCGGCCGACATGGCCAAGTGGTACAATCTTACCACCTTCGATATGATCGGTGATCTAGCCTTTGGGGAGCCTTTCGGCGGACTAGACAGTTCGGAGTATCACCACTGGGTGGCGCTCGTTTTCCAGGCTATCAAGGCAGTTTCGTACATTAGGCTGAAGGACGCGTATCCTTTGGTCTTTCGGATCATTCGCTCCTTTATGTCTAGAGGTAACAAAATAGTTGAGGACAGGAAGAAGCAGCTTTTACACACCAGGATAACAGTTCAGAAGAGGCTCCAGAATGCGTCTGCTTATAACAGACACGACTTCATGGATTCGATGCTGCGCCACCGGGGGGAGAAGGACGGGCTGAGTGACCTGGAGCTCGAGGCCAATTCAAATATCCTTATCATTGCAGGAAGTGAAACCACTGCTACTCTGCTATCAGGAATCACATACTATTTGCTACGGAATCCCGAGGTTCTGGCAAAGGCAACAAGCGAAGTTCGCGCTGTGATGAATAAAGAGTCCGATATTACCTTTCAAAAGGTCTCTGCTGAGCTTCCATACATGCTGGCTTGTTTCGAAGAGGCCTTTAGGTTATATCCTCCAGTCCCGACAGGTCTACCTCGGCGAACTATATCCCCTGTCAATATCGCTGGATTCGACTTACCCATCGGAGTAAGCCCTAACAAGTCCCCTCTCATCCCGTTCGAAGAAAGCAGAAAAACCAGGTCTAACACCCTCCACTCACAGACAACAGTATTCGTCCACCAGTCGGGAGCATACCAATCTCCAGCCAACTTCCACGACCCGCAGCGCTTCATCCCAGAGCGCTGGCTGCCAGAAAGCAAGAGAGACCCAGCTTCACCATTCTACTCGGACAACCGCGATGTTCTCCAACCATTTTCTGTAGGGCCCAGAAATTGTATTGGGAGGAATCTTGCTTTTGCTGAGATGCGTATCATTTTTGCACGAATTCTCTGGAATTTCGACCTTGAGCTGTGCGAGGAGAGTGCTAATTGGGGGGACCAGAAGTCGTACGTTGTGTGGGAGAAAGTGCCGTTGATGTGTAAATTGACGCTGCGAGAGAACAGCCCGGGTTCGGATGAGTAGGTGTTTATTCATCGTACCCAGGAAAAGACCACAAAAAGTTTCTTTGTTCTGTATTTAAGGCATCTAATTGAAGAGTCCTGGTATGATCCAAAGTTGTCTGCCTGTTCCCCAACCAGGAAGCCCTAATGCCTCTTCACACGTGACCATATATCCGTACAGATTACAGTCAGACTGCTCGACAAAGTTGACAAATTGGAGATGGATAGGCCCTCGGTATATATTATTGGATATACAACCCATCTAGTGGCCATACGCCGTTCGTTACGGTGCGTGTCATCGACAAATCTCCTATATAAACATATTATATCATTCCAATGGTTTAAACATAAATCTGCTGCTATTGTACACAATAAGTAAATCTTGGGAAACGACATGCTACAAGAACTGGATAAGGGGGTTTGATTTTGGATCCCAGACGACAAAATCATTCGATGAGACCTCTCGCACGAAGCTCAGCGTCAATGATCTTCTTCCGTCCAAACTCCTCGTCTTGGTGCCACGGCTTCTGTTTCTTTCCGAAGATCTTGACGTTGGGTAGACTCTGAAGTTCCTCATTAGCTTCGAGATGGTCGATAAGTTTCTTCGGTTTCGGTGCCGTCTCTTTATTAACGTGGCTCATGACGTGCTGGACTGTGCTGATCGACTCGATAGTAGGGTCCGGGAAGTAGTGGCCGGTTAGTTGCGAGAATCGTTTCAGGAACTGTGAATCACCTAAGTCAGCACATGTATACCGGCAGAAAAAGACCTCACTAGACTTACAGCGAACTTCATCGCCGGGTCAGCCAATGACAAGGAGAGGTAGCCCTTGTCCTTGACATCCCGATATCCAAAGAAGGCGAACTTCTTAGGCGGCCCAGCAGCCTCAACTTCTTCAATCTCTTCCGTTTCGGCATTCTCAACATCCTCTTCAGCAGCTTCTTCCGGCTGGGTGGACTCGTTCTGACCTCCGATCTGCTGGAAGATATAGACGAGTGCTTCCTCCGTTTTCTTATCCGGGTATTCCAGAGCCGAGTTCCACTGGCCACTCGGCTGGATCTTACAGTTCAACATCAACTCGAAAACGGCCTTCTCGTGTTCAACGACGTCGCAAATGCGGGCGAGGGGCTTGTCCAGGGAGTGCATCAAGCACAATTCGACGGCGGCTTGATGGGCAGCCAGGGCCAATTGTCCGGGCTTTGTGACGCGGCGGTTAGAGAAAAAGCTGGTATATATATTAGCATTCCGTACTACGAATTAGGCCCTCCCACCGCAAAGATCGAGTCCATCTGAAGAACTGAGAAAAGGCAGGGATCAAGCGTGAACGTACGAATTGTATGCATCAGCCTCACTAGGAGGATAATCGCTCCACTTCCCAAGGTGTCCGATACGCTCAAGTCCCTCCCAGGTCGTCGCAGGCTCGTAAGCAGAGCTTCCCTCGGGCACAGCTTCCTCCGCAGCGGTCTCGACGGCAGCATTCTGCGTCTCCGCGGGCGTAGCCTCCACACCCTGGTCCTCTCTCGCCGCCTGGCTTCTCTTGAACTTCTTTTCAAACACACCTTCTCCACCGTATGGATCCTTCAAACCGGGCGGGTTATCGGTGCCCCAGATCTTGCGGCGCACACGTTCGGTGATCGGGGTGGAGGAGTCGGAGGCATTGCGAAGAAATTGACGGGCGACGAAGGGCCGTGGGCGCGCTTCCTGTCTGCAGACCGAGCAGACGTATCGGGTTCGAGATCCCTGGAGAGGAGTGGCCTCCAGGTTCAACAATCGCAGAGAGGAGCGCATGGTTGCGATGTTGGGTGATTGGCTTGTTAACATGCAACAACTGGAGAAAAGTTTACGGAAGCCAAAAAGCGGAGCACGTGACCATGTTTTATAGGCTTGGCATTTTGAGCCACCACCGGCAAATCTTCCAAATCCCAAAAAACGAGGGCAAATAATTTATCACGCGGAATATTTCAAAAATATAGTCTTTTTTTTACAGAGAAAATTGCTTATGTACAGGTATCTGACGCTAAAATCATTATGTGGAGATCCTATGGAGGATTTACTCCCGAACAAACATACCCGCCATTCCCATGCCAGTTCCGATGCACATGCTAACAACACCGACTTCCTGGCCGGTGCGCTCGAGTTCTGGCAAGAGAGTTGCGAGCTGCCTAGCTCCAGTGGCACCAAGAGGGTGGCCGATGGCAATGGCACCACCCTTGGGGTTAATCTTGGCCTCGTCAATCCCCAGCTTGCGAGCGCAGTAGAGGGCCTGAGAGGCAAAAGCCTCGTTGAGCTCCCAGATTCCAACATCTGAAACATTCACATCAAGGAGTTGGAGGAGCTTAGGGATAGCAACCGCGGGGCCAACACCCATCTCATCGGGGGCACACCCGGCCACGGCAGTGCCGACCCAACGGGCCTTGATGGACGAAGTCAGACCGAGCTCAGTAGCTGTAGAGCGGCGCATCAATAAGGTGGCGGCGGCACCGTCGCTGACTTGGGAGCTGTTCCCAGCGGTACTGGTACCGGTCGCTGAGAAAGCCGGCTTCAGCGAAGCCATCTTCTCGACGGAGATGTTGGGGCGGACTCCGTCGTCCTTGCTAACGGTAACCTCCTTAGGAGGAGCATCAGGGTTCTCGGCGTCGTAAGAAAGGGTCTTTACGGGGACAATTTCGGAATCGAACAGTCCGCTGTTTTGCGCAGCTGTGGCCTTCTTGTGGGAGTTGGCTGCGAACACGTCTTGATCCTCCCTGCTGACACCGTAGCGAGACGCAACATTCTCAGAAGTGATGCCCATGGGCATAATACAGTCTCTTGAGTCCTTGGAAGGCGAGTCCTTGAGCTCGGGCCACAAAACAGTAGGGATGGCACGAGAGCCGTAGTTCCGGGTCATGGACTCCATTCCACCACCGACACCAACGTTGAGAGCACCAGCGCGGATGCTGTTTCCGACTGTCGAGATGGCGGCCAGACCTGACGAGCATTGTCTGTTGATCGTGTGGAAGGGAACAGTGTGAGGGAAGCCTGCGTGGATCTGGGCCATGCGACCTGCTTTCGCACCACCAAGCTCCTGGAGGACGGAACCGATGCAGACATCCTCAATTAAGGCCGGATCGAGGTTCGGGTTTGCCTCGAGCGTCGCTTTTAGCACATGAGAAAGCAGCTCCTCCGGGTAGGCATCCTTGAAACCGCCCTTCTTTGCGCGGGTGACGGGAGTGCGGAGAGACGACAGGATAACAATATCCGATGGCGATTTTTGGAGGACCTGGCGAATGCCTCGTGGGACTGGAGAAGCCATGATTTAAATACGTCTTCGACTAGGTAAACTCCTATATTCGCCTCCAATAGTCAGATCTCAATTATTCAATGCAAAGGTTGAGGGTTCAGGTACCCACAGGGATATATCCGAAAGAAGCTTGCTGGCGCGGAAGAGATAATCTAAGGGCAGACCACCTCACAAACTCCTCAATGGAGGTATGGGATGTCGAAGAATAATTATAATGGAGGATGGATCGTCCAGAAGGAATTCTGGAGCTTGGGCTCCATTATTCTTAAGAGACAGAGCCGTCCCCAAGTTGCCATCGAATTGCCGGCAGTGAAGATCGGCTAAGTGCTCTGCCGCTGAAAAGATTGGGGAGATGTGGGGGAAGTCGGGAGGGTCTCATAGCCGGCAAACCGCATCGGGAAACACCATTCCTCTTCTGAATCCCCAGATGTCCTCAAAGTGACTCCCGAGCTTTATAACAAACACGTAAAGAACCGAGTATCCCCATACTGTCTTCATCCCAGTCGATTATGGCGGCAGCCGCAACAGCTTCGCACTATATACCAGAGCCCGCCATCCGATGACGGATTATGTCAGCCGGTTCGGATAGCAACAAACTACACGCATCGGAAGCGGACGGATAATTATAGAATCGAGAAAGTCAATATAAGAACCGAAGCACTACGCAGTACGTATTCTACTCCATAATTATGCGGGGTGATTCTGGGTAGGTATGCTCTCAATCAAATTCTGTGAGGTCTTTATTAATAATGTTCTGGTATCCCTTGATATGCAATATGACCATCGTGAGCGGCGCTCCAAAACTCCTGGTATCCATGAGAGGTAATAATCAACAAGTACCCCAGATAACGCCGTGCATTCGTAAAATCGTTAAATAAAAATACCGACCGATAAGCCCAAGCAGTCACTCTTTGTGAACCCGGAGGTGAGGGCTTGAAGAATAAAAGTGTCAGCACCCAATGATATGGCTGTAATGTCCAGGCACTTTACGACGACATTTGTCGCAGTCGGCACGATAGCCCATTGAGAATCCCGGCTTTTTGGGCGGCTTGAGGTGCCCATTTGGCTTTATATTCGCTTGACCCGGTAGGTCCAGCGATGACAGCCGCTGCCGCATGTCAGCAGCCTCAGCATCCATGGCGGACGAATTCCCCGATCCCAGCGACGGAAGCGATTCTATAGGAGAGATGTCATATACCATTTCTGAATCATCCGAGGAGTCTTTCGCGCCTGGTATGCCATCTCCATTATCGCTCACTGGGCTAAGCAGGCGCGGGCAACGCCACCATAGGGTATCCCCGGTTAACTGAACAGAATGACTGGGAGATATCGTAGAGTCGGATACCGATATTATAGGGAGGGTTGGCTGTTGTGAATTAAACGAATCGCATGGCGTTGCTGCGATGTGGCTTGGACTGGGTGAATGGTGGATAATACTATGCGTGTTTGATGAATGGTTCCGTGCATCCCCATCAAACACAGAGGCTGGCAGCTGGTTTTTCGCGTCTTTGTTTATCGAACCTGAATCTTCCGATACGTCCATGTCCATGGACGCGTCGAAGTCGAACCCAGAGGCATGAGAGCTTCGTTGGAACAACTGGGATTTATTGAGGTTCGGGCTAGAAAGGTATAGGCTGTCGGAATCATCTTCGGAGGAGGTTTCGACAGGAGTCAACGCGGAGTATGGATAGACTGAGAGCGGGTTTCGCGGACTTGCTTCGACGAGCTTCGAGCTCTGGCCAGCCTTCCGAGGACTGCGTAGAGGCAGGGAACGGTGCTTCTATAAGTTTGGTTGTTAGACGATACCAGCTCAGCTTATGCCATAGACACGAACCTTCTTCTCTCGGAATAAGTCCACATTGTAGGCGGGAAACTCCTCGTGTTCCCTCTGGCGCTTTGAGGAAAGGCAAGACATGGGGCTCTTGATGTCGAACAGGGAAAAGGCTGGTGAAGGAAGAATCGACTAGGAGTTGTGGTCCATCTAACACGAGCACTGCGCTTGGTTGGAAGTCGGCGAACGTTAACTCAAGTGGACCCGGGGGATCCACGGTCGAACGGCAGTATGAAACTGTCAAATTATATACGAATCATATTAATGGCGAGGGACATAAGGTGTGATCTGGGGTCGAAGCTGTTCCCAAATGTCTCCGAGCACGAACAGTCTACTCCAGAAAAGGCAGGCACTAAATTCAGCTGTGGATCTTAAGTGACCTTAATACACGTATTTATGTATTGGGCCGTATCACTTATTACCAGTACATCTACAGAGTCGCCGGCGAGGACTCCCACCAGGGTTAACTCTTACAACAATCCAATAATAATCAGTTTAATTTTAAATGCATCCATAAGTCTATACTAAGCTTCGTGGCGGGGTAGCGGTTATAGCCTTTGATTTCCGAGCTGCCTTTGGAGCTCCGTCGCTGATGATGTCAATACCACCTGACCCGAGAGGAGCCTCTACTTAAACTATTAGTGGTAGTACTACTTCTACCGTTGAGTGTCTGAGTACTTGATCTGCAATATTCGCACAAGTCAAGAAATTATGGCTGCTCTACGATCTGGATTTGCTATCGTGACTCCTGCCTCGCGAGGTTTGGGATTCGCTCTTGCGCAGCAGTTATTAGCTCACACAAGCCTGCCTGTCATTGCGACGGCACGGAAAGACTGTGAAGAAGTGCGGGACCGATTGCTGGAGATCAAGAATGAGGCCCCAGCTGCGGAAAAGAGACTCAAGGTTCTCAAGGTCGATGTAACTGGTATTGGTTCATCGCTCACCTATTGTTTTCGGCTAAATATATGCAGATGAATCCACTGTATCTGAGATGGCCTCGACTCTCCATGAGCTCTACCCTGATACTTCTCTTCGACTCGCCATCACAGTTCCCGGAGTTCTTCACGTTGAGAAATCCCCAGTCGATATTGATGCTCAAGATGCATTAGATAGCTTCAAGATCAACGCGCTGGGACAAATGTTATTAATGAAGCATCTATCAGAATTCCTCCCGAAGAGATCATCGCCAGAGTTCCAAGACGAGCAACAATCTTCCGAACGGGACAGTCCTCTGTGGCATCTGAATCTACCCCGCTCGCATGCAATATATGCGATGATGGCAGCCAGGATCGGATCTATTTCCGATAACGCCTCGGGAGGATGGTATTCCTACCGTGCTAGTAAGGCGGCAGTTTTCCAACTAGCGAAGACGTTCGACTTTTATTTGCAGTCCCGAAGCAACGAGCGTGCTATGGCGATTGCGATGCACCCTGGAACTGTCCATACAGATTTCACCCAGCACTACTGGAATAGTAGGCAGATGCTGCAGCCTGAAGAGTCCGCTGTTAAGCTTTTGCGAGTTTTGTGTTCAATGGGGACTGGTGCGAACGAGGGAAGAGGTCGATGCTGGGACTGGAGAGGCCAGGAGATATTACCATAGTTCGATAGCCCCTCCAGTCACTGATAAAGATCGCGCCCTGAGTTTCCGTTCCGTCTAAAATCAGCTTCAATCATTTGCCTTTGTTGCTGCGTTCTTGCAAATATCGTGCTAGAGCTCACCAGGCCCTTTCTCAAAATGACTAATGGTCTCAGTATTGAGTTTCGTTCGTTGAACGTTGAGGGCACTGGATATTCATCGTGGAAGCAGGTTTATTTGGGTATAAAATCACAGAGCTCTCAGATGAGTTATACTAATTGTTTACTATTCAATGCCTCTTAAATGAGGAGGTACTGCAAGCTTGATCTACGGCCGGCACGATTGGCGTACTTTGGTAAGAGGGTGGGTGATTTTCATTTATTTTCGTCTTTATTTTTTCGAAATATTTTTCAATCCGCTGTCTCCTTCTACCGGGGTTTTTGGTTGGATTCAAATGGGTTTGACGGCTACAACTTGGTCTCCTGTTAGGGTTATGTAAAATATAAACTTGTATTGATTAAATTAGTTCAGATATTTGAAGTAATTACAATATCCATATATATAGACAACATTTACTAACGATTAAATATGTGTTTTCTACGTTATATTGATGTTTAAAGCAGGATGTCGTTCGTTGGTGTCTCGGATGAAAGAATACTTAGCATAATAATCAGGATTCTTTGTAGTAAGTTCTGCGACAAACTTGACACAAGGTCTTGTTCTAAAATTATGGTTTATACAAAGAAGCCCAACTCTTTGATAGGACTATTACTTAGTATATATATCGAATACTTCTAGTTAACAACTAATTTCGCTCCATATAAACAATCAAAGATCATTTCTGGCCACTTGATGCTTCTTCTACTCACTGTAAGAGCCAATTTCTCATTCACCTATGACGCCACTTAAGAGAGCAGTTAAGAAAATAGCTACTACACTAGCTAAGACACTGTTTAAAAGGCCCGGGCGCCGAAGAACACCACCGAGTCAGTATGATAACCTACCAAAGTTCAGCCGGTTGACGAGCGAGATTCTACAAGAGCTACGCAGAAAAACCGATCACCTACGGCCTCAATTTCGCTATTGGCCTCACAGACTATCCCAACTCGCCCCAGATTATCTCGAAGACTGCTCAATAACTCGCTTGAATGATATCAGAAGGTTCTCTAGACGGGGAGGTGCCGATCTTTCAGATCTTAGAGGTGTATGTTGTTTCGCCCATCTATCAACAGATCAAAATTAATTACTCAATTTCCAGTTTCCACCACCTATGTCTTTTCAGGCATATTCAATAGATCCAAGCTCGTCAGGTTATGGCCACAAGAGAAAGGAGAAGAAAGACAATAAGAAATAAAAGTTGTTTGTCAATGGCTGGCTAGGGGCTCAAGGAATTTCATGTCACCACACGCATTTTTCGACCTTCAAGCCTCAAATTCTTGGTCCCTTACCTATCTTATTTCCATGGTAATATGGTCTGTTCTGGGAATAGAGAAGATTTCTGTACATACAGCTTCGTTTCCTCAGCTTATCATTCCTGCAATATAATAACGATTTGTAAGGCTAGATATCAATTAGGACCATTGCACATCTAATAAATGATAAAATTAGTTATAGTGTGGTCTTTAAATACTGGAACAAAGTGTGAAAGGAGAAGTGGAGTGACAGTACAAGGTGATATATCATGCAGGGAAACAATATATAACTATGTAGGGCTCTGGTTATGGAGAAAATTGATACAGGTAAAATTCCCTCCGCCAACGCCCTTCCCATCTCATGGAGCCTTTATATGCACATAGGGAGCACGGTATACGCAAGTTCTACTGAAGTGGCTTGGAAATATTTACTCCAAGTGACTCTGAAACTGCTGTTAAATTATCACCATCTGAGCCTTCAACATATCCCGGAGTCTCTTCTATTAATAACTCTAAAATACGAAGAGCTCGTATTTCCGAAATCCGAAGAGTATCTTTGCTACAGATATGGCTCTGATTTGATCAAAACTGACCATGCCCCTCGTATGAGAAGATAAGCTGGAATACGGCGAAACGGTTAACACGCTGAGGTGTGACGCTTTTGTATACTTCAATTCCGTTGTTGCGGAGCCAAATGGACCTTCATGAGAGCGTATGAGGTAAGCAATGTCACCGAAGTCCTACCTCGGTAAGGGAAGAAATGGACTCTTTCGGAGCACATTCTATCTAGATCCCCTGATTACGGAACCAATGGGCCAGGCCTGGTGAGTTGAGTGGGTATCTGCAAACATTACTGAGGTTAGTTATGGCGTTGATGGAAAGCTTTGGGAACTCGTACCTATCACATGTCACACAAGGGAAAAGGAAAAAATGCCACAGGGCGGATCGACTGTATCGTACCAGACCGTTTTAGAAATACGGCCAGTGAGGAGGCCAATTTTCTGTTGTGTGAGAAATGTGAATCATTGATTGGATCCACCTGATATGCGTGGGCACCGATTTCGCTCTGCCAAAAAAGTCGCGGCGAGGGGTCCAGGCATTCTTCTTTCCTTCAAACACTGACAGCTTCTTTATTTTAATATCATCCTTCTCCTCGTTTGGATTTAATTCTGCGCGACACTTGTTCCTTGAAGAATCTGAGTGCATTCGCTGTCTTCAAAGCTCCCCTCTTTCGACTTTTTTTTTTTTTTAAGCTTATACCCCACTTTACTCTATACTCAGGCTCCTAAGCAACATGCCTCTTGTAAAAACAGAGGAAATCAACGAGGACACTCGCGGTAAGAAACTTTGTGCTGCGCTTGATTCACTTTGCTAATTGAACTTTTTTGGTTTAGTCCTGGGCTACGACCCTCTGCTTTCGCCTCAGTTCGTCCAGTCCGAGATCCCAACTGTGAGTCACACCACTGAGTGCACCTAATCTTGATCCAATCCTGCTGGAAGTTACAGCTTTGGATGAACCATCACTAATGTGAATTAATTAGCCTGATCTTTCACTTCCAACCGTCCGAGCTGGCCGCAAGCAGGCGGTCGAGATCATCGAGCAGCGTGATGACCGCCTCCTAGTGATCGTTGGGCCATGCTCCATCCATGACCCCGAAACAGCACTCGAATATGCCAACCGCCTCAAGGAGCTCTCTGCTCGTCTGTCCTCCGACCTCTGCGTCATCATGCGCGCCTACCTCGAGAAGCCCCGCACAACGGTTGGATGGAAGGGTCTGATCAACGACCCAGACATCGACGAGTCCTTCAACATTAACAAGGGTCTCCGCGTGTCCCGTAAACTCTATGCCGATCTCACAGGCTTGGGTATGCCCATTGCTAGCGAGATGCTCGACACCATTTCGCCCCAGTACCTCGCCGATTTGATCTCCCTCGGTGCCATTGGTGCCCGCACAACCGAGTCCCAATTGCACCGTGAGCTTGCCTCCGGTCTCAGTTTCCCCATCGGCTACAAGAACGGCACAGACGGCAACCTCACTGTCGCTATTGACGCCATTGGTGCCGCCGCTCACCCCCACCGCTTCCTTGGTGTCACCAAGCAGGGTCTCGCATCCATCACCAAGACCTCCGGTAACGAGCACGGTTTCGTGATCCTGCGCGGAGGAAGCAAGGGTACAAACTACGACCGTCAAAGCATCCAGGGCGCTCGCGACGCTCTGAGAGGGAAGAAGCAGCGCGAAGTCGTCATGGTCGACTGCTCGCACGGTAACTCCAACAAGAACCATCGCAACCAGCCCCTCGTCGCTAAGGAGGTTGGCGACCAGCTCCGTGAGGGCCAGGATGCCATCATTGGTGTTATGATTGAATCCAACATCAACGAGGGTAACCAGAAGGTTCCTGCCGAGGGTCCTTCCGGACTCAAGAAGGGTGTCAGTATCACTGATGCCTGCATTGACTGGGAAAGCACCGTCAGTGTGTTGGAAGACCTCGCCGATGCAGTCCGTGCTAGACGGGCCGCGAAGTCAAAAGCCAATGGCGTATCTGCGTAATAAATATAGTAGCTTCGGTTGAAAGATTTCGGACTGCTTCCTACATCTCTTTTCGGACAATTTGGCATAATTTTGAGTTAGATACCAGAGCCAGCCAGTTTTAGCATGACCTGTACGTATCCACGTGTCTGTTGATGCCACAAAAGTTTAAACTCTTCGGCTCAAAAATGAATGATGATTGATTCAACTGCCTTGGTTTTGTTGCCTGTATTGTTACTGGTCACATGGTCTACTATAAAGTGAGCTTGTTGAAAGGGAAGTAACTTCCACAAACACCGGGCTGTGACGTAACAAATCCAGCTACTGGGCCACCCAATCAGGTTATAATATGTATACAAAATCCTTGTTGAATCATAGAAATGACTCAATAACAGTCAGTTACTCACTGCCTGTGCTGACTGTCGCAGCCAAGGACTCTCCAACCCCGGCCCACATCATAGAAGGCGGTGAAAAACAGGCGAGTGGAGAAAACGATGATGCCAAGAGTTCAACCCACCCAAATTTTATTCGAGCCGTATCGCGGGTTTTTGCTTCCTCGACCGACTCGTTGCGAAGCTCTTGCACGTCTTGGTTCGGTTGTTGGTTGTGTTTTTTTCTACAGGGAAAAGAGAGCGGCATGGCTGATCTCGAGGTATGATACTCAGATCCAGCAAATAATTTTCTTTTGCCGTTTGGAATGACAAGGCTGACGGAACTTTTTTTCTGTAACCAGGAACGGCTGCGAAGCCATGCACAGGCCTTTGATGGGTTGCTTTCATTGATTCCTGCAAAATTCTACTACGGAGAAGATGGCAGTGTATGTTTTACCACCCTGCCTTTTTAATCCCTGCAAAGGAGCATTATCTCCAAAGTTTCCTTTTGGTTTTTGTCGCCCTTATCCATGATCGTTTCATGTGCATGACATTGACTCGAGTATCTGGATAGGACCAATGGAAGCGGAAAAAGCAGACCAAGGAGCAAGCTCGTGAAGCAAAGCGTGCGAAATTGGATCCTGATTCGGCCAAAACGGCAAAGGACGTAATGGACGAGAATGCGCGAAAGCGCAAGCGCAGTGAACAGGCTGAGGATGACGATGATGAGGAGGAACAAAACGATGCAGAGTCATCTGACGACGCTGAACTAGGCTCAGAAATACCGAAAGAGGGGCTAAACAGGGGCGATGCGATGTCGAAAAAGCAGAAACAAGCCGACGTTTCTACGAAAGCCGACGGTGCTGATAGCAAAGCAGCCGAGGCGGAAGCCCGCAAAAAGATAAAGGAAGAGAAGAAGGCGCAGAAAAAACAGGAGCAAAAAGAGAAGAAGAAGGCTAAGGATGCCGCCAAAAAAGCGAAACAAGAAGATAAAAAGGCCGAGGTTACCAAAAACTCTGCTGCACCGAGTTCCGACTCAAAGACCACTAGTAGCAAATCTGGCGAGCCAGACGCCGAAGATGCTGACGAGATTGACGGCGAGGAGAACCCTGTTGCCGAAGGGCTTTCGCTCGAGTTCAACGAAGATCATTCTACATCGTCAGCCCCGAATTCTCCGGAATTCGACACATCAAATCCCCAGTCGGGAAGCTCTTCTATATCATCTATCATTCCTCCTTCCGCTCCTACTGACGCATCCTCCAACTCCAAACCTCTCAAACCCACACAGGAAGAGCTGAAAAACCGATTACAAAAGCGCCTAGACGAACTACGCGCAGCCCGTCAAGCAGATGGCCTAAACGGCAAGCCGGCTCGGAATCGACAAGAGCTCATTGAAGCCCGACGACAAAAGGCCGAGCAACGCAAAGCACATAAGAAACAGCTTCGCCAAAAAGCCAGGGAAGAAGAGCAAAGAGAAAAGGACGATGCTATGACTCGCCGATTCTCGCCTGGAGGTTCAGGCTCCCTGTTGGCATCCCCGCGATCTCCTGCCGACTCAGTCGGCTCGGGAAGCTATGCTTTCGGCCGTGTTGTTTTTGCTGATGGTCAAATCGCCGATCCCACTTTATCCAATGTCCGAGAGAAGCCCAAGACCACTGGGCCCCGGGACGCCGCCTCAGCCCTCAAGGCCGCCGAGGCCAAGAAAGTCCGTCTCGCCGAGTTGGATGAGGAGAAGCGTGCCGACATCGAGGAGAAGGACATGTGGCTTAATGCTAAAAAGCGTGCCCACGGTGAACGAGTCCGTGATGACACATCACTCCTCAAGAAAGCTCTGAAGCGCAAAGAAACCGCAAAGAAGCGGTCCGAGCGGGAGTGGAAGGACCGCCTGGATACCGTCAAGAAGGGCAAGGACATGAAGCAGCAAAAGCGTGAAGACAACCTCCGCAAGCGCCGAGACTCGAAGGGCCAGTCCGGAGGAGGCAAGAAAGCCGGTGCTGGCGGTGGAGGCAAGGGTAAACCCCGGCCTGGATTTGAAGGCAGTTTTAAGGCCAAGGTTGGAGGTGGAAAGAAGAAATGAATTTAAGTAGGTTTCGGGCCCAGGATGGATATTGTATCTAATGATGAATGCGTATACCTTTGTCCGTGATGTGAAGAGACTTAATTTCCTTTTCTCTACCCCCTTTCATCCTTGTGAATTGAGAAGAGGTTTTGGTGATATGATGCGTCTGAGGTCAACAAAAGTCAAGGAGTGGGCTCAGGATTGGTGTTTTGGTATTTGCTTGTTTATATTGGGGGCTTCTGTCTATTTTCTGTGCACATATGCATTGGTAGCGATTTGTTGATATAAAATAAAATGTTTGTTTTTTTTCTTGAACGTTGTTTTCTTTTTCCTGCTGTGTTATAAAGGCTCGTGTCTATACGGGTAAGAGGGACTCGCTTGATTTGCCCCAGCAGATGCTTGTAAAAAATATAACAAAGGAAATACAGCTCAATTGGTCCCTAAACGGTATTAAAACACAAATCTCTTCCAACATCACAGATACAGAAAAGACAATCGGGGCGGAAAGGTGGGATCGATGTCCCTACAAATCCGTCAAGTACATAGTAGCAAAGGAGGAAAGGGGTTGGCGGTAGAGTTATGTACAGAGTGGGAATAATGAAATCAAATCTTCCAGCGCAGGTGAGATGTCCTGGCAATCATTTCTTGAGAAAGTGGCCTTTTTTTCCTTTTCTTCGAAGAAGTTTCCTCCTCGATACATTCTATAAAGACACTAGGTTGGTTTTACCGGTAAGGAGCATCGGCTCTGGCAGCGGCGGCAATTTCAGGCTCCCACTTGTCGCCGTTAGCAAGGAGCTTTTCCTTGTTGTATAGTAGCTCCTCGCGAGTCTCGGTGGCATATTCTGCGTTCGAGGCTGTGGACACCAACCATGTCAGTAATTGTTCTAGCGAGGACAAAGATAATACGGAACAGTCCAAACGTACTCTCAACGATAGCATCGACCGGGCAACTCTCCTGGCAGTAACCACAGTAGATACACTTGGTCATATCAATGTCATAGCGGGTCGTCCGGCGACTTCCGTCCACACGCTCTTCAGCTTCGATGGTGATAGCCTGGGCAGGGCAGATAGCTTCGCAAAGCTTGCATGCAATGCAGCGCTCTTCGCCAGTTGGGTAGCGTCGCAGGGCGTGTTCACCACGGAAACGAGGAGAGATCGGACCCTTCTCGAAGGGGTAGAAAATGGTGTAACTGGGTTGGTTCGCGTCAGCGACAGATTTACCTTGGGCATTCGCGAAGCAGCACGCTCAATCGAATAGGCTCGAATTGTTGTCGTACATCGCTATTCGAATGCACATAGTATCATATTTGCGAGAGCGACTTACGGTGGTCTGAAAAACTGCTCCAAAACGACGTACATGCCCCGGAAGATCTCCGCCATGAGGAAGTACTTGCTGGCCTTGTCTAGAGCGCCCTCGGAGCCTTGATCCCATCGCTTGGGAGGAGGAAGACGGAAGCCGGGTTGGGGAGGCCCAACTGGTGTGGCTGCCCGGCTCACCGAGGACGAGAAGTTTGCCGTCGGGATAAAGGAAGACGGAGGGGCGACGGAGGGCATGGGCCGTCGGTAGGCGAGCAGCCTGGCCGCAGATCTGGAGGAAGCCATCGCGAGATGGAGAGTCGACAAAAGGTCGGAGAGGAGAGTGAGGGGGAGTCAATTGGGGGAGGGGGACGAACTGGAGCAGCTAGAGGATCTCGAAGTCGACGGTTGCTGGAGTGGTTTTGCAGGCGGCTTAGGTCATTGCTTTCTGCCGCGCCCTGATTGGCTGGCCGCAGGGATTTTGCTTTCCCCGAAGCCGCAACGCCAAATTCAGGTTCGACTCTCCAGCGACCAGCAAAGCTCCCATCAATTCCCCTTCGCTGTCCATTCGTCCATTCTTCTGTCGAGGTAATCCCATTTCTACCTACGTCTGTTTGCAGTCGACATAATCTAATCTAGGCCTAGGCAATTTTTTTTCCCCGCGCCCTCTCCTTCACCGTCATAATGCTCCGTTCCGCAATTGTCCGCTCATTGAGAGCCTCTGTGCCTCGTGCCGTCAAGCCCCAGGCTGCTTTCCAGATTCGCAGCTCTCCTGTGGCTCGCCCTGCTCAATTCGCTCCTCGATTTGCCTTCCAGGCTGTTCGTTTCTACTCCGCCCCTGCCGGCCTGGGCAAGGACGAGGTTGAGGGCCGGATAGTCAACCTCTTGAAGAACTTCGACAAGGTGCGTCAGCCGCGTCATGATCCCATTCCATTGACTTCGAAAGAAGTCGTAGGAATAATAGTTTACTGACATATTCCTTTCCCGCAGGTTACCGATGCTAGCAAGGTTCGTCACTATATCTAACCGGCAGTCGGCATAATGTTTTTTAACTCGTGACCTAAACAGATCAACGGTGCATCCCACTTCTCGAACGACCTCGGACTTGACAGCCTGGATACTGTTGAGGTTGTGATGGCTATTGAAGAGGTACGGATTTTGCGGAGCTGCTCATGTGACAATCCATTGATATTGACTCGCGCCCACAGGAATTCAGCATTGAGATCCCCGACAAGGAGGCCGACGCCATCCACAGCGGTAAGTCGCCAATTACGCGGCGAAGATGGTTCTTATACTGATGATTTTTACCGAAACAGTTGACAAGGCTGTTGAGTACATCCTTGCTCAGCCCGATGGTAAGCGCAACCTCCCACCGGACGGACCACCCGGCCAAAGTTCGCAGCTGACTGTTTTTTTCCTAGCTCACTAAATATGTACCTAATCTGAGGGCTCGGGAGAGGTTGTCGGGAGTTAGATAGAAAAGAATGGGGTAGTCTAGTGTGTATCTTATGCAGGATCCTTTAGAGTTGGGGTACCTGCGTGGTATGGCGCTGATCTGTATGCTGATACATACCGGTGCTTTCACCTTCCCATATCGTGTATATCACCTTTAAATGCAGTTTTGATTGATTTGAAGTTTAATAAGTGTTGTACCGGGGGATTCGTGAGAGGGACATTGGTCGGCCCGAGGGGGTTTATATAGCGTCGCACTCAGACTTGGAGGTAAACCACATCCGGCAGATGGCCACGAGGGTTTTTAACACTGTAGTACGTACGGAAGAAACTACATAGAGCCAAAAGGCAGGCAGCCAAGCGCCATAAATATAATCCACGGCTGACGGGGCTCGTCAGAGGAGAGACTAAGAAACGCGCGTTAGTTAGAGCCAGATAGCCTGACAACGGCTGCCGAGCCTCTTCTGGGCACAATCGCTGCCGCTGCTCAAAGAAATTAAACGTGCCGGTCGACGATTTATTGACTTGCCCGATTATCCTCTCGACGGGATATTGATTTTGCAGTGCGATCTCCGAATCAGCTCATCTTGTATTGTTTGGATCTGCTGGTTAATCTGAACTTCTTAATCTCTCGGGCGGATCTTTTTTGTCCTCCTTCTCCCTCCCGGTCCTTTCTACTCTGCAACCGTCCACCTACAATCTCACCCCTCCATCGCCGCCCTGGAACGGCCTTCTGCGATATCCTCAACGGTGTCAATCGGCTTTCAAGAACGGGGAAACCAGTCACTCGGCGTCGACAATAGTGGCACGCGCTCCAGCTCGTCCGCTATCCGCAACCTCACCGTCCTTCCACACCCCACCCCCGACGACACAAACCCTCGCCGCCCGATCTCATGGCCTCAGCCGGGGGCTTGACTCGTCGGAGAGGTGGCGGTCGAGCCACTGGCCCAGACGAGAACGATGACAGCAGAGTCTCCTCGCCTGTCTCCCGGAACAACTCCGCAATGGACAACCGCATCCCCGAGACGTCATACACGAACTCAGAAAATGGGCATAAGATTGCCTTCGATCCCAGGGATATCAGCGAGACAGAGGAACGAAGCAAGCAACCAAAGCTAACACTCATGGAAGAGGTGCTCCTGCTTGGGTTGAAGGACAAACAGGTCAGTTTTGATCCCTGCCCACACGAGGACATCTCCTCGCCTCTGCGACTTGACTGATAGCTGACCGCTGCATGAACTTACCGCAGGGTTACTTGTCTTTCTGGAACGAAAACATTTCCTACGCGTTACGAGGGTGCATCGTCGTCGAGCTGGCTCTCCGCGGTCGGGTTGCCATGCAGAAGGATTCTTCTCGACGAAGGTTCCCCTTGGCCGATCGGGTAATTGAAGTTATTGACGACACAATGACGGGTGAAGTCTTGCTGGACGAGGCATTGAAGATGATGAAGTCGAGTGAGAAGATGAGCGTGAACTCCTGGATCGACCTGATGAGCGGTACGTACAACAAACCATTATACACTTCTTCAACAGCACGCTGACCGCTATTCGCATACAATAGGCGAAACATGGAACTTGATGAAAATTGGATATCAGCTGAAACAAGTACGCGAGCGTCTCGCCAAGGGCCTTGTAGACAAGGGTGTTCTCCGGACCGAAAAACGAAACTTCCTTCTCTTCGATATGGCTACTCACCCCGTCGCTGATGGCGGCGCCAAAGAAGACCTCAACCGACGGGTGCGCAATATCTGCAGCAGTCGCACCGTGCTCCTCCCAGGAAACCAATGGCTCCCCGAAGAGACCGAGTTTCGCTATCTACGCACTATCACTATGGTGTGCGCCGCCTACGCAGCGAACGTGTTGGAGAATGCGCTGGTCACAATGAGCCATGAGGCTCGTGAAAGAGCTTTTGCACAGGTAGACGAACTACTTGCCGAGTACTCTCAATGGCCATTTGCGCGGCGCGCTGGCGGCTCCCAATCCGTTGGGGCCAATCTGGCCCAAGCGATCAACGACGAAGTGAACAAAGGCTCCGGTGACAAGGAGGTTCAACTCGAGGTAATATCCCACTTCCCCTTAACCAGATACATCTAAAGACTAACTAACTATCTCTAGGTTGTCGCGGCCTGTTTGAGCGTTTTCACTAGACTTGATTCTTTACTTTAAACTCCGTAATTGTACTCTTTTCCTTTTTTTTGTTCCATTCCATCTATTGCCAATTATCATATTCTATCCGTCCATATTCATGTCCTTAAGCCCACCATCGCATCAAACATTGTGTGTTTCTGCCACGGGAAGCCTGAAAAAAAAAAGATGCCCGTTGTTTTGTCTGAAATAGTCGGCGTACGAAGTTAGGTTGGGCAAGGACAGTGTTTAATATGAATCCGCTAGCGAAAGCGACTCTAAATGTATTACTTTGAAATTGCCTTCTTACCCTCCTATCTCTTCTACAATTTTCTTCCAGAGGCTACTCATACCTATACGTCATGGTGTCTTTCTATATTATATTACTATCTTTTGCTGGTTGATGCGGATGTGTGTTATCACTATCATTAATCAGGTGGATGTTCAAGGATATGAAGTAAAAAAAAAAAAAAAAAAAAAAGACTGAGAAACGAGACTATGGCTCAAAAGAATGAACATATTTCCTTACAAATAGCTCGTGAAATTGGAACGCACTTGTTGTTCCTTTGTCCGTTCGCAGATTCGATAACTGCGAGGGCTAGGACTCTGTACTGGCGGATTGAGCCATTCTTTACCGTTTACTAAATATTCTTACCAGATGCCATGCAAAGGTATAAAGGGAAGCACGGTCTATATATTGGCATGCTAGCACAATAACAATATAATACACTGCCTCTGCAACGCTAGAATAGTCACTGCTCACAAAGCAAATGGGAAAGTATAAGAAGAAAAGGGAAGAGTCAAAAAAGAAGAGAATCAATGAAATCAGTTCACCCGAATAACAAAAATCCCACCTCGCTGCTCACCACCAGCAGCCGCAGCGTCCTCAGAAAGAACACTGGCGCCATTGACTAAATCAACGATATTCTCAACACGGCCACGAACGTTATTCTCCTCGACCATGTGGGCTATCAGCTCTAGGGTTCTGCCGTCTGGTTCGACGTGCACGAATTGGGTTTGTGGCTTGCCGTCGCTCTCCTTCGGGTTTATGTTTAGGACGGGATTCGCATCCACAGCTGTAAGGACGGCACCGCCGTCTTTGATAACAGCAGGAGTTTTGAATTGTTGGAGGATTTTCTCGCCTGTGCAGTCGAGGACAACGTCGACAGGACCCCATTTGTTGCGGCGGAAGACGGCTGAGAGATCGAAGTCTTTGGGGATGGGGTCGGGAATCAAGATAATCTCATCGGCCAGCGAGAGCTCGCGTATCTCGTTTGCGTTATCCTCTGAGGAACAGGTTGCACAGATCCAAGGACGATGGTGGGGGAACAGGTCTCGAGATCGAAGGAGGTGAAGAGCTTGCGTTCCGACCTCACTGCGGTGAGCATTTGTGATAAGGACGCGTAACTGTTTGCTGCGCTTGTCTTTGAGTTGTGTGGGATCAATGCCGGCATACTGAAAGAGGGCTTGCCAGGCTGTGAGGGCCGGCAGGGGTATAGTAGCTGCTTCAGCAGCGGATATGTTCTGGGGTTTGTGGGCGATTTGATCGTCTGTTGTAAGAACGTAGTCGGCCGCTGCACCGTCTTGGGCATAGTCAACTAGTCCAAAGACGACCTCGTCTACTTTGAACATCGGGCCTTCTGGCTTTTCATGGTCTTTGGTAGGAGTGCTGATGACTGTGCCGCAGAAGTTATGTACAGGGACTTGCGGTATAGACTTCGACGGGTTAAGCTCTTTCGCTAATCTGAGTTCGTCATGCGAGAATGCAGCTGTCTGCACTTTAATCAAGTACTGGGATGGTGACGGCTTTGGAGTAGGAAAGTCCATGTCGAAAACCGTTTCTGAGTCTACTCTGGGATTCTCCAGAGAAGAGCTGTCTCGGAGGGCTGTGGAGGCAGGACACCAGTATAGAGCTCTCATTGTGTCTGGGACAAAGGTTTGTTCGTCCATTGTCGTAGAGCGTCGTTTGGCGGGCTTCATTCTTGTATGTGGGGGGTTCAGCGATAGTTAAAGGTATAGTTTGGATCTTGAATGTTGTAAAACCAGGCCCGGTTAACTTTGACGAACAAAACGACGTTTTAATAGTGAGGTGATTAATTTCAAGGAGGCTGAGACCAATGCCACATTTATGTCATTTTCCACCTGCGGAAACATCAATATATCCAAATCGTTGCTGGGGTTCGCCACGCGCAAACGTTGTATTGACGTAACAAAGTCGACAACCTTGGGATCAGCGGCCAAATGACCATAACTTCATGTCGTAAAACAAGTGTGACGAAAAGGCGACCAAGGCACTGACAATAATAGTTGCAAGGGGTCTTTTTTTTTAAGGATAAAAGCTTGCGTTATCTCTCGCCCTGATTTCATCCAGCGCGGTATAGACTTCTTTTGGGTGCTCGAACACCCGCCATATATGCTTCGGAACATCTTTGAAGGCCTCCGCAAACCTTTTCGGCGAGTTACGCTCCTCCATATGGGGCACATCCATGACTTTTCGAATGAAAATAGCATGGATCCACTCGGGATGTCGCTTATAGATTTCTGCGTAGGCCTCAGGGTCCGTTTGGGTGGAGTCTCCAATGCAAAGCGCTCGCCGGTGCGGAAACCATTTTCGGATTTTCCTAATGCGGTCGACCTTATATTCCTGCGTGTTCACAGTGAATGACTTGACCAGTTCGCTAATATCCAGCCAGGAGGAATCTCGAAGAATGAGTGTTCCCGGGGTGAAGTTATCGCGCAAGAATCCTCGAAGGAAAGGGTACAGATTATACGGCGATGCAGAAAGGTAGAACCATGTGGGTTCGAACCATGACTCGATCCGAGAATATAGCTGAGGCATGCCCGCGATGGGTCTTGGTTCTTCCGCAAAAGTCGTGCGGAGGATCCCAGTTGTATCTGACGTCTTGGTGTATTTGATTGTATCATCGATGTCGGATACGACCAGCCATCCTTCTGGCCCAGCAAAGGCCGTTTCCATCGATGCCCTGTCCTTAACACCCCGAATGTGAGCCCGTACTCGGGACCCGTCTGCTATTTGCCGGACACCGGTGTTCACCACCTGCGAGATAATACCATTGTCTCCTGTGGGTCCGATTTGGTGAATTTGAGTGGTGTGGTTGGGTAGAGGTAACTCTAGCATCATGGAATGATCCGGAACGACTTCGTATAGGAAAGGCTGTAGACGCTGCGCAATCCGACGGCGGATCTCCTTTTCTGTGCCGACGGCCCCGTCGAGTCCGATGAGATCTGCGATCGCGGCGACAAACTTGCTCACATCTCGTCGGCTATCCTTTCGGAACACGCAAGCCACAACCTCGACTCGCCATGAATGGGGTTCACCGGATACATGTGACGCTGGGTGCCGGTAGGCAGTGTTATCCATCAACCAGACCGTACTTTGGTGGGCATTTGCAACCTGCGCAGGCTGCCGCAGTAACGTGTTTGAGGCCATTCTTAAAATGCTGGAGTAACGTTTCAAAGAACTCGAGAACCGCTCCATCTTTTGGGGGATGGTAGGGTCTTTTGTTTGGACGGGAGAGCTCATAGTTTAAATAGTGCGACGCTTGTTACCTAGGTACTAGTTTGTGGTCTCTGCCTAGGAGGGTACCCCGCAAGTAGATCACGTCGGATATCTGTCAATATCACTTAGCTGGCTTCAAGCGAATGTTGAAGTGGAGTCAAGATATGAGGTGCAAAATAAAGTCGATTCAGTGTCCCATTTCGACGGTTTCTTTGCTGCTATTCTTATACAACCCTCCAAGACCTGGGGCAAACTGCCCGGCTGATCTGCATTATACTCGCTGAGACGAGCCACAAGGCAGTGACCGTTTGTGTGCCAGGCACAGCCTGTCTTGAGTCACTTTCCCTTTCATCCATGAGTCAGGTGGACCAATATTGACCCCTGCTGGTTCGACGATCGTTTCAGCTGCGAATAATCGACTGGGAAGACGATACGCGTGGGGATGGTTCGTCCCTTGGCGCTTGAGTATGCGGGAGTCAGCCTTGCGATGCTTGTGACCCTATCAAAATCAGCAGTCTACCCCGGGCGCCTGACTGTTCAATACGAGCTTGCAGGCAAATATATTAGTGATTTCGGGGTCAGTCGCCGGCACCTCTTGGTTTTGTTGGAGCCTCGCACATGGTTGTTAGTTGACGACATCCTCGCGCTCCGGACAAGGGTACCCAGCAGTTTGGAGATATTCTACACCGTTAGAGCCTCTAATACAGCGTGGCGCTCAGCTTCTGTAAGTAATAAGCAATGTTCGACATGGTATCCTGGGGCATTTCCAGTGCTCGAGCGTGATTGCCGAGAATAGCCATCAGACAGGATGGGCTGTAACACAGAAGATTGATGCAAATCAACTGCTGTCCCTTTTCCAGGTTTCCAGCGGTAGGTGACGATACATTGAAAATCGAGCACAGCTTGTTTGGAGTTGTGTTCTTGTAGTAATTGTGATTTTGGTAAGCGAAATGTCAGGAAAATATGATATTATTGTGGTGGAACACTCTCTTTGCACTCCACAGATATAGATCTGAACATATTAGAATTGAAATCTTGAATTCAAAGGTTGACCTGGGGTGTGCGAATAGTTGAAACTGTGAAGAGACTGTATTCCCAAAAGGGGAATAAGACATCACGTGCGCACCATCATACTGATCAACTTCAAGTCAAACAGGCTTGAAACTTGCAATAGATTTGACGTTGGTCGAAAGATTTTCAAATCTAATGGGGTCATTCTACATATCATCACAATCGCTGTTTCGCGGTAATTGCAAAAGGAAACGGTGGATGGAATGCAAGTTGGCAGCATGCAACCGACGTTGAAGAGACCAAGTGCCAGGGCAAAGGCTCCCCTAAGAATTGTTCATGAGTCTGGCCAGGTATACACCGAAACCGAATCTTCTCCGGCTGCTAAAGTAGCAAATGGACCGGCATGGGTTCATGAGTCACCATTTTTACTGATGGGCTGGGAGGAAGGAAGTCCTTTCGGGGCATCCCCATTGAGGTATTTGGCGATGAGAACGCTGGTCTCAGATCAGAGGAACTTGTCCACAGCTCTGTTTGCGAATGTGCCATGGCCTATTGCGCGCGATATATGGGACTACTTGGGTAGATGGTGAGTGGGTTAAGAATGCGATTATAGTACCACAGCTCACGCTTCCAGCCGAAAACAAACTCTACACATGTGGAAGATATTCGCAACGGTATATCCAACTGAGTTCCGAGAAATCGAGCAGCACCGTTCAATGAAGATCGAAGAGCCACAAATTTCCATGCAAGAGTATCTTGGATTGGCGAAGAGCAAAAGCCTGAGTTGGCGAGTTGTGCTGACCCTGGGAGCATCATATGCCCGAATTCCCGAACTCGTTGGGATATCTGAGATCAAAAACCTGGCCGCACTGGATATTGCTACGCCTCCAAAGCAAGATGCATTACCCGATTCCGACATACAGATGACAGCTCTATCGGATCGAATTATTCGCGCCTGGAGCGAAATGGCCCAGACGGCAGATGCATTTTCACAGCTTCGGGTTTTGATTATACGAAATCAAACATATTTGTCAAAGATGGCACTTTACTTTTTGAAATCATTACCGAACTTGCAATTTGTCGTCGCGCTTGAATGTCCTGGTATTGCCTCCGCATTCTCTGACGGCGGCGTGGAAGGATGGATGGTTGCAGACGCCATGCAATCTCCACCAGACACCCTATACGAGCTTTACAAGGCCAACTGCAAGGCAGCGGGCATTGAAGATTCAACGCCAGTATTGGAATTTCAAATCGGCAAGATGAGCCCAAAGCCCCGTGGAGGAGCCAACCGTCCGAAACCCCACTGTGCCATATATCAACGAACAGATGACGGCCCTCAACGAGTGGATCACGAACCGAGCACCAGGAAACGGAAAGATGCAGGAGCTTCAGACAGTCAGCGTGGGCAAGCGCATCCTCGCAAGGGCAAGGCCGTTATGAAGGACCGTACAAAGGATATTGGCGATGTGCTCAGTGGCTTTTTCTGAGCAGCTGTCAAAGTATAGAAAGTTAGGGTTGGATGATGCCACAAACAATACCAGTGACACGAGAGCCGCCTTCTCTCCACCACCAACTACTATTTTCTTTTCAAGAGGTTCTAGATATGAATACCATTTGTGAGCGCCCATGATGAATGATAGCGTGCTCCGCTGTAATTGGCCATTGCGCAGCCCGCCAACCAGACACCGCCGATTCCCCCGCAACGCCGCGTGATTGGCACTCCGTCGAGAGCTCACTTTCAGTCTCGACGACTCGTTCTGGAGGCAACTCGAGGACTTCTTGCTTCGTCATATTCGTTACTCAAGTGGTTATCCCTGGTTATTTACCTCGACTGACGTTCAAACTTTCTATCTGCGCTCTAGCCAACAAGCCGAATTGCATCATCCGATAGTGGAGGCGCAGGTCTCCCCGCAGTGCCCCTCGAGAAACCATGTCCGAACCTCAAACACTCGACGTTGCAACAGAAAGTTCCAATGGGTCTAATGTGACCTCGCCGCGATCGAGCATTGACTCCCGTCCGTCTTCGATTGCAGGACGAACTCCGCGGCTATCCCACGTCTCATCGAATCACCAGCACCGCACGAGCTTCAGTGAATCTCTCCGCGCAGCACCCGGATCCCCGCGCGCCCGCCGGCAGCCCTCACTCACCCAGTCCGCTATACAGAGTCTCATCGACAACCCACCGGCTCCGCACAATGTGAACCCAGCGTTTCTTGGTCGGGATTGGCGAGAAATATCGATCGGGGAGCTGGTGAGCGAGGACGACTTGAAGTTCGTGGAACTTGATACCGGTATTGAGGAGGCTACAAATGTGAGACTCAACTGACCACTCGCTTGGCACTGCTAATTTTTTTATGTGAATGGCAGGTTCTTATCGACACTGGAGCGCCAGTGCTGTTGATTCGCGAGACACTCGAGCAGAAGACTGCGGTTGGGACATTCGACTATAATGACTTGAATACGTACCTTTTGCTCGCCGCGGGGTTGACCCGCCCAGATGAAGAACTACTTCCGGCCTACGAAGAGCTTGCTCGTAAGGCTCGTGATAACACTCCGATCCCGATGAGAGACGTAAAAGAGCTCGGGAGAAAGGAGCCGCTGACGGCACTCCCGGCGTCAGCCAGCGTGATGAGAGCGGTTGAAACATTTGGTGGGGGAATACACCGTGTGGTTGTGATTGATGAACAGCGAGATGGCGAAGTTCTGGGCATCTTCAGCCAGTTCCGGCTCGTCAAGTTTCTGTGGGAGAATGGGCGTTGTTTCCCCGTTCTTGACCAGCTGTATCCGCAGCCGCTGCGAGATCTGACGATAGGATCTCACTCGGTTATTTCGATCAAGTAGGTCTCCCGGGAGTGACGATGTGCTGTCGGCTGCTAACTTGAGTAGTGGTGACAAGATGCTCTGCGAGGCGCTGCAGTTGATGCACAGTGAAGGAATATCGTCTGTGGCAGTTGTCGACAACCACAGCAACGTCGTTGGAAACATATCTACCACTGATGTTAAGGTATGTTGTATTCCACTTGATCAGGCAAGTTGCTGATCAGAATAGCTTCTTACGAGATCGTCGTCACTTCCGCTGCTCACCAACACATGCACACATTTCATATCCGTGATCCTGTCCACTCGGGGACTTCAAGAAGGCAAGGATTCATTCCCAGTTTTCTACGTCCATCCAGGATCGACGCTCGCACATACAGTAGCCAAACTGGTGGCTACCAGGTCCCACCGGTAAGTGTATCGGGCAGGTATACATCAAACAGCAACTGATTATATACAGGCTATGGATTGCAGACCCTCTATCGCCGTCGTCATCCGGCCCCCCGACGCCATCTCACTCAATGGTGCACATTCCAGTTTATAATACGGGGAGCAATAACGCCCAGTCGCCGCCACAATCGCCAAACCCGGCAACGGCGACTGCCACTCAGCAGCCTCCGGGCCCAGCACCGTACGTGAGCCCGACACCTCTTGCGCCCGCCATCCCGTCGTCCGCACTCCCAGGCGCTCGACTCTCTGGACGTCTAGTTGGTGTCGTGAGCCTGACCGACGTATTAAACCTGCACGCACGAGCCAGCGGGTTGAGCCCGGCAGACCCAGCGGAGAGCCGCAGCAGACGACGACGAAGCAGCAGTTCCAGCATCAGTGTGCGGCGGAGCGGGGAGATTGGGCGGGAGCTATTTAGTAGATGATTGCCATGGATTATTTGGGTATTGTGTACATGAACTATATACATTGACTTGGAAGCTGTAAATGGCCAAATCAGATATCACCCGTCCCATAACACTAGATACAGGAGTCTACTCCGTAGACTTCCAAGAAGCCCACGAAATAGACAGACCTACTTGGAACTTAGGCGACATCCGCCGAGTATGCTCAACTCGCTTATTACGGACGTCAATTGGGGAATGTCCAGTAGTCCTAGCTCCTTGGCCGTCGTATAGCAAACGACTTACAGTCTTTGGAGGCGCCAGTCTGATAAGAAAATGCCAAGCAGTAGATCCACTTCTCCTTCGGTATATAAAGCCTTGTCTATCAGTTTGGAGAGAATGGAGACAGACAGACAATGCGGGGAAGTCCAGTCCAGTCCAGTCCACGCCACACTTACAGCATTCGACAAAAGTACAGTACAGCAGAATCACGATATAGGCCCAGATCTTGGTAATTCTGAACCCTGGCTTCAAGCGACCACATGAATCCTCGTGGAGGAGGGTCTGGGTCGAGGGGTAGACCGGAGACCGGAGACCGTAGACCGTCGACAGCTCAGCTGGACAGCTGAGGTCAGGCCACTCCCCCGCATTTCGGCGTTGGATCGGCTTAAAGTTGGAAGTGTAAAGATTAGGTTACGGTGTTTAATTGGATTCTCGTATATTTTGTGCATCTCTTGGCTCTCTGTTATTACCTAAAGCGGCCTCTGACGTGAAATTCGTCAAGTAAACTTTAGAACCAAAACTCATTTGGCGAGCTCGCAAGATAAAGTTGATCAGCATTAGCCGAGCAAGGCTAGAGCAAGTCCAAGTCCCAGTCCAAAGTCCAAAGTCTGAAGCTGAGCTGGAACTGGAACGAGAGCACTGGACTGGAAGTAACACCGTAGAAGAGGAAGACTGGGACCGGCAGAAACCAAACCCAGACAAAAGCCAGGAGCTCGGACAAAAAAGGAGCTAGTACAAAAAAGGAAGCAAAAAAGAGTTCAGCATCCAGCTTCCAGCCAACAAATCAAACCGCCGCCAAAGTGAAAAAAAATCCAGGGCTGCCAGTGTCAACCATGGGCTTTGGAAACCCTAATACGGAGCTACACCCAGAACAGCCTAGGGCATTGTTGATCGACTGCAAGCTCTGGCCTGTCCCTGCCAGCCAATAGAACACATTCATTTGTGAGGACGGTGGACCTGGCAGACCCACACAAGCTCTGGGCTTGGCTGTTCAGGTTCCGGACTTCAGTCTGCCCCGTCCCAGACTCGTGTTGCCCCCGCCATCGCTGGCTCCTTCCATTCCAGTTGCAGCCAGTCTGGTTCCTTCTATTCTAGTTGGGAGTTACAACGGCCAGTTGGTTCCATTGGAACGGGGGCTCGCGGTAAAATCACGCACGGTCATCTGCTTCTGCCATAGCTGGGGACAGCGTAGTTTCTTGTAGGTTTCTTGTAGGTTACGCGATAGCTAATCAAACCTTACTAGCTAGTTTGAAGTAACTCTTCGGTCCAACAAAGCCAGAGGACCTGTTCCAGTATACACGAGTATACACGGTAGTATCATTCCCAAGGCCGTATGTGGCCAACATCCACGCAAAAGATGTCCGTCCCTCTGTCAAATGTCAAAGTGAGGTACGAACCACAGCTCCAAAGTCAACGGATAGGCACATCCATTGCACTGATTTTAACCCCTTTCAGAGCGGCCCACAGACCCAGGATAGCACCGTCCCAGCATTGCGGGCGATGGCACAGGTATGGCCCTGAATTTCCGTTTGCGGAAGGCAGAGAGACAGCCCGCGGAGATAGGGAGCTGTCAAAGTCGGCTAGCTACCTCATTTCTCTGTCACTTATCCCACTTATCCCACTTGGTTCGCCGCCGGATGGACCCTCGGGGAGGGGGAAGTGGTGCTATCCCAGACAGGTCGATACTAGGGGCGATATTATAGGTAGAGACGGGATGTGGACCTGCTCAGTGGCAGTGTGGACTGCAGAATTATCAACGTAACGTTAAGTAAATCAGACTTCTTGCTATTTGTCGATCTTTGCGGGGAGGACTGGTAGACTCTGCAGTATGGAGACGGGGTACGTACTCTTGGATATGGATAACTCTTGGATATGGATACCCCGGCGAGGCAAATGATGAGAAACGGTCGGAAGACATACCCAGCTTCTTGTGTTCGGTTAGCCGGTGGCTCCTGAGCCTACAGACAGGTACTGAGTATACGCCTAGCTACGAGTAAGGTGGTTCATAACAGAGGATCGTCTCTCATTAGAAGTGATGCTGCTAGCAGTAAAACTAGGTGTCAAGCAACGACCATGGGTATTTTCCAATCCGTAGAGAAGGAAAGAAGAAAAGCAAATCATAAATGAAACTCGCCAGCAGCCATGAATGGTCATCGGACTCATGTAAGTAGTAGTAATAAAAAAGAGTAATGGGAAAGATGCAGCACCTGAAACCCATACAAGTACAGGAGGTCGTTTATAGAAGAAAAGAAAAAAGAATAATCACAAGGTGACAAACTCCTTCATATCGGGACCATCACCAAAAGCAGCATCCGCAGTGAGGCTGCCCGAGTCCCCCGGGACTGCAAAGTTAAAGGGGAACATGGTATGGCTCTGGTCGAGAGTGGCCGCAAAGTCGCTAAAGTCGACAAAGTCCTGGTCGGTCGACTGGTGGGGGAACGCGCCCAGGCCGAGATGCAGGTCGAAATTCTGCAGCTGCTGGTCGGCGTCGAACTTGGGGTCTGAGTCGGTCAGGTCCAGGCTGGAGAGATTATGGCGCAGGTTGGTGGAAGCCTGCGAGACGGGGGTGTGAGGAGAAGTGCTGCCGGAGGTGGTGAGCATCTCGGTCGAGGTGCTGTCGGAGTTGGATGCGCAGCGCGGGAAGAAGCCCAGCGAGAAGGACGACGACGACGAGGAGGAGGGCGTGGGAACCTCCGCAGAGGACGTGGGCTCCGACCGGTTCCGCGAGTGCTGCACATTCGACAGGGCCTGCGCCTGTGCTCGCACGGGGATGGTGGGCGCGGACCCAATGCGGTTGCGGAACTGGGGGGTGTGCATGGGGATGCCGCCAAATGAAGACGATGGAGACATCGCGTGTCCCTGGAAGAGCCCGTCCCAGGTCTGCATCTGCTGCTGCTGCTGCTGTTGCGGGCGCACCGCGTAGGTCGGGGTGGACGCAACGTAGGCGGGCATCTGGGCCTGGGCCTGGGCCTGGGCCTGGATGGGCCCTGGGGTGGGATACGACGGTGAGAAGCTGCCCGACGGCGCGGTGAGATCGGTGCTGGGGGTAGAGATGGAGCCGGGGATCGAGCCAGACCGCAGCTGCGTCAAGTCGAGGCTCATCTTGCGTCCTGCGTGGATCGGGCCGGCGGGTGCAACGCTGGATGCTCGTCGCTGCGGGTTGTGCTGCTGGTGGCCGCCTCTCGGCCCACTGTGCGAGCCCCGTGGCCGGATGTGCATCGAGGGCAGGTTCTGCGTCAGCGTCGGCATCTTCAGGCTGGCCGAGAAGCTCGGCGAGGCAGCTGGGGGCTGCTGGGGCTGCTGGGGCTGCTGCATCTGCATCTGCATGCCCTGCGAGCTGGCGGGCATCTGCAGCGAGGGCATCCCGCCAGCAGAGGGCGTGAAGCCGGCCAGCAGCGAGTTGTCAAAGTCGCGGCTCAGCTGCATGTTCTGCGCACGCATGTACTGCTGCAGCTTGGTGCGGTACGTGTCGTCGATCTCCTCGTACATGGACTCTTCCTGCACAATCTCGCGCGTGATATGCAGGGCCCTGCCCGTGCGCTGCTTGTGCAGGCTCGAGGCCCGGTTGGCAGACTCGATGCGCGCATCCAGACTGCGGTCTTTGCGCCGGGACGCGGCAATGAATGCACTGTGCGGTCAGCCTCACGCCGTCCAGGTGGTTCAGGCAACATACCGCTCCTGGTTCTCCTCCTTGGTGCGATTGCTCGCGGCATCAGAGCCCGGTCTGGGCGAAGGGGGTCTGGGGGACATGGTGACTTATCAGAATCCTCATCAAAAGTAGAATATCTTGTCCTGTGCAGGAGGGGGCACGAGCAAGCCAAGTTAAATAACTGCAGCATCCCACCCAGCCAGGACGGTGGAGCAGTCCACGGTTCACGCCGCGCAGCTGGAGGGATCTGGTTCAGGCGCAGATCCATGGGACTGACAGCTGTTAAGGTTTTCTGCGCTTCAGTCCAGGAGACGACCAGAGCCAAATCCCGGCTCTGCTGTCCATGGGCTCGCGGAGGAGGCGTCAGTCTAGATTCTGTCCCCTCAGTGACCTGATCGATCGGCGATTTCTCGCTCTATCATCGCTTGTATATTCTGTTGGCTTCTGCAGGCCCTAATCATGCACATCTCACACTTACATCTACGGAGTACAGTTCATCGGAGTACATTTCATCTTCACTCTTCCCTCTCCTGCTTCAGCTTCAACTGCAACAGCCCATGGATCTTCTTGATAAGTAGAGGGACCCATACGGTGTAATCGCCACCTCGCACTGTGACCCCCCACTTCGACCGCTACTAACCCCCGACAAGTCTGCCCGAGTCCTCGAGCTCAGCTCCCCCTCCCCTCCAGCCCGGCCCAGACGCGCCCTGGCGTCGCCTCTGGTTCTCGGGAAATAGCATCCCGTCTAATGACAGCGGCTCAGATGCACGGCCTGCCCAAAGCCCCGGGTCTGCTGTGGCAATGAATCAGTGGGCCTCCCCTCTCAATCACGTTCTCCCTGTAGAGACAACTCATTCGCCCGCTGTTTTCTCGCAAGATTTTCTTTTCAGTCTCGGCCGTCGGCCGACGCTGCCATATCGAGTATACAAGCAGTAGTCAAGTCTCTGCGGCTCCGAGTCTGCGGCTCCGTGTCTGCAGCCGACCAAATCGCGCCTCTTGGGTTATCCCATGCCTCGGCTATCCTGCTTGGTCTGGGGAACTGTCTGCTGTCCTTGTCGCTTGTATGTACAGTGTACGTGTACAGTGTACATGATTCACTTAATCGCGCTAATGCAGGGACTGCTGCAAGCGTCAAGCCACTGTCAAGGGTTTAACTCTAGTCGGTGTATCAGTAATACTATTATCAGTCAACTCCCTTAGAACAAACCCTGTAGTGTACCTGGTTACCATCAATAGTGCCATATCAGACGGTTCGTCTAGGAACCCTGGCGATAGTACCTATCTACCCCTCGGTAAGGCACTTAGCAATTCCATATGCCCGAGCCAATAACGCTCCCCCTCGCAGCGACTACATACGGTATCTACCTTGAGTACCTAAGTTAAGGTACAGTACAAGACATTCTCACCGGTCCGGTGCTCGAGCCGGCTGAACTGGAAAGACTCTTCCCTGAAAACTTTTTTAGGCCCGTGCCTTGGTACTTATTGTATACCACGGCCTATGGTATTTCACCACAACCATTATTTGGTCTTTGTTTTTTTGGTTTGGTTCGAGGGCGTTTTTGTTATATTCTACGATTGCCCTGTCTTATGGGGAAGATGGACTTGTCGGATTGGATCTGCTGTCTAGATCTGGCTATCTGGCTATCTGGCTGGCTGGCTGGCTGGCTAGGCTGGTCTATATCTACGCCTCTTTCAATCTCACCCGCTTACCAGACTAACTATTCCAGCGTTGAATTATATTAAGAGTTGATAACGCTTCTTGCCTTCTCGTTATTGGGTAGACTTGAAACGAGATAACCCCAACCATCACACCTCACCCAGTTGATCAGGATCAGGCCAGCCTCGGTCTCCGGGCTTACATTGTAAAGGCTGATTCTAGTAACGCTAGTTAACCATTCATCCGTTCATTCGTTTCCCTTTTTCCCGTACTTTGGTATCCGACTTGCTATCCGACTTGCTGTCCATGTCTATGCTTATGCGCGGTGTTCCGCCACCGCCATCGCCACCTCGGAACCAACACTGTCGGCATTGCAGTCCGGTATGAGATTCTTATCTTATCCTGTCTACGGTTAGGTAAACATGTAGCGGAAGTATAAACAACTAACCATCTACACCGTAGTACCCATCGACTAGGTGGCTGGCTAGAAGCCGATCAACTCGTAAATTCAGAATATAGACAAGGTGCAAGTTCAGGCAAACAGGCTAGTTCGCGATAGATAAACAACTAAGATGGTAGACCACTACAATTCTCTACCCCTTATGCTATTCCCAATGCCGGGACCATCCCCTGCTCCTCCTTCGTTTCGCTGCCCACCCGGTACGACACCCGGAAGCGGATTTTCACAGAGTTGCCCTTGCCCATGTCAATCCCGTCGATGAGCATCTCCTGCTGCACCCCGTTGGCTTGCAGCGCGCCGATCTCGCGCCCGGACTGCGGCCGGAGGTGTAATGTGTATGCCTGATTCATTAGCAAAAAACTAAAAAGGAGAGAGAGAGAGAGAGAGAGAGTCTGTGTGTGTGTGTGTGTGGGTGGGTGGCTGCGTACCTTTTCGACTGCAACCTGGAAGTGAAGATCATTCAGCGGCTGGCTGGTCGCATTTGAAAAAGACGCAACGAGGTGGATCTGGCGCTGTTGCTGGGGATGTCGACGAGCAAGGAATTCAACCTTCAGTGACGAGTTCAGGACCTGCACCTGGTTGCTGCTCGGTAACGAATTGCTCTCCGGCAGAGATGACGCGAAATTCCACTCGTCCTCCGCCTGGGGCTTTGGCGCCGGCGCCGCTCCCGCAAGGTCAAGTAGCGACGACGATGCGGCCGGTTGAGGACTGGCAGAGCTGCCAGAGGGGAATGGGCTTTGGTGTCGGGGGCTGGCGGAAACTAGGGACGCGAATGGATCCGCAGGAGGTTGTGGTGGTGGTGGTGTTGCTGTTGCTTGCGAAAATGCGGGTACGGGTGTCGATGACTTTGACGCGGGTTGAGGTGAGCTTAACGAACCGAGGATATCAATGTTTTGTTGGAATGCACTAGATGTCTGGGGTATCTGGGAAGTAGGCGGGCTCGCTTTCCACAATGTCAGCCTATGAAATGTAGAGAATGGAGAATGGGACAAGGATACGTACTTTGTCCTAACGAGATTCCACCTGACGGAATTGGCTCGTCGATCGACAGGCCAAGCAGGTCACTCTCTATAGAGCTAGAGCCCTGCGCCGCCTGCTGCGCGTCGCCATTAGGACTAGGCTCGGGGTCGAAATCAATCAGAGACAGCTCGTTGTTGGCGTTCTTGGACACTCCCGTGGTAGTTCCCAAGGTGCCCTTGGGAATCTTCGTAGCCCCCTCCAAATCGCCGGTCTTCACGAGCTTGTACCGCTGGATGGTTCGGTGTATACTGTCATTGATCTCCAATAGCTTGCGCACAGCTTCTGGATCCTCTGATTCCTCTTCGCACATTTTCTGGATCTTCGGGTGTGCACTTTGAAGCGCATTTGCCAGCTCCTGCAAAACATGTTAGAATATCCCTTCACTATCCCATTCCCCATTGCGTCCCATACCTCAAAGACGTCACCCTCTGAAATCCGGTCACCCGGCGCCTGGCTCTGCAGCATCTCCTCCAGAATCTTAGCCTTCTCCTGCACCTTGGACACCTCTTCGGCCGCCTTAGCCCGGTAGTCAGTCTTATGGCGATTGTCGTATCCTGCCATCACCTTCATCAGCCGGTTCGCCTCTTGTAGATCCGCCGGTGTCCCTCTCCGAATGAGCTCCTGCAGCTTCGCCGACTGCGCCTCGCGTTCCTCCTCCTCCATTTCCTCCGCCGACCGTAGATTCTAAACCATGTCAATGCCATTCCAGGGGGAAAAAAATAAAGGTCGTTGAAATAAACATACATCGCTAGGGTTCAGGACGGCCGCATCTTCGCGCCGAATCTCAGGAAACACATAGCCCTTGTACAGGAGCAGCCTGTGCATGTCACGGATATGCCCTAGGTCATCCTTATACCTTGACGTCTGACATATGGTTTGCCTCCACTCCTCAATCGACTCGAGAATCCGATGCTGGACCCTCGTGGCTCGCATAGCCGGCCGTTCGGGGAAGCGCCGGACCAACTCATTCAGGAACTCCTTCGTGCTAATCTGAAGATGGAACGGGTATCCACAATTTTTGACGCAAATGTCCAACAGCTGTTAAAAGGGAGCTCCGTCAGCCAATGCGCCGCCGGCCTTGCACTAGTTACAAGACGGAAAAAGGGAGATCTGGCCTACCGCCAATGCTAGTAATGAAACATTCTGGTTTCGGGAGTTTATCAGGCGGACGATATCAAATGCTGCTTCTCGAGGACTAATATAACCCATCAGAAATTGATCCATGCAATATTGTGCTTCCGGTTTGGAGTTCGCGACTACTCACGCATTTCCCTTCTTGGAATTGACCAGGTCTGCAACCTCGAGGTTCAGAGCGAGATTCGGCTCGTAGTGGGAAAGGTCGCAGGCATTTCCTATCAGATTGAGCGTCGGGGTTAGTCGAGGAGACTAAAGTTGCCGTTCAGCATCGTGGAACGTACGAATGGCCCTCTGAAGAGGGGTGAAGCCCAGGTCAGCATAGGCGCCACTAAAGCGGTCCCTAGCTGCCATTCGTGCGGAAGCGGCCTCCAGGGTGACGACGGGGGCCAGGTCAAAAGGTAAAATAAAGACACGAGAATCCCAGTAGAGGGGGCGGTAGCTCTGGGGAGCTGAGACGATGAGCGTATATAAGACGGGGAGGAGTGGTGGAGTTGACGAGGACCGATGATGGGTCGCCGGCCGGAGTGTCTGGCGGCGTTTAGCTCTAATTCCACGTGTTTAGCTCGAACATTTCTTTGGCTCTTCTCAACTTCTTGCGCCGCTCAAGATTTCTTTCGTATCTCTCCAGTCACATCTATTCTGGATTGAGTCTCTCAATCATTTTCCTTTTAATAATTTATCGTAATCATGGTCCGCCACAAGAAAGACAACTTCTCCCGCGGAGGAAAGCAATTCTCAAACCCCCGCCCACGCCCAGTACCCCGCGATCGCGAAGGAAACGATTCGTCTTCGAGACCTCCATTCAAAGCCGCCTGCTGGGATCTCGGCCATTGCGATCCAAAGAGATGCTCGGGAAAGAGGCTAATGCAATTTGGCTTGATGCGAGAGCTAGCGATAGGACAGAAGTTCCAGGGCGTGGTTGTATCGTATGTCTGCACCAAAAAGAAAAGAAAAGAAAAGAAAAATAACGAATTGCCGTTCACTAACTTACCCAAATTAAAGGCCTAATGCAAAAAAAGTCGTTTCCCCCGCCGATAGAGAGCTTCTAGAACAATATGGCGCCGCAGTGGTAGAGTGTTCATGGGTGAGGGTCAAAGAGGTGCCCTGGTCTCGAATCGGCGGGAAATGCGAACGACTTTGTATGTCTCTCTCAGCGGTTGGATTCAGCGGTAGCTAACCGGAATTAGTGCCCTACCTCATCGCAGCCAACACAGTCAACTACGGAAAGCCATGGCGTTTGAACTGCGTTGAGGCCCTTGCCGCTTGCTTCTACATCTGCGGACACGAAGAATGGGCTCAAGAGGTATTGAAACATTTTCGATACGGCGAGGCCTTTCTCGAAATCAACTCCCAACTTCTAAAACGATATGCGGCATGTCAGACAGAGGAAGACGTTAAACGGACAGAGGAGGAATGGCTGGCGAAGATAGAGAGGGAGTATGAAGAGAGCAGGGAAGGAGGCGCAGACGACATGTGGACAGTCGGGAATACGAATCGAAAAGCACTGCCAGACTCAGACGACGAGGATGACGAGGATAGCAACAATGAGGAAGGAGAGGGAGACGACGAGGAAGAGGAAGGAGAAAAAGACCCATATGCCATATCTGACGACTCCGAAGACGAGGCTCAAATGGCTGCCATCCGCGCCAAAATTCTCAACTCAAAATCCTTCCAGAACCCATCCGTCTCCGATAAAGTGCAGCCTGAAAAAATCGAACGTCCAGATGCTCGACCATTGGAAGACTCAGATGCCGAGTCTGGCTCGAGTGGGAGTGAGGATGATGCTTTTGACAACATCATCGATGCTACGCCTGTTACCGACCGAACCGGGATAATAGCTGCATCGAGGAACAAGGCCAAAGACTCGTTTAGTGCCTCATTTTCCAGAACCGTGGTCAATGCGCCGAAGAGGGGGTAGTTCTTTGACATTGGAATGACCAAGGAAAAGTTAACTTATGCTACGATTATATAATGAATGTATGAATATATGTAACGCAACCTATTTTTCACTGATGTACTTTGGTATAATACATCGCTAGTAGGATGAACTTACAAGCAACAGTCTTTCGCAAATAATACTACCAAATTCCCCAGCCATAGAGATCGCGCCCATAAAGACAAGAAAGAACAGCACGCAGAAAACAAGCGGGGATATTTTAAGCAAACGGAAGGAAAAATACTGTGCAAGAATCAAAAGAAGATGGATCCTGTTTTCAAAACCATTCGAAAAGCGCAGATAAAAACCCTTATCCTCCAAAAAACCCCAGAATCCCGATTATCCAGTCATCAAGTCCCATTACATTACATATAGTAGGTTCACATCTAATTAAATCCGTCAGAAAAGCCCTCATAAAAATATATTATCCAAGATCAGGATACGTACCCAATGGGTGACTCGCACTCAGCTGCGGTTTCTGTGAGTATCTCGACTCCAGCTCATCTCGGATGCTGTTCAACAGTTGTACATAGCTTTGCTGCGGGTTCTTGCGCATGGCGGCGATGAAGGCCCAAGACATCGCGCCGGTGGCCTGACCGGCGATCTGAGCGTCGGAACTGGTCTGGGAGTCTTTACTTCCAGACCACATGATGACATCTGCGGGGCTGGTCCTGGTCTGCTTGGTTCGCTCATAGGCTTCGTCGCCCTTGGCAGCCTTCTTGATGAAACCGACGGCGCTGGACATCATACTTCCCATATCGCCACGCGCATACGACGAAATGACCCCCAGTAGGCCTTGGCCGGCTTCCTTTGCGAGATTGGGTTCCTTGAGAATACCCTGTGTAGAGTAGATGTACGGCAGATCCAAAGCAGAACCTGAATGGCACGAGTCGAAGATCGCCGTGAGTCGCACGCCCGGCCTCAAAGGTTTCACCATGATCCGATGCATCTCATCATCGACTATGTGTCCCGCCACGCGGAAGTCCACTGGGTAGATAACCTCGTCATATCCGTCATCCTCGTCGCCATCCAAGTCAGGCGTCTGTCCACCGTGTCCAGAGTAATGGAAGAAGAGGGAATCGTTAGGCTGCGCGTCTTTGACCAGCCAGTGCATCGCGCGTAGGATATTCGCCTTCGTTGGTTGGCTCATCGGGTTTTGTTGGTCATCAGTCAGGAGTACCATATCTTCACGGGCATAGCCAAAGTTCTGGTTGAGGTATGTGGACATGTTCTTCACATCGTTGATACACCCACGCAACTGTCCCTTTTGGCCGAAATAGTTGATACCAATCATGAGAGCCTTTCTTTTTCCTGTACAACGAGAGTACTGGAAGCTGTATCCTTGGGGTGCGCCATGGCCGAAGGCTTGGGGTTGGGAAGGAGGAGCGGAAGGCCCACCGTGCGAGGATGGATAGTGTCTTTGATAAGAAGGGTCTGAAGCAAGGTCAGCATGTTATACAAAATAAAAAATAAAAAATAAAAAACTATCGCGATCTCACGCACTTTGGCCTTGGTACATCGGGCCACCATTTGGAGGAGCAGATGAGGGTGGGTAACCGGCCGGAGGACCCTACATGAAGAAGTCAACAAAAGACAGCTCAATGGACGATCACCTCTGATCTGCAACGTACATTGTAGCCATTATGGGGAGGATACGGTTGGGGCGAGTGATGGCCGTATTGGTAAGGGTTACTAGGAGGAGGATGTTGCTGACGGTAGGCCTGGCCGGGATAGCCGCCGCCGCCGCCATACGATGGTTGTTGATGGTGATGCATTTGTCTGACCAAAGTAGAATGAAATCTCAGATTAGTATTACACCACGTATACAACCGAGAGAGAAGTGAACTAGAGACAAAGACTTGGAAGGGCGAGGGAAACAGGCAACAGAGAAAGAGAGAAGTTGACTGGTCTTACTGATATGGGGGCGGGGAATTGTAGTTTTGAGGAGGATACTGGTGCTGCGGCGGGGGGTAGCCGGACGCGCCGGAGTAGGGAGGGTAATAAGACATGATCAGATAGTCAGACGGGCAGGCCGGAAAAACAAGACGATGCCAAAATTAGACAAATGGGAGGGCCAGGACTCAGGCTGGGCTGTCGAATGCAGAGGTGATGGAGAGGGAGCAAGCCAGCGGGCGAGAAAAGATGCAGCCTGAAAGATCGGGTGGGGAAAGCACCCGCGATTGGGTCCAGCCGATACGGCGCCTTACGTTACGCGTACGGACCCTTGTCCCGATCAAGCAATCTGTGCTTTTGCTGCACTGCCAACACGGCCTCCCCGATATCCTCAGCCAGCTGGGCTTCACTAGTGTGCTTCGGCAAAAGGAGGGCTGGTCCAATAATCTGCACGGATCGCGTTACTCGAGCCTCGGAGGTCGCGAAGTTTGGGCGTGAATATGGAGGTGTTATTCTTGTTCCTGTTTTTTTTCGCCTGCATTACTGAGAGGTCTTACTCCGGCTCTCCCTCAAAGTTCAGCCTTATGTGTGCACGGATGAATCCCGAGATCCGGTCATCTGGATCATGTGACATCATACAAACAGAGAACGAGCACGGTGAGCGTTACGGTGGAGGAAAACTCTGCAACTGCAAGTGCCGATGCCTGACTGTGAGCGATGCTCGAGTCGGTTTCCCGAAATAAACCCAATCGATTCATGAATCATGAGCAGCAACTGCATGCAGTGTTGATCAATCACAATTGCCCAAGTCAAGCGCGTCGATCATAGGTACACATGCATCAAGCGAGCACTTTCTACGAGCTATTATTATTATCAAATGGAGGTTTATCTTTGGTTTTATCTCCTCTTCTTCGATGCCGCGTGGCCGGGTCAAGCCGCCGCAAGCAGAGTCAATAATACCGAATATTAGTTAATTGATGAGATTGAGGGTAAGATGCAGCGATGTGCAGTTCTAAGTATTGACTATCCGTATTTTCATCTCTTTTTCCACGGGCGGCGGTCCAATCCCTTTTCAATCCACTCCGCTATGTCATCACTGTCGTGAAATCTATCGTCTCGGCATACCACGGCCACGGCCTCCACCAAGAGCCCGTTGTGCAGCACCAGGCGGCAGGCCACGCGACGGACCCTGAGGTTGAGCAGATTCTTCGTTTTCTGTGATGGAAAATTCAGTCAGCGCCCAGGATCAAAAGCGCACAGGGGTGCATTAGGTAAAACTTACTGATGGTCTCGTCGACACTCAAAATCAGACAAGCAGCCTCCACGGCCGCTTGAATGGCGTTGACCTTAACCAAGCTAGGCTCCCACACAAACGCCACCATATTGTCACGGACGCCCTCGTGGTCAAAATCGACACCAGCCCAAGTGTTGCCCTTGTAATGCTCCACTCGCAGGCGGTTTAGAATATCCGTAGCATCAAAGCCTGCGTTGTCGCACAGCTGTCGGGGAATAACCTCCAATGCCTTGGCGAACGCCTTGACAACCGCCTGCTGCTTGTAGGGAACATTTCGGTCGGCATACCGGTGGAGGTAGCCGGATAGCTCTAATTCGCAGGCACCACCACCGGCGACGATGGTCGTGTTGCGCAGTGCACGCTTAACAATCATGATAGCGTCGTGCAAACTTCGCTCAACCTCCGCAATGAACTGCTCGGCTCCACCACGCAGCACGAGTGTACATGTCTTGGCCTTGGGGCACTCGGAGAACAGATTGTAACGCTCCCCACCAATCTGGCGCTCCTCGAATGAGCCGCAAGTGCCCAGGTGGCGGTCTTGAATATCACTGCAAGTCGACTGAACAGCTGCTCCAGTGGCCTGGCACACACGGTCCATATCATCTGATGCAACACGCCCGGCACAGAAGACGTCGCGGTCCGCAAAGTATCTAGATAGAAAAGTCAAGAGTCAGAAGATGGAACGTGAGCAAAATGTTACGAGGAGATGCATACTGTGTAGCCAAATCACCGATGGGGAGTTTGCTGAGAACAACCTTGGCGCCTGAGTTGTAGATGGCCTCGAGCTTGTTGTAGATAATCTGCCACTCTGCGTCGACGATAGCCTGGTACTCAGACACCTGCTCAACACGGACCTCTGCGTTATCCTTTTCACTCTTAAGTTCCAGCTCCACATTCAGGCACACAATCTTGGGGTCCCTGAAGGACTTGGGCTGTTGTTCGAAACCAGCGTAGGAAAAGGTCTTCTTGAAGGCCACACCATTGACAAAGAGAGAGTCCTGGAGACCACCGCCAGTGACCTTCTTAACACCGATCAATTTCTCGTTCAAATCATCCTGGTCGAGCGACAGCACCGCATCCACGACCACTAATAGCCATACGAGTTAGCCAATACCCAACATCCCCACAACGTTTGAGTCCGTTTATCAGGGGGGTAAACACTTACTCTTGGTGAAAAAGTCCGAGTTTCGCTTGATAAGCTTGCTGTTCATAGCGGTTGCAGCCAACCTCCGGAGAGTTTCCACCTTCTTTTCTTCACTTCCGGCAGAATCAATCATGTCCACCGCAATCTCCTTGACCTTGTTAACGGCCATCGCACTCGAAGTTCGTAGACCCTTGACGATGGTTTGTGCGCTGACGCCCTGCTCAACCAGCTCCCGAACTTCTTTCAGGATCTCACCCGCCAGAACGACGACTGACGTTGTTCCATCTCCAACTTCGGCATCTTGGGAGCGAGCAATATCGGTAAGGATTCTGGCGGCCGGGTGCACGATATCCAACAGCTAGATTGTGAAGAAACGACTGGTCAGTAAGGTGTATCCCATATCTGTCAGCCCAAATCATCTAACCTTCATCACTGTTGCACCATCGTTTGTGATTGTCTGTCTTCCATTGGTATCAACAAGTAACAGGTCTCCTCCGTACGGGCCAAGTGTGCTCTTCACTGTGGACTGAACCGCAACGCAGGCATTGATGTTAGAGAGGATCTGGCCCTTTCCCTGAGAGGCATCGGTGCCTAGATGATAACAAAAAAAAGTCACGGGTCAGCAATGGTCGACAAGTCCAGCACACAAAGGCGAGGAGGGGTTAGAAATGCGGGCGGAACCCACCCTCTCTAAGGACAACAATAGTGGGAGTTTGGCCGGCGAAGGCCATGGTATTTTATTTATTGTAAAGAGAAACAGGTAAAGAGAAAATAACAGTGGTGCAAAAACAAAATAAGGGGCCAGCAGAAGACGGGGTTGATGCAGAGCGATCCGAATGCTCTCGACCAAAATTTCCCCGAGCTTCTCATTCCATCCACCTCCAGCACTGAGGCGGTGACCAATCACGCCCGCGCCCCGCAACCCTACTTGAACATGTTGAACTACTCAGGTACCAATAGTGCGGTATTCTAGGTGACGTGAGTAGCGAGCTATTAAAATAATATCTCGTAGTCGGAAATATATACTACTATTCACAAGCGCCGCGGAGACAACGACTTCTGCGTTGTGCGCTTAGTTGATTTTAAGCTATTCCTAGAATTTGTCGATATATATTTCCCATTTGTTACAATACTGGACTGTCGAGTGAGTATACGACTCTATTCTTCTTGACCTGTTATTCAAACCATGATGAAATCTAGATCTAATCTGGTCACTATTGACATATGTAGCCGAAGAAAAGCCCCCCCCTAAAACCTAGGAATGCCCATTGCCCAAAACACCTCGCTATAGCTTCACACGTAAATCATCAAGCACAAAAAATAAAAAACAGAAAGAAACCAAATCTAACCATATTCATACAAGCACCCCAACCCGGCTAAAAAGGTGTGAACCCGGAGACATGAATCCGTGGTTGAGTAGGTAGCCCGCTTCGAGATTCAACGAACTTGGGAGTAGTATTCCCCTGAAGCGCCTCGGCAGCCACTCGCCACCGACGCCAGCAATTGGTTGATGGGTGATAAGTATCGCCGCAGAAGTTACAGCGGGCTGCTGCTGGTTTTGAAAGTTGCTGGTTCCGACTGTGTTTCGCTGGCTGGCTGTAGCTGCGTACTCTTGCTGTTTGCTCTTGCTCTCGACGCATCTGCCGGATGACATATTCATTGATCTCCTCCTGACTGGGGCGTTTGGTGTGTCCGCGAGCACTGCGACTAGTCACTTGACTGAGACGCCGTGATGCTCGCTGATTGCGCATCTCTTCAACGACGAAGGCATTGATCTCGTTCTGCGTGAGCGCCCGGGGTGTCGGTGGCTCCCCTGACGGAGAATTATACTCCTTCCCATTCGAGCCACTTCTCCGTTTAATCTGACGCTGCTGGAGAAGCAATTGTTCCTGCTTAAGCGCCAGATCAGCGAGCTCCCGAAAGGACATGCAATCTGTCAGATTGGAAGCATTGATACGCCCATCCCGCAGCATAGCCATGGCCCATTCTCTCCACTCGGGACGCGACTTCAACTTCGTGAGAAAATGGAGGTTGATCTGCGAGTCGGGGATTTGGATGTCCTCGTCAACATGGTAGAGACCCTCGCAAACCGCATCTATAAGGGCAATGAAGTCGGCGACATAATGCGGTTGGGCGGAATCAACGTCAAGGAACTCGTCAATTTGATGCAATAAACGAACATTGCGATGCCAGGAGTCCATTTTGCTGTCGTTCTCGATAGGGGCGAAGTCAGTCAAACGTGCTTACTGAGGTGTGTTTTCCTCCCTCGACTGCAGGACAGCTCCAGCCTTTTAGTCGCTTCTCTAAGCGCCGAGAATGACGTCATATAAGCCTCCTGTACTCGTAATGGGACTGTAATGATACCTGTAAATTATCTTCATTGCGGGCTGGTGGCCGTATTGTCCTGTCCACTCCGTTCTTCAGGGGGATGATCTTTATTATTTTCGATGGTTTCGATGATCCCTCAAGCCATCGGTTGATCGATCAAAAGTGCAGCTTGCAAGGAGTGCGTTCACTGCGTTGTCTGTGCATCATCTCAACATCGGAATTTGTCATAGGCTAGTGGAATGTGCGCCCATGAGGTGCCCCGGCCCCCATCACGAGGAGTGGCGGTGCCCATCGAAGCTGGCCCCGTCATTTGGGCACTGTTATAAACATGATCTTGGCCCCCTCGCGCCGTGTCATCATCTCTTGCCAGTTTATCCATTTTCGCTCGTCGAGCTCCTTGTGTCCTGGGAAGAGCAGAAAACAATGCTAGCTATGTTCTTCCGTGTTGTGTTTGCGTCCTAAAAACTACATATGATGGAGATTGTGCCACCGTCGTATGAATCGGCAACGACCAGAGATGCTCTGTCTATAATTGCTCCGTATATACCCTCAAGTGACCTCTGCGCGGCCACCCTGGTCTGCTCAAAATGGCATACCGCGTTTATGCCGTTTCTATGGGGAAACCCAGCGTCCCATTTCGGAACTGAAAATGACGAGGTCTACGGTAATTGCCACTCCAAAGATGTTATTAGTATACTAATGCGGTCCCGAAACGACAGTCGCTCTGACGAGGTTCAGACGGACCCTCAAGTATGCCCGTCTTGAAGTACGGATGCTTACGCACACTATTCATATGCCACCGGCACTCTCTGAGATATACGGTGGCCCACGTCCTGAGTGGCTAAGGGATATCTTCGAATATCTGCCCCGTCTACAGTCCTTGATAGTATCTCAGCTGCCGTTCTTTGATCACAGTGCCATGGTGGCGCTTAGAGGCGCTGGATCCAGCAGTCTGTCGTCACGAACCTACAATATACGTCTTCTCATCGCCCAGCGTGAGCCGAATACAACGTCCCTGGGCCTAGCGGAAACATTGTTACGCTTTCCGGGGTTAATTTACCTCGACCTGTCGTATACAACGTCTGCGAAAGACCAAACGGTGCTGTCTACACTATCTCAACTTGAACATCTTCAAGTGCTCAAGCTACGGGGCATTGGGCTGAAGGATATTGATGCAGCGTACTTGGCTAATGCGATTGGCCACAGAGTTCGTTTGCTCGACCTGCGGGGCAATAAGCTCACGGATATGGCTCTTCAGCCATTACTCCAGTCCTGTTTCTTACCGCCCGGCCATGCTGCGTATACACGGGCCTCACAGAATCGTGGCTTGTCTGTATCAAGCTCGATCAATCCCTTCTCCCAGGATATTCCTAGGTCCAAACTGCTTCGCTCACCAGTGGTGGATGAGAAATTTCGCAAGGCATTAACCAGTCCACTTACAGGTCGCTCTTGGGTTGAAGATTTACCGAATGCGGGTGTCACGCACCTTTACCTCGCTGACAACCAATTCACTGTTGATGGTGTAGCAAGCCTTCTAACAACTGGTCAGCTGCACGTGCTTGATATAGGGACAGTCGATACAGAAAAACACCTTAATGAAAGTCTGATTGGTGCGGAACAAAGGGTTTATCCTGGTTCAGAGAAGCTGATACCCATCTTGGGCACAGTTGCGAAGGACAACCTGACCTATCTCCGAGCACATCACCCTATCTGCACTTCTATCGCACCACACGGAAAGTCGCCACCGACCGAAGATCTTCTTCCAGAGTTATCAGCGGGTGATGGCACGGCAGGCTTCAGTGAGCTAGACTCTTCTACCAGGGAGATATATGAACTACCCGCGGACACGACTCCTGTATTTGAGCTTCCAGGAAGCTCTCCATGCCCCGAATCACCCACTACACCACAGGATAATGGAGCTGCAAACTTTCGAGAATTCGAAGAAGACCCTGGGCTCCAAATAGACGAAACACGACGCTCTGTGATTGCGCCCGAAGTGTTGTATGGGCCGGACGGAACTGACGAGGCGACTTCGGCGAGCGTTGGTATCGGTACCCTCTCAAGCTCGCCCATCCCATTGTGTAGTTCTCCAATTTCTATGGACGATCCACGGTGTCGAAAAATTCAAGAGTTACTCGCTAAGCGACCCAAGGCCCAGCCCCGACGACATGGCAGGCAAAGCTATGTCGATTATCTTCACCCGTTCCAAGTTCCCCACCTAGAGGTTTTGGTGCTCACAGACGTTCCTTCCCATGTGCCTGCCGATTCACCGATATTGGAGTCGTTGATGCAGTTCATAACTGCATGCTCAAACGAAGCATTACTGGCAACCCTACAAGCTGGGTCAGATTACTCCCTACCACCCGGACAAGATAGAGCCAAGGCTGAACAGGAACGAGCGAGGTCTCTCTTCGGCTTACGCCAACTAGTTCTCGAGATCACGCCGGTCGCTAGGTCACTAAACCATTTCAACTCGTCTGCCTGGAAATCTGTTAATGCTCAAATTGGAAATCAAAAGTCAACCACTGGAGATTGGGATTTAGAGCGCTTATGGTCCGCGGCATCAGATGACTTTAGCTTTTTTGGGGAGCCTGAATGTGGAATACCAAGCTATGGCCAAGGCAGCTACTCCCCCATGCCTCCGCTGAACGAGAATGGAACACTTACTCCGGACGAACTTGGTTCCTCTCGAAATGGCATGTCGGACCTGACAGGCACATTCTCTGGGAAATTATCTTTGCAAGAAGGTAAAAACCAACCAGGGTTGCGTACCAGTAACCCTTCTTTTACCCCGGCACCGGCACCTATAGTTGACCTTGCCTCTGAGCTGGCTGCTTTTCGACGAAGAAAGAAATTGGAATATGAGCAGACTATACGACAAGCGTCTCAGCGGAGAAACACGATTGAGACATTATCACCCCAGTCTTATCATTCGACAGGTTCGGCTAGGGGTTTATCTCCGTCTCCAAGTGCCAGGGCGTCGAGTCCTGTTCCAGGCTCTCGTTTGTCCATTGCTCATCATGTCGAAGGACACTGGAAAGGAGAGATCAAAATTGTCCGAAATGCAACTCCAAAGGGGCGTAGTGGGATGGTGGATATGTATGGAAATTATTTTGAGAAAGGGTATTTGTATCCTTGAGACTACCGAGTTGGCTGGGGCGACGGTAGGCAGTGATAACGGCATGACGCCCATGTACATATATTTCACATCCATAGACTACACATACGAGGGCTTCAAGTGTTGTTCCAACATTCGAACTTTACGAACGCGTCTACCTCTCACCATTGTCGAATCGTCGTGCATACAACTAACGATACTTCCCCAACGCGCGTGGACTTAAGCATCATAATCTTATCTTCATTTTTGGTATAGTTTTATGAAGCCTCATACTCCGAGACCATTATGTCATTTCAACCCCGGGAGTAAAACCCATTCATTCCATTTGAACCGAGTAAGAGAATCTGTTCACAAAAAAAAGGGAAAAGCAACATTTCATGCCGTTTAAACTAAGTCCATTTTTTCCTGTGACCTTCCTTACATAGCCTTAGCGGCCTGAGGGGGGTTCAGCTTCTTGCCGTCCTTGTTGTACCGGATGCGAGGGGGAGGGGCACGGTTGCGGCGACCTTCCCGGGAGCGGACACTGTAACAAAGCCATTAGTATTAGGTTCAGACTGTTGGTTCCAACACACGAATTTGATGTGAATCAGGATGGAAGTCGTACCGAACGATCTTGCCGTGGATAGCGCAGGAGACGCAGTACTGCAGCTTGAGGTACATCTTAGGGACGGCGTAGTCGGTGAAGACGGAGGCGTCAGAGATATCACCTGGAAAGCGAATGCCCGAGTCAGTTTCAAGCCCAATTGTATATTTGACGTTCTCGACCCGTGCGCATTGCTATCGAAAAACCCATTCCATAATCTAGGGGCCTTCATCACGTAGTCCATCTCTTTCGGTGTAACAGTGCGCGACGGGCCGGGGGTGTATTCGGCGGTGTGAACGTACGGATGGCAGCGGACTCAACCATGTTGCGGATGGTGAATCTCTTGATGGCCTTGTCCTTGGGGACGCAGCGAGCGCAGTTGGAGCAGCGCACGGGGTTGACGTGGCCGCGGCCGTTCTTGTTGCGGCCGCTGTGAAAAATGTTAGTTCATGATCCTCTCGATGTTGATTGATTCGGTTTAAATTGCAGGGTTGGTCTCTTTTATCTCGTTCCCAATCGTTGTGACATGGCGTTTTGAAATTCTCTCCAGAGCGAGTGCATGGCGGTCGTCCATCGGCGTCACATTCAATCCGGGAAGTCGATATAGAGTCCAAATTGTGCTGGGTATGGAAGGGTTGCGGTCTTACTTGTTCGCCCTCTTCTTGACCATTTTGACGGATTTCTCTAATTTCGGGTTAGAGAATGTAAAGTCAAAAGGTAGGGGTTGAAAGGAGAGGTTGGTGCGTACTTGGGTGTCGGGGTTGGTTGTCGTAAATGGCTCCAGTCACCGGGACGCTCGACTCTCTCGGGATGAGGATATGTCAGTGTGTGTCGGAAGCCCTATACCCTTAAGCGAGTCTGGGTCACGAGATAAAAGATGCCTCAGGCAGAAATGAAAGTTGCTCCTATTCATGCCTCAGGCATAAGTATATCCAAACCTGTGGACACGTGCCGATCGCGTTGCCCAAGGGAGACTAGCGGCCGCCGTGCCAGCGGATTGCTCGGTCAGCCAATACGGGGCATTTTGTTTACTCGAACCGGAGGTCAGGCCACGCAGAATCATTAGCACAGCAGATAAATATCACCTGGTATTGGTCATGAGAATAAACAATAAGAAACTAGACTAGCTATGCCCATATAGACGGGGCGTGTGAGATCAGTTCTGCGAAGAAGAATCCGATTTCTATCGAAAATCGAAGCCGGGCTAACCAGTGACAACAAATAGTCGATCTCGGCGAAGGCCTCCACCACTGGAACCTCCCCCCTGTCTTGCGGTCTGCCCGTATCTTTCTCGTTGGCTCGCATCATCTTTTGTTTCTCATCCCGCCTGTTCCTTCCTCTGCGTTTTCCTCTTTTTGTTCGCGTTTCAGTCGATCAGTCTTCAAAATTCTCCTCCTCCGCCCGTCGTTCTTCATCCCTTTGTCCCTGTATCCCTGAATTCTTGTCCGCTCATTCAGGTCTTGGACATGTCGTCAACTCCAACATTTCGGGGAACCACTAGCCATCGAACTGTCGGACGAGGCAGGTTGCCTGATTTCGGAGGTGATCCGGCATCTCATATCCCACGTCCCCGACACGAGTCTTCGTCAACGATTACTTCTTCTCAGGCCCCTCATACCCCGGGCAGTGACATCGGTAGCTCCACAATGAGTGCAGCAAGCAGCCGGCAGAGGCAGAACCAGTCGAAGCGAGATGAGGTATGTAAATTTCCCTTCAAACCTCCCACCAGAAGGCACTAGTGGGGAGCGCTGAAGGGTGGCTAAAAACATTCAATTCTAATTACTATGTGTGCATCAGGCTATCCGAAGGAAGCTGGAGGCGGACCTCAACAAGAAGAGGCACAATCCAGCAAGAGCGCACCGCGGTCGAAAAGCTCCTCCTGGCACCGTCCTTGCCCTTAAGCCGAGTTCCGCTCTCCAGATTAAGCCCTCCACCACCATTTCGGAGGCCGCGCAGTTGATGGCAGCGAAGAGAGAAGATTGTGTGCTAGTGACTGACGACGATGACCGGATTGCTGGAATTTTTACCGCCAAGGATCTTGCTTTTCGGGTGGTGGGACTTGGACTTAAGGCTCGAGAAATCACTGTTTCCGAGATCATGACGAAGAACCCACTGTGTGCGAGGACGGATACAAGTGCGACCGATGCGCTCGATCTGATGGTTCGAAAGGGATTCCGGCATTTGCCTGTTATGGACGAGAATCAGGATATCTCTGGTGTTCTCGATATCACCAAGTGCTTTTACGACGCTATGGAGAAATTGGAACGCGCCTACAGTTCGTCCCGGAAGCTATATGATGCTTTGGAAGGTGTTCAGTCAGAACTCGGCTCTAGCCAGCCTCAGCAGATCATTCAATATGTCGAGGCTCTTCGGTCGAAAATGTCCGGTCCCACACTTGAAACCGTCTTGGATGGGATGCCTCCTACGACAGTTTCCGTCCGAACTACCGTCAAAGAGGCTGCGGCGTTGATGAAGGAACACCATACTACTGCCCTACTTGTGCAAGATCAAGGATCCATCACAGGTATTTTTACCAGCAAAGATATTGTCCTTCGCGTGATTGCCCCGGGACTTGACCCCGCAACATGTAGTGTTGTCCGTGTTATGACGCCCCACCCCGACTTTGCTCCCAGTGATATGAGTATCCAGGCTGCGCTTAGGAAGATGCATGGTCAGTATTATCTCCGTGTTAAGCTGGCGAAACCCGCTCACTAATCAATTGCATATAGATGGACATTACTTGAACCTGCCTGTGATGAACGAGGGCGGCGAGATCGTGGGAATGGTGGATGTGCTCAAACTTACATATGCCACCTTAGAGCAGGTACGTGGGCAGGAAATTAATTTGAAGCTATACGAGAGCAATGCCTTCTAAACCGCTCTCGCAGATTAACTCCATGTCCACTCAAGATGACGAGGGCCCGGCATGGAACAAGTTCTGGTTGTCCATGGACAACGAATCCGATTCCATGGTCTCTGGAAGCCAAACGCAAAGCCAACAGCCACATACCCCACACCGGTCAATGATCAACCCCGAGTCGCCGAAGGCTAGTTTCGACGCACGAGACAGCGTACTCCCGAACGAGTCCGCGTCTCATAATGGCGGTGACGAGCACTCCGAATTCCACCACGGCGGCGAGCTCGCCCCATTCCCCTTCAAATTCAAGGCACCCAGCGGTCGTGTACACAGGGTCAACATCCTCCCCGCTTCCGGAATCGCTGAGTTGGTGGGCCATGTTACTGCAAAGCTTGGTCCTGAGGTTGAAGCCGTTGGGGGTGCGGCTAGCTGTGAGGATGGCACACTTAGCAACACTGGCTACGCTTTAAGTTACGTGGATAACGAAGGGGATACCGTTTCTATCACTACTGATCAGGATCTTGCCGATGCTGTGACTATTGCTCGCCACGCTCGTCGAGACAAGGTAGATCTGTTCGTTCACGATCCTGCTCAACCTCCCGTTATCCCTGCTCCTGAGCCTCTTACCGTCAAATCTGCTGAGGTCAAAACCCCTCCTATCTCTGACGATCAGTCTTCCGAAGAACTGTCTGCTCCCAAGCCGCGAACGCACCAACCGTACCCCTCCCATGGTCCGGAAGAGCAATTAATTGCTGGCGTTCCCAATGACCTGCTGCTCCCTGGGGCGATTGTGACCCTGGCCGCTGTCATTGCCGGAGTATTCGTTCTGAGCCGCGCTACCTCGCGGTAATTGGCATTTTGGATTCTTTTTCACAAGGTTAGAATTGTGCATCTATCATTTGTTAATCATTTCTTGTACACCCCAATAGCGCGTTTGTATGCCCATTTTGTCCATCTCCGCTACTTTTTGGCAGTTTCCGTGTCCTCTGGCTACTGTGGCTTGGGTAATTGTATGAATTAGTAGCAATATATTAGGTAGATATATTATAATTCTTTTTAAATCAAAAGCAAGCTGGCTGTAAACAGATGAGTAATACTGATGCCTCAGGAACTGACATAAGCCAAATGATACCGAACACGGACTAGCGCGTTTCCTTGTAAGAACCGCAAGACGTTTCTGCCTCAGTCAGCACATTTTGTTCTCAATTGGTTTGAGAGCCAGCTTCTTTCATGTCCGTTGTTCCAATTCTGTATCGCTGACGTGCGCATCATATATCCTTTTAATTTGTATCTTGGGATACATTAGTTAGAGTATATCCTTTCTTGACATGATCGCCTCCTCACCCTGGTGAATGCGTACTAAAGAACTAAGCTGGACTACACTCCGTACTTCACCTCCCACCGCCTCCCCCACCAAAACAATTTCCTTTCTGGAAAAAAATATCCTCCTCAACCAGACTACCAACCCGCTACTCTTGACCACTTGGGTTCAAATTACTCGGCCCGCGTTCTGACTTCCCTGTGGGAACGCGCCCTGACCGTTTTTTTCTTTGTCTTGGTTTGGCAGTTGAGGTTGAGCGGACGAGATGTCACTGCTGCCTCCCGAAGTCCACTCCGCCCTCTCTCAGTTGCTCCGCGGACTGAGCACTGCGGACAACACAGTCCGTGCACAGGCCGAAGAGCAGTTGGGAAATGACTGGATTCAAAACCGCCCAGATGTCCTGTTGATGGGCCTGGCAGAACAACTTGAAGGTGCCGAAGATACAGTTGTAAGTACATGACACCAGAATGGAGGGGTTGATATGAGGGGTTTTGCCGGCACTTGCAGTTACTACTACCGGCAAATTCCACCAAACGAATAACATAATCTCATTCTTATTTATTTCTTTTCGCATAGACACGCTCATTCTCCGCCGTTTTATTCCGAAGAATCGCGACCAAAACACGAAAGGACCCCGTTACCAACGAGGCGAAAGAACTTTTCTCAACCCTTGCCCGCGAGCAGAGACTGGTTATCCGGCAGAAGCTCGTCACTTGTCTTACTACCGAATCTGCAAATGACGTCCGAAGGAAGATTGGTGACGCGGTGGCCGAGATTGCCAGGCAATACACCGAAAATGGTATGCACAAGCTTAAGGTTGACATCGGTCGTGGTTGATATATCTGGACTGACGAGGGTTGTTTCTTTTTAGGAGACCAATGGCCGGAATTGCTAGGTATCCTATTCCAAGCCAGTCAATCACCCGATGCTGGTCTTCGGGAGGCCTCTTTTCGCATTTTCTCTACCACGCCTAGTGTCATTGAGAAGCCCCATGAGGATGCTGTCATAGGCGTTTTCGGCAAAGGTTTCAAGGACGATGTTGTTTCGGTATGTATTACCGAACTTTAAGTGCCCTAGAATATTAACGTTGATTTTGTATTGTTAGGTGCGCATCGCAGCCATGGAGGCGTTCGCTTCCTTCTTCCGCTCTCTTCCCAAGAAATCGCAGCCAAAGTTCTTTGCGCTCATGCCTGACATGCTCAACGTTCTACCCCCATTGAAGGAGTCTTCTGAGAGCGATGAGCTTTCATCGGCATTCTTGGCGTTGATCGAGTTGGCAGAAATTAGCCCGAAGATGTTCAAGGGATTGTTTAACAATTTGGTGAAGTTCAGTGTTAGCGTTGTCGCAAACAAGGAGCTTAGTGATCAAGTCAGGCAGAATGCTCTGGAGTTGATGGCCACATTCGCGGACTACGCCCCTGGGACGTGCAAGAAAGACCCAGATTTCACATCACAGATGGTGACCCAGTGTTTGAGCTTGATGACCGATATCGGTGAGGATGACGATGATGCATCCGAGTGGAATGCCTCCGAGGATGTAAGTGACGTTCTTCCTTATACTCCCTCTCTTGTTCGTTTATATGCTAATTTTTCCTAGTTGGATCTGGAAGAAAGTGATCTGAACCATGTTGCTGGTGAACAATGTATGGACCGACTTGCCAATAAACTTGGAGGCCAAGTTGTTCTGCCAGTTACTTTCGAATGGATACCGAAATTGATGTCATCGGCGGCCTGGCGTGACCGACATGCGGCCCTCATGGCCATCTCTGCCATTTCTGAGGGTTGCCGTGACTTGATGGTTGGAGAGCTGGACCAAGTTCTCCGTATTGTTGTCCCTGCTTTGCAGGATCCTCACCCGCGTGTTCGCTATGCTGGTTGCAATGCTTTGGGCCAGATGAGCACCGATTTTGCGGGCACAATGCAAGAGAAGTACCACGAGGCTGTGCTTACCAACATCATTCCGGTTCTCAATAGTGCCGAACCTCGTGTTCAAGCTCACGCTGCTGCCGCGTTGGTCAACTTTTGCGAGGAGGCTGAGCGCAACGTTCTCGAGCCCTACCTTGCAAATCTCCTGCAGCACTTGCTGCAGCTTCTCCGCAGCCCCAAGCGCTATGTGCAAGAGCAGGCCTTGTCCACGATCGCTACCATCGCTGATTCTGCTGAGAATGCCTTTGAACAATATTACGAAACCCTCATGCCATTGCTGTTTAACGTATTGAAACAGGAGCAATCCAAGGAATACCGCTTGTTGCGTGCGAAGGCCATGGAATGTGCTACTCTTATTGCCCTTGCTGTTGGAAAGAATAAGATGGGGCAAGACGCCCTGGACTTGGTGCAGCTACTAGGAAACATTCAACAGGGTATTGTCGATGCCGATGATCCTCAGTCGCAATACCTGCTTCACTGCTGGGGTCGGATGTGCCGAGTCCTGGGTCAAGACTTTGTTCCTTATCTTCCCGGAGTTATGCCCCCGCTTTTGGCAGTTGCCGCTGCAAAGGCTGATATTCAGCTCCTCGATGATGAAGACCAGATCGATCAAGTGGAGCAGGATGAAGGCTGGGAGCTTGTGCCGCTTAAGGGCAAGATTATTGGTATCAAGACAAGCGCTTTGGAAGACAAGAATACTGCTATCGAACTCATCACCATTTACGCGCAGATTTTGGAAGCTTCCTTCGAGCCATATGTGATGGAGACGATGGAGAAAATCGCGGTTCCTGGATTGGCGTTCTTCTTCCACGACCCCGTGCGAGTCTCGTCGGCGAAGTTGATCCCACAGCTCCTCAATTCGTACAAGAAGGCACACGGAGTCCAGTCAGCTGGTTTCGCGGGAATGTGGGTTAAGGTTGCAGAGAAGATCATCGAAGTCTTAAGTGCGGAACCGACAGTTGACACACTTGCGGAGATGTACCAATGCTTTTACGAATCTGTCGAGGTTGTTGGCAGGAACTCTCTAGGCCCTCAACACCTGCAGGCGTTCATTCAGTCCGCGAAGTCTACCTTGGAGGACTATCAGGTACGAGTGAAGACGAGAGCCGAGGACCGGGCTGAAGCGGATGATGGCGAAGAGGAGAACCCGGACTACGAGTACGCGATCGAAGATGACCAGAACCTTCTTAGCGATATGAACAAGGCATTCCACACTATCTTCAAGAACCAGGGAACATCCTTCCTGCCTGCATGGGAACAGCTGATGCCATTTTATGATGCGTTCATCACGAGTCAAGACCCTACGCAGCGACAATGGGCACTTTGCATTATGGATGATGTGCTTGAGTTCTGCGGTCCGGAGTCCTGGCGCTACCGGGATCACATCGTCCAGCCATTAGCTGCCGGCCTGCAGGACACCAATGCGGCTAATCGTCAGGCGGCGGCTTACGGCGTTGGAGTTGCTGCACAGAAGGGCGGAGAGCCATGGAGTGATTTTGTTGCCGCCTGCTTACCAAGTCTCTTCCAGGTAACGCAGTTCAACCAGGCACGGTCAGAAGAGCATGTTTTTGCTACTGAGAATGCATCCGCAAGCATTGCCAAGATTCTGCACTACAACTCCAGCAAAGTTCCCAACGCGGCGGAATTGGCTTCCAACTGGATTGGTACACTTCCTATCCTCTTTGACGAAGAGGCTGCACCATACGCCTACTCTTTCCTAGCACAATTGATCGACCAGTAAGTTATATCCTATACACTCTGGGCCATATGAGGACCTTAGCTAACCATTAGCAGACAAAACCCCGCGGTGGTGTCAAACGCAGACCGAGTTTTTGGGTACATTGTACGAGCACTTGATGCCGAAACCCTGCAGGGCCAAACCGCCGTCCGCGTAGCAACCTCAGCGAAGAACCTTGTGCAAGCGACGGGCCTAAACGCTGAGCAGATCCTCGCAGGTGTGAGCCCGGAAAACCAGGCGGCTGTCCGCAGCTTCTTCCAGTAATTTTTATTTGATGCCATGATTTCCTATTATTCTATGAGACTCCTCTTCCCCCTTTTGAACGTTTACCATAACATGTTACGTATGCGTGTTTAGACAAATGAATGATGTGTTAAATACTTATTCTCATTATATCCCTGGGGCGCTTGCTGAGTTAGTGATGATGTAACTGTCACAAAGGTTGTTCCTTAAACGTATGCCCATTATTCTGAGTTTTGGAGCAATATCAGGATAATAACAAAAAGATAAAAAAAAATTGGACAGATTCAGGTTATTATAGCACCCAATTAGTTTTAACGCCGTAAAAGAAGCCGGGTCGGATCACAGCAAGCCTCCCAATTCCAAGCCATTCATACAATAATACGAAAATAACATGAGCAAGAAGAGGTAGTGGGAAAATAAGAATTAGACGGCCACACAGATGCGTCAAAATAATTACTCTTTCTCCTCTGCTACTGCAGCTCGGAGCTCCCACACCAGATCATAGCATTCTGCTAGCAGTGCGTTCACTCCCCCTTGGCCCTCTGGGATATCGTTGCCAATGTAGAATTTGCCATCGACGCGCATGTTGTCAATTGAATTAAGCTTTCCCAAGTTAGCAAGCGTTGGAGGTTTTGGGTTATCAATGGAGTCACGTATAACCTACCTTCATACTATATGGGTATAGTTCGCGCGAATTGGACACGCCACCAGACTCCTTGACTTCGAATAGACAGCGTCTTAATGTTTGAAGCTGGTTATAAACCGGCAGTAATGCTTCAGAGACAGGTTCCGATGAGATGAGAAGTGCATAGATATATGCGTAGCTTCTCCGAATCAGATACAAGAGAGTCTATATGAAGTTGTATGGTCAGCACTGAGTAGCCAGATAACCGTAAATGAGGCGTCCTACCCGTTGGGCATGAATATCTGCCGGCTTCCCCTCGGCATCGACGAAGTTGCCGTTGACTCTCGCCTCATCAATTCGGTCGAGCTTGCGCTGGTAGACAAACAGGTCTGTCTCGCGGAGAGACCACGCTTGTGTGACGGAGAGTCGGTCTAGTTGATTGCGAATATCTAGTAATCGCTCGTATTGCTCTTGGAATCGCTCGTCGATTTTACCCTCGCTGTTATTGATTAGCCACCATGTGGTTGCAATTTCGGCATGTAGATGACAAACCGCTCCAACACAATCTCCGTCCAGCGCCAACATCGGTGTAGTAACAATTTCACATCTTCTTGATTTTCAAAGGGCGTTCCATTTGAGTCCACGAGGTTACCGTCCTTCATTGAATCTTCAATCTTCTTCAGTTGGTCTCGAAGCCCGCTTACTTCCTTGGCAGAGAACTTTACCCCGGCACCACTATCAGTATATTGCTTCATGTCGAGAAAAGATGCGTAACGAACCTTTGAGCGAGTATTCACAGCTGACGTTGACCGGAGAACAGATACGAGCGTTTCGTGTGTTGAAGCCAGTTCGGGGCTTAATTTCGATAGTTCTTTCTGCAGTTTCTGTAGTTTGATTTGGCACTTTTCTAGGCGGCTTTCGAGCAGTATCAACATGGCCGGCGAATGAGCTTCTTTGCCACGGTCTAAAGTTTCGCGCATATCTGTGAGTGTCGTTGTGATCGAACTCAGGTCTTTTGCACTGTAAAACCCGGCTTCTTCCAGGTGGTCTAGAAGTCGCTACAAATCAGTCAGCACCATTCGTTGAAGCGCGCGGAAGAAGAGGGATTTATGGGACGTACCTGCACTGTAGCAGCAAGGGAATATCTATAAAGCGATAGAGATAATATGTTAGCTCCAGGCCATTCGAATGAACCGGGAGTGCACTCACACTGCGGGAGCCTCATTGTTCCTCCCAACCGTCAAGAAGAGAAGCGAGATTAGTTGGAAACAGTCATCTAGAACAAAGTCCACTGGATAATACCAAATGACACATAGTTAGCACAGTGGTCACAGCTCATCTTCTTCACGGTTATGTTTCTACTAACAGCGATTATGTGCCAGGCGACGGTTTTGATCTTTCCGAACGGCATTGAGCTTTTCGACCTCTGCAGTCACTTGGTCGTAGAGCGGAAGGACATCGCGAGACCTTATATACGAAGATTTGTCTTGTTTTAGTAGATAAAGCGCATCGCGAATTCGAAGTACGGATTCGAGGATCGGTTGCTCTTTCGGATCAAGCGGGGTTTGGATAGCGGGGGATTCCATCACGGTCGCAGGAGTCGGGAATATAGAGAGCGAAGCAGAGGATGGGAGGTCGGGGGTTACAAATTAGTGGTAGAGATCGACTTGGGTTAACGAGAAAAAAAGAAAAGCAGCGATCATGCACATGCTCCAGAGATGCGGTAGCAAACGGTACTCTCTATAGAGCAGCAGCCCACCTATTGTGACCTATGATGTCGTATCTTCCGAATGCGGATTAGTTTCGAGGTCACGGGAGAAGCATGAGGTCACGGGACATGGAGAAAGAGCTAAGCCCCAAATGGATAGCCCTAAGCGAGGGCTTTTTGCTCGCCGCCAAACACACAATTTCCGCGCTGGGTCTGGCTATTCGTTGACTCCCGTCCGACTTCTTCAAAGCCAGTCGTTGATAAAAAAAGGTCTTCCCGTCCTTTTCTCTTCTCTCCCCCATCCCTCTCGACCAGTCCAACGACAACCATCGACCACCATGTCTAACGCCGAGCTCGCTTGCTCTTACGCCTCTCTCATCCTTGCGGATGAAGGCATTGAGATCACCGTATGTATTCCCTCGTTTATACCCCTCGGCCCCGAGGACGATGATGGGATTTTTGGAAGGTTGGGAATATCGCGAGTAGCGAAGGGGAATGGAATAGAGAGCTCGAAAATGAAATTGGTCATCTGGGGGTCGCAATATCGGACGTGAAACGGAGGGCTGATTGTTCTGGAATTTATAGGCCGACAAGATCCAAACTCTTCTCTCTGCCGCCAAGGTGCAGGAGGTTGAGCCCATCTGGACTTCCATCTTCGCCAAGGCTCTCGAGGGCAAGGACATCAAGGACCTTCTGACCAACGTCGGTTCCGCTGGTGCTGCTGCTCCCGCTGCTGCCGGTGGTGCTGCCGCCGCTGGTGGTGACGCCGCTCCCGCTGCTGAGGAGAAGAAGGAAGAAGGTAAACAGCGACCCAGAATCTGGAAACCCGAATCAGTTCGAATATTGACCAATTGCTACAGAGAAGGAGGAGTCCGACGAGGACATGGGCTTCGGTCTCTTCGACTAAACGTCTCGAAACAACTCCGTTCGGCTTCCCGTTTATTTTTCCTTTTACTTTTCCTCACCTCGCTTCTTTCCGACCTCGCTTCTTCCATCCTCTTATATCTCTCTGTACCCGATACACCGCAATCCCCACGAAGATCAAAAAAGGGAAAAAGCAAAAAAGAAAAATCTACGGACGAGGACATCCTTTTGGACTGGGCGCTATGCTTGCATTTGCATGATGGACTCTGTCATGACAGAGGTACTGGACCGGATGACGCTAGGATTTCGGCTGTGGGGAACACAATGGTGAATGGACAGGCAGCATGTATGGTAGTCCGAAGGCGAGGTCTATTTGGCCGCCTAAGGTTCTCTATCTGATATATGTTGATCAGTTACTTTTGATTCTTTTGGAGCTTAGGTGCCCAGCTCTTATGCGATGTCTGTCATGCGACCATGAACAAAAGGTTTCCGTCTGCATTAGGTCTTTGGGATCGTTGAGATTCCATGCGTAAAATACACCGTAGCTCCAAGTAGTCCCAAATGATTCTGTAGTACATTCATGCAAAGTAGAGATAATAAATTTTATAACGCTAACGCCAGGCCAGAATGAGCAAAGCCAATTCGCTTTTCTTTTGAACGCCACGCCCCGAATGAATATACGAGCAAACATGCCCAAAAACATGGAACCGCAAAATCAAGCAACTGCTGCGTCGGAATCCTCAATCGCGTACATCCGGAACTGCGCAAAAATCGTAACATCCTCAACCATTGTACCCAGGGAGCCAATAAGCCAAGGCAAGTTCGTAATGAAATAGCTCTTCTCGGTAGAGTGACAAAGAATCTATATAACGTATTAGTCGGAAAACCACAAGTTGTAGAGAGAAAAATGCGAACTCACCCCAGCACCATAAGTCAAGTTTCCCAAAAGCGACAAAATGAAAAACAAAAGTGATAGTCCTATTATGGTGTTAACTGGCGTTTTTTGAACAATTCACGCGAGAATATATCTCACCTTCGCAGGACTTATCACAATAATTCTTATAAATCTGGGGAAGCCGTGCCCTGAAATTTGTTAGTAGACCATAAATAAGAAAGAACAAAAAGCATTGGACATAATGCGAACACAAACATACCCAAGGTAACAGACCGCGCTGATATACCCCAAAACCTGCGCTCCAGGCGCCATGTCGACGCCTCCATTTCCACTATCGGGCGAGGCAGGCTTCCACACGCCAGTCTGCCACGCAACAGTCCATCCTGCCATTCCAATGACACAGATAGCCAGTACGCTGTTTATATTCTTCATCACTGCGCCTTTCCCAAACCTGTTCTCCTCAACCAGTTTGGCAAGCGTATCATCTGGGCTTTGCCCTTGGTCGTTAGCGGTGGCATTATAGGACGCACGAGAACCTCTCCGCCGGCGACCACCCTCAGGAAGTGAATCACTGAATCTCCGTCCTAGCAGTGGGGTTGTGGGTTCAGGCGTGGCGAACGAAGAATTGCGAGCGCGCAACGCCTCAGCGCGCGCATTTCGAGCGCGATAGTAGAGACATTGGCCGATGAGAACGCCATCTGCGAGACAAAAGTAGACCGCGATTGCGATGATGACGGGGACCAGGCCGGCCCAGGTGCTGCCGGCGAGGTTTGTGACGTCGCCAACGAACCAGACGAAGAGGAAGAGGAGGGAGATGGCTTCTGCGTTGCCGTTGCGGTAATTTTCAATCAACTGGGGGACCTGTTCAAGGTTAGAGACCGATTTGGTTCTTGATTTTGAAAATGGACGGTATGTTAGTCCCAGAGAAATGGGCGTACCAGCAGAAAAATCCAACAGGTTAACGAGATCGAGCCGAGAAGGCCTGATGCGGCTTCTCGCGTGGTCAACGGGACGGATTCCCCTGCCATCGTTTCAGGTGGTAGGGTCGGTAGGCACTCGGATTATACGGGTGTCGAAAGCATGGACTGAAAGCAGGCGTGGGAGCGCAGAAATTTCGTGGAAAGTGGAAAGATGAAACCTGAAAGAGCAGATCCTGAAGCTTCTCCAAAGCTAATTGCGGGGTGGATCCGCTGGGATTTGACTAAGCTGGGGGCTCAAAGAACCTTTGTCTCCCTCTTGGGCTTCAGGCAAGATTCCTCCATGGTAGGGATTTATATACAACTTATGCATACTTATAGCGACCTGTGGCACTTGGAATCCCTCAATCAAGGTGCATAGAAATGACCGATGTATATGCAGCCGTCTGTTGGAGACATTTCAACGGCCCTTGGAGCCAATCGGCTCAGCGATAATTCTGCGACTTGCAAACAAATCCCCCAACAGTGCTTACGATTGGACGCTTTATTGAAGGACTTCCATCAATTTCCTCAATACTATTTGGAGATAATATTCTTTCCATCTATTTTTAGATAAATCCTATCCGCACGGGTATCATTCCTCCTCATCTTCCGCCCGTAAGAATTCCAGCTCCTCTCGCAGTAAATCTACAACCATAGGGCCTAACGCTTCGCGAATTGCACCATCCAGTAGGGCCTGCCGGGCAGAACTTGGCTCAATCTCATTCAGTGCGTCGGCGTAGTCATGTAGTGGAGAGTAGTCGACTTCGAGATCCCAGTTCCCCCGATCCACGCCATACTGGCGAATAAATCCCTCGAGGCTCTGCAGACCATCTCCAAGGAGCCAATGCTCGAGTACAATTTGGCCTTCAGGGCCGGATGGTGGAAGTGCTTGTTCTCCTCTTCCTGTCCCTTCATCCGAAGAGCCATCCTCTCCAGCTTCCTCCTCGCCATTGGCCCGGAAACGGGGGAAATGAAGCGCGCCGTTGTTGAGCTGGTCTAAAAGGTTACGAAGCCATTGAGGCCTACCACCCTCTGGTACTTGCGACAGATAAGATGGCGTTGGATCAGACTGCTGCCGAAACGCTTCCGACTCGTACGGGGGGAGAGGATCAGAAGCGGAGATTCGCCCAGAGACGAATCGGGTGGGTAAGTGTGTTGTAACGCGCGGAACGTCCGAGAGTACCACATGGCGAGCGATATCCAAAGTAATCTCTGGCGGCTCGATAGGCTCATCTCCTTCAGGTAGCGTATCTGCCACCTCAACAAGAAGAGAAACGACCTCGGGGGTATTCCAAAGATCCTTGGTCCGCACAATATAAAGTTCTGTGAACAGTTCGTGGCCGGCAGTTGGGGGAAGTTTACCCCAAATTCGCTTCGGCATCGGTTGGATATCGAGCTCCTGCGCCATCTTGCAGAATACCCATGGATACCGAGACATTGCTAAACGCATCTGCTCTCGACACTCCTTAGGCTTGTTTAGTCGTAGATATGCCAGTGCTAGGGAGCACTGAATGTTGGGGAGGTATTCCCACTCCTTGGAAAGTCTAGTTTGCGTGCATAAATCAATGAAATGTGACCACTCTCTGCCGCGCAGCGCCAAATTGTCGACCATAAGCCTCATGCAGTAAGGATCCTTTGGATCCAAACTCAGTAACAGCTTAGCCCATTCATATGCTGTTCTCCAGGTTCCCTTCATGCCTAGGTTGGCAATATATCTCCAGCCGACAAGCCATAGCTCGCGATTTTCTGAATACGTAAAGTTAAGCTGAGCCCGGCCTTCTTTAAGTCGATTTCCGAACGATGAGTGAACGGACCGACCAAAGTTGAAGAGAGCTCGCTCGAGGAGATCGGCAGATACAGCATGGTCACCTTGATGTTTTGCTATCTCCGATACCTGAAGAAGAGTTGAAATGTGGTAAGGGTTGTACTGGAGAAGCTGGATCATCCTTTGCGGATCCATTGACTCCACGCAGAGGTCGAACTGCCTTTGAACGTCTTGGTACGCAGTATTATGAAGGAATTTGTAGATAGCTGCGCCGTTTGCGAGAGATTCTGTCAACTCCATCCCAAGACCGCCGCTGGGGGCACGCGGCCATTCATCTTTGCCTTGGAACAAAATGTTACGCCGTTGTGTAACACCAGCTAGACTTTGGCCCCTACTTGCTGGGCTGTATCTGCCCGTCAATGCACGACCCAGATCTATAGTTTCTCGAGCCCGGTCTCGCCTACGACCCGACCCCGAGTCTGCCTGATCGAAGTTCTCCAACACAACATTGCCGAACAATTTTCGCATCTCATTCGTCGCATTCAGCGACTTAGAATCAATGTGCAAAAAGTCCTCTGGTCTCTTTGGGAAAGAGTCATCAAGGGTACGCTCGGGTGTTTCGATCGCGGTTTCTCCTTTCGACTTTACATCCAGCTCCTTCAATACTCGGTCAATCTCGTCTAGGTCCTTGTCATTGGATTCCTCTTCTGTAGGTCCCTGCTTCGCCGTATTCTTCTTCTTCTTGCTCTTTCCCTTCTTCTTTTTCTTCTTCCCTGAGTCCGTCGTTGCTGAAGGCGTTACTTCCTGTGTCGATGGAGCTACCGGGGCGGCCACCTCGCTCTCTGACTGCTGTTCGTCAATGTCATCCTCCTCTTCGTCGTTCGCTGCATTCAAAAGATCAAACGCATTTAGCTTCGGCTTTGATGGTCTCGATACTGGCTCGTCGTCTTCGCTGGAATCTTGGGGTTCTTGTTCTGCTTGCTGCAATTCTTGTTCACGCAGCTTTTGCAGCTTGCGAATCGCACGGGAGGACATTCAGGATAATCCGCGGAGTTATAGGGTTTGACGGTCTCCAATCTGAGAATATAGATACGGAATATTAGATGTCGCCTCTTGGGGTTAGAATCTGCAACACAGGCTTGGAAATCTCAGGAATAAACTTGGGTAGAGAATCTTTAATTTGTAACTGCGGGGATGACGAAAGTGGACGGCGACCCAATTGGGTTTAGTGCGGAGTACCTCAAATCTATAATATTGATACCGTATCTGCGTATCTGCCGTATTTTATACACCGCCTCACTGGCGTTGCCGACACTGATGACTACCTCGATGCCTGGGGCAGCGACAGGACTCCCGACACCGAGCCTCGTCCGCCTCCTCTTTATACATCGTCCTTCACGACCTAGAGTTGGTGGGAGTCTCGGTTTTTTCTGTTCTTCTGCCCCATATTGCTGGCTCAATGCGTCGTGCAGCTATTCAAGCGTTCCGTACTGCTCGTCGTGCGCCAGTATGGCGGGTTGCCGGTAGGAAACCGCCCGGTATATCGTTCACAAGCAGCCAGTCTCTCAACCTCCGGCCCTACTCCTCGGTCAAACATCCTGCCTTCCTTTCCGCTTCTCTTCAGTCCTCGATGCATCTTCGAACCTTTTCTGTCGCAGTAATTTCGACAGTAGTCGCTTCCGGAGCCTGGTACGCTTATCAGGGCGACAGTTCCCAAACACCAGCAGCCGCGGGTACGTCGTCCTCTCAGTTCCGGTTGTTTACGACAACCGCACAAGCCGAACAGCCCACAGAGCCAACGCGCCGTGCTCTTCTAGTGGATAACGACCAATTCTATACCGCGACGCTCTCTGGCGAGCAGCCATTGCAAAAGAACACTGACGACTCTGACCGCCGACTTCTAGAAATGCTCACGCCCGAGCAAGCGACGCAGAAGCTGAGGAAGAACGAAGAGTCATACTTGGTGAATCGTGGAAAGGGAGTTGTTCGCTATGATGTCGTCCAGGTACCAAGCAATTCTCCCATCGAAGACGACCATGCGGAGAAGATAGTCGAAGTACCTGCTTCAACGGTTGCGGCCAACGAAGGCCAATCCAGTAGCGACTGGATGTTTTGGGCAGTGTTCGATGGCCATTCGTACGTTTCCAGCTCATTAAGTTATCCTGTACCCCTACTGACTAGCACGTTGATAGTGGTTGGACAACATCTGCCAAGTTGCGTAACGTTCTCATTTCATACGTTGCTCGGGAGCTGAACAGTACATACAAATCTGCCTCCTCCGACCCCTCGCTCGTTTTACCGTCCTCCGCAGCTGTTGATGCCGCCATCAAGCAAGGATTTGTTCGTTTAGATAACGATATTGTCCACAGCAGCGTCGACCAGGTCTTCAAGTCCAACTCGCGCCGCGCTGCAGCCGAATTGCTCGCCCCCGCTCTTTCCGGCTCTTGTGCTCTCCTTGCCTTCTACGACTCGCAGAGTAAAGACCTGAAAGTCGCATGTGCAGGGGATTCTCGGGCCGTTTTAGGCCGTCGCGGTGAGAATGGGAAGTGGTCAGCAACTCCACTCTCAGAAGATCAGACAGGTGGCACACCCTCTGAAATGAAGAGGTTGCGCGAAGAACACCCGGGAGAGCCTAATGTGGTACGGAACGGACGAATTCTGGGCCAGCTGGAGCCTTCTCGTTCCTTCGGCGATGCCTTCTACAAGTGGTCCAAGCAGACTCAAGACAAAATCAAGCGACAGTTCTTTGGCCGCACCCCCCACCCCCTTCTGAAGACACCACCCTATGTCACCGCCGAGCCTGTGATCACAACAACCAAGGTTGAACCTAGTCAAGGTGATTTCGTTGTGCTCGCAACCGACGGGCTCTGGGAGATGTTAAGCAACGAAGAAGTAGTTGGTTTAGTTGGTCAGTGGATCGAGGAGCAACAAGCCGGATCCGGCAACAAGAGTTGGGTACGGAGTCTGTTCGGCTCCCAAACCCAGCTGCCCGTCGAAACACCACAGGAGACGACTTCGGATGGCCAGCGCCGCCCCATCCGTCAGCAGCAGTACGATATCCCAGGCGCTGCCAACCGCTTCGTCGTCGAAGATAAGAATGCAGCCACCCATCTCGTCCGCAACGCCATGGGTGGAAAGGATAAGGACATGCTCTGCGCTTTGCTAACCCTTCCAAGCCCCTATTCCCGAAGATACCGGTAAGATCACCCCGATTCTCTAATAATCATGGGTGATATGTTTTAACCAAATGACAGCGATGACGTAACCGTCGAAGTTATCTTCTTCGGCGACAGTACCGACAGCCGTACGGTCTCAGTCAACGAAGAAGCTAGTGCATCCGAAGAGAATGTGAAGGCTAAACTCTAAGCAACCTAATACCCAGATCTATTTCAAAGACTTACTGTCACTACCTTGGTCCCTCTTCTGTCTCCTTTCTCTAGAAAGAATTTCAGAATTCGGTAACTTTGAGACGCGGTTCAGTCGGCTCAGTTGGGTAAAGTCTCACGGCGTTTTCCTTGGGGTTGAACAATTATATTTACACATCTGCTGTTTGTTATGATGGGCCATTTAGCTAGCCAAGTTAAATTTTCATTCGTTTCTATCCTCCAAAACGGAAAACATAAAAGTAAAGCAAGAATTCTAATTTGCCAGGTTAGTGAGTGAGTTTCTGTTCACTCATATCACGTGAGTCATAGCAAGGTGACTACCACGTGAGTTGCCATGCCCTGAATCATAACAGATTCCCTGAAAGATAGAATCACTCTCTACTCTTTCTCTCTATAGCTTAGCAGGAACAAGTAGGTGTTGTATACAGAGGGATTCCTTTCATGCCATGACATAGAAAGTACAGATATGGCTAGATTCATGTACTCCATTTAAGATGCAATTTATGATGTTTTTGAATAAATAAGTAGAACTTTCTGTTTTATGCTACTGAATAATTGTATCAGGATAAACAGAGCGAGGCGCCATTTTCAAGCAGGAAATACAATGCACTCCCCTCTTTTCATATCTTCTCACCATCGAGCTAGCCTCCCCTCCCAGTACAGTCACAAATCCCTCTGCTTTCCTTCCCACCTTTCCATTAGACGTCTTTTGGTTTGGTACTATCCTTTCTGCACAGACATCTTGTTGGATTTGTTGGTGTTAAATTGTTTGCCGTTCGAATTCCATTTGGCGAGGCTCAAGTGAAAGCTTCGGATACTTGTGTTGTCGTTTGCCGAGCTTGGAGTGACAGGCGTTTCATCGGAAACTGAGGTGTTGTGGCTTGCATCCGAAATAAGGGTATCATCTTTGAGGGTATGTCGCGACATCGTAACCCCGTGTTATTGTGGTATGCAACTGACCAAGCTTCAGCTGCCCACCATGTCCTTCTCAAACCACCGCAACGAGGAAATCAACGAGACCGACGAGGAGCTAGAGGCTGGCGAGCAAGAGATCGATTACGAAGGAACACTCGATGTGACCATCCATCAAATGAATTGCTTGTTGGACGAAGTCACAGGCTTCAGCGTCCGCAGAAACGGTGACGGCGATGTTATTCCCGGTTCAATGAGTACTTTCGAGGCCGATCAAGAATCAATTGATAGAGCCGTTGAAACAGCCACCAGTGCCACTGGGGCCAACAGAAGGCGCCGTCGTCTGCCACCTGTTAGACCTCCACGTTCACCCCGACCAATCCACACTTGGGACGAACTGGTGCAAATGCTTCCGGTTTCTCCCATTGAAAGAGAGCGCCAAGCTGCGGAAATACCTTCGGCACGCGACCCAGATAGCGGGCCAGACCCGTCAACCAGTCCTAGCGCTTGGGAACCGTACATCGAGTATTTTCTCTGGACATGCCGTGGGAACGTGCCATTGATCACCGATCACTTGCAGGCCATCTTTGGCTTCAACCCTCCTATTGACGAAACCGCTGTTGCGGCAAGGCTTGGTGGAGTTCACGCGTACAGACAGATGACCTTTTTGCGCAAGTATCTCCCTGGTGAGACCCACTCCTTGCAGCGAGCAGAGGCCCGGGGGGTAATCTACGAAGCCAATATATCACACCCTGATGTCCGCATGGGATCCCAGGACTTAGAGCTGAGGCAGTTAGACTCGGGACATCCGGAATATGTTCAGCCCATCCTGCCTTGCTGGGCGCCACGCAGTTGGAACAGAGAGGATGATGCTTTTGCTGCCTTGTATTTGGGTGAGCATCCGGCCGTGTTTCAACGCGAATACAGCTGGACACTTTCGGACATTCCTAGCATTGAGTTTATCAGTATTAGAATGGCTCAGATCCCACACTTGAATCTCAGTTGGGCGGAATTGCAGGCGGCGAAGGATCGTCGTGACTTTTATGTCACAACATTCCCAGATAACTTTCCAAACGAGAACCGGGCTCCGATTCCAGCAGAATGGAATTTCTTCTAAATTATTTTCCCGTTCGACTCAATTTTCTCTTTTTACTGTTAAGACCGTTAAATATCTGGCTTCGCCCATGTCATTTTCTTGGCGTTTTCACATATCGGGCATGCTTTCATGTTTTCTTATCTCCATAGTCGCGCGGTTCGGATTGGATCATTTATCAGTTCTGTACTTTTGTCCTTGCGGAGGATATTCCGACGGAAACCGGTCTCCAAGGCTTCAATGATGGGGTGGGAAACATGTATTTCTGAAGAAGAAATGTTTGCAAGGTCGCAACATTTGTGCTGGTAATCCAATAAACCATAAGAGCTGTGGGCATTCCATAAAAGTAAGATGCCACGCCGACGTTAAGAGCGAGAGCCTGGATAAATAATCGAAGCCCCTTATTAGAAAGGTGCTTCACCATCTCCATACGCGGTAGATCGGCAATTTCTTTCATCTTCGGCGCCTTCCAGCCGGCACGGACATTAGCCAGAATAGACACCGTCAGTACTGCTGGGAGGATACCCGTCGGGTCGCCCGCTAATAAGTCTGGGAACCAGAGGGCACCTTCTGTTGCAAGAGATGGCTCAACAGTGAGATGAAGCGCGCTGGATTCTGATGAACACGACGGTTCAAGCCGTGAGAGGAGGTACGGGACCAGCCCCGTGTTAATCCCACTCATAGCCCTAATACTTTCCATGACAGCAATCCAAACAGGCATTTGAAGGAAGTTTGCGGGCCTCCAGAACCGGTATACGCCCCAGCGTTGGCGGAGGGTTTTATGCTGCTCTTTGAGATTCCTCGTAACCATAGATGCAACTTGAGGCGGGAGAAGACCCTGAGAACTGGGACCCCGCGCAAGTCGTTGCTGATGGTGCTGTCGCCAAGCCGTGAGTATCGGAGACAGATCTGAATCTTTACGAGCTTGAACTTTTGTAAAAATCTGTAGCGGCAATGCCACAGTCATTCGAACCAGAAAGGCAGTCAATGGGAGAGACAGAACCCATGGCAGATGGCTGACAGAGTGTACGCCATGGACGAAAGCCGACGTGCCATCTAACACTTCGTTTATGAATGGAGCAGGTCTCGTCTGGTGGAAGCCGCGAACCTGCTGGAAATGCACGGTCCGAGGGAGACGATGGCAGGCCCTCATTTCAACTGCTTCTTTTTTTATGTTGACCCTTTTAACGAAGAACAAGATATAATACAAAAACGAAAGGAAAAAAGAACAAGAATGCAGATAATACTCGTACAATACTTTCACATAGGGGGTAAACAACACAAAGAAATTCTACGGCAGAATGATCCCGACTTGAGGCTATCGGGTGAGGTCCATCACGTGGGCGGTCATGAAGCTATACGCAAACCTGGCCCCACTGGAGGGGAACGTATCGTACCGTACCGTACCATACACAGCCACCTTGTTATCGATAAGCAGCGAAAAGACCAGAGAAGCAAACATCCAACAATAGTCAACTCTGACACCAATCATCTCGCCTAGAAGACGTCGCAACCATCGTCGCTAGCTAGTATGCTTCCAACTGATGCTAAATCATGATGCTGTTTTTCCTCAAGTTTCTGATCTCCGTGATCGCTCTTCTTGCCGCCTGCGTTCTTCTTCCCCAGTTCTCCCTTGGGCTACTCCGAGTTGTGCTCCGCGGCGTGGGCTGGGTGATCCAAAAGAGAACTCAGGCTCGCAGAGAGGCCATCCTAGCTCGTGTCCGAGTGGACGAGGAGGGACTGCTCGCAAAACAACCAAAGACAGCTTCTACCAGTGCCACATCAGCGGAGGATGAGGATTGGGAGAAGGTCGACACCTCCACTTCGGGTGACAGCTCCGGGAGAGTTAGTCAGAGCTCCCAGCAATCGGGGAAAGAAGAATGGGCTGGAATCATAGGCTTCTTTCATCCTTTTTGGTATTTTCTCTTTCCTGTTAGTAATTGAGCATGCAAAGCTGACCTACTCGATTCAAGCAATGCCGGAGGGGGTGGAGAACGTGTCCTTTGGGAGGCTGTCAGAGCTACGCAAAGACGATGGCCGAAGGCTGTCTGTGCTATTTATACTGGCGATCTTGAAGTCACTAAATCTGCTATGCTAGAGAGGGTTCAAGTACGTCCTGATTTCGTCATTTCATTCAAGGTTTCTAACATGTAACAGACCCGGTTTAACATCCAACTTCACGCTCCGACGGTTGAGCTACTCTATTTGACAACTCGCAAGTATGTCCAAAGCAGCATGTATCCGTACATGACTCTTCTGGGTCAATCTCTCGGCTCGTTGATAGTAGGATATGACGCCTTCACGCTCCTCGTGCCGGACATTTTTGTGGACACCATGGGCTATGCCTTTGCCGTGGCATTTTGCAAGCTTCTCTTCCCAACAGTTCCAACAGGCGCTTATGTGCACTACCCCACCATTTCCACCGATATGCTCCAGTCCTTGGACGACAAAACCGGCCTTAAAGGTGTCAATGCCGGTGCTGGAACGGGACTTAAAGGCACCCTGAAACGAAAATACTGGCTCGCCTTTGCGCGTCTCTATGGCTGGGTTGGCAGCCACGTCGACGTGGTCATGTGCAATTCTTCGTGGACATCAGCCCACGTCCGGTCCATTTGGGGACCGTCACGACATAATCCGTTAAATTCATCACAAACCATCAAATACAAGGACCCAGTTGTCGTCTTCCCGCCGACCGCTGTTTCAGACATCCAGTCCACAATACCAGTCACCCTTGAGACCGAAAGATCCCGCACTCCAACACTCCTATACATTGCCCAATTCCGTCCAGAGAAGAACCACCCTCACGTCCTCCGCTCATTCGCTCGCTTCCTCGAACGCTATAACAGTACTCAGTCCGACACGTCAAGCACCACCGAAGAACCCCAGCTCATCCTCATCGGCAACGTCCGCCCGTCCAGCCCCGACGAAACCCACATCTACAACCTCCGCCTCCTAGCCCACGAACTCCGCATCCGCAACAACACCACATTCCTCTGCGATGCCTCCTGGCCCACCATCCTCTCCCACCTTGCGTCGTCCTCAATCGGAGTCAACGCCATGTGGAACGAACACTTCGGTATCTGCGTCGTCGAGTACCAAGCCGCAGGTCTAATCGCCGTTGTCCACGACTCCGGCGGTCCACGCGAGGACATCGTCGTTGATCTTCCTGAAGCCGATACCGCTCCAGTCACAGCTATTGGGGGCAGAGCAACCGGTTTCCGCGCCACGACCGAAGAAGAATTCGCCGATGCATTCGAGAAGGCTCTCTCACTTAGTTCCGAGGAAAAGGTTGCGATGCGACTGAGAGCACAACAGTCCGCGTTGAGGTTTACGGAAGAGGAGTTTTCTCGGAAGTGGGTGGGTGAAATTGGAAAGTTGGTTGGGATGGTTCCTACTTGAAACTTGAAGTATTTTGTAAAGCTGTAGCAATTTGAAAGACGTTTTTTTCTTGTTTGGTTTCATTCTCTTTTTAAGTACATCATCGCCCACTACTGGTATTTGCGATGTGGTAGTTTGATGCCTTGCCGGAATTTCGAGAATGGTCTGCTAATTTTATTATAACCTGTTACATCGTAATGCACCAAGATTTGCGATGCTGTTGCTTAATTTAATAATGGGGCAATTATCTTTTATATTATGTTGTGTTTGTTCGGAGCATGTTCCTTATATATATCTCCCCCTAGAGGATTTGAAAAAGGTCCTTATTGCTAACAATACGAGACACCTGATCGTTAAATACTACTGCTTCTAACTTGTTACGTGCAATTGGTTGCTACTTGCATGTCTAATATATATGCGAGAGACAAGTCATACCTCAGAAGTACAATACACACTAAACAGTGTATACTACGACAACCAAGCAGATCCGAATAAGTAACCATAGAACCAGGTAAAATATGGGCTACCAAATTTGATATCATAGAAATGGAACGATAAACAAAAGCAATCAAAACCAACAGTCCTATCAGGGTATCCAAATAGCCCCTGTAAATAGAAAAGATGAGTCCTTCTCCCAGGGGTATGAAATTCATCGTAGACACGTAAAAGTGGAAGTAAGCGGCCTGGCCAAACCGGCCGAGAATAGGGCTAAATCGGGGAAAGGAATGAAGAAACAAGAAATGTGAGTGATAAGCCAAGCCAAACTAACAGGACTTAAGAATGTGGTATATTTCCAATCCTGTATCCGTAACGCCGAACCTCTATGCCGGAATTCAGCCATGAATGGAATGGGAGAAGACAGAGGAGTTTTTTCTCATCAGCAAATCGACAAGATAAACGGCAAACTCATTCATGGGTACGATGGGTAACCACTTTCGCCTGTATTGACGCTTAGACCTTGCGACTGCGCATCCACTCCGTACATATTTCCCTGATCGCTGGCGTATCCCCCACTCATGCCGGAAACACTAATCCCGGATTCATCGTCGTCAAACCCAAATTCTCCGCCAGAGCTGGCGTCAAAACTGGTGCGTCCACCAAAATCGCTCGCGTCGTCATTACCAGCCGGGATTTGATCCCACTGCAATGTTTGAAGAGCTGGGTATTGCGCGAGTAGAGCTGCTGGCAGAATGAAGTTGCCACCCTGTTGGCCATCAATCCCTTGAGCAGGTACCATGAGTGGCTGTGCCATGGGCTGCAGATGTTGCTGTTGCTGGTTCATGAGTTGGCGATTGCGCTCTTGAGATTCCTCATCCAAGAGTGGTTTAATGCAGATTCGACCGGCTTCTGATCGGAAATGGCGTCCTAGAGCATCTGCACGAGCAAACCTGCGGCCACAACCCCACTGCCCGCCTCGAGAGAGGTCACCGCGGCAAACAAACTTCTTCTCACCAGAGTGCAAACCCTCATGGCGTTTACGGTCATGCTGACGAGCAAATGCCTTTCCACAGACAGTACAAACGAATGGTCGTTCGTCTGTATGTGTCCGTAAATGAGAGCGTAAATTGTATGCCCGGGTGAAGCGCTTGGGGCAAAGATGGCACTGGAAAGTTGCAGGATGCTTTTGAACTCTCTTAGAGTCGGGT